TCACCCATATTAAAGGTAAGCAATGACCATATAGTCTTCCACACTCCAGTCCAGGGAGCATTGCAACCAGCTGTGGAGGGGCCTCAGCTGTTGATCTAAATGCAGGGGTGGGTACCTATAAAATGAGGCAGCCCTTCAAAGAACTGGGCCCCAGATTATGGCGGCACCAAAAGCAAAAGTGGGTGCAGCAACTAATGTACAGGGGGTCACTTCTACACACATCCCTCTCCATCCTCCATCCAGATAAATGAGAGGCATGATCAGTGTTCAAGGACACATCTTAGGAAGGCAAGAAACAACAACAACGAAACAACAACAACTGGGTGCCAAGCAGGGCTGGAAATGAGTGTTGTTGACCTGGGGGGAGTTCCAAGGGACACAGAGAGAGGACTGAGGGGCCACATTTGGTCCCAGGACCTGAGGCTCCCCACCCCTGCACTCAATGTTATGGAGGGGAGAGGAGGCACTGTGGAGCTGGTACTTTGTGGCCTAAGTTGGAGACATTGTGAATGCTGATGGGGTTTATGCGCCATCCCTAAATGGAGCTTCTCCCTTCCTCTGGCCCTGCTTATTTTGGATATCTAATTAGCCGGATGGATTGTCGTTTCGTATTACCCTCGCGTCCGCGCCTTTGCCCCATCCATCTCGAGCTGTTAACAGGATGCCTGCCAGAATGGATGCATTCTTTGTGGGCCATCAAAGATAAATTGGCAGCATCCCGATCAGATTTACTTTCTGAAAATGGTATAATGGGATTTTATTAGCTCTCTAATCTGCTGTTCAGTAATTGGTTTTCTGGGAAATCAAAGGAACTTGGTACCTAGAGACTGCCAAGCTTGGTGGAGGCGGGGAGGGTGGAAGGAGCCCTCCTTGAGTCGTGGCAAACTTTGCTCATTTGAAGCACACAACCCAATCACTCGGCAGCATCCCACCTGAGGTGAAGTCTCTCCTCTCTCCATTTTGAATTTTTGGAGGATGACTTGCCACCCATTCCCCGTCGTTTAATGGGGCTGTGCTGCAGCTCAGTGGTAGAACATCTGCTTTGCATGCAGAAGGTCCCCGGTTCAATCCCTGGCAGCAACTCCAGGTGGAACTGGGAGTGTCCCCTTCCCGAAACCTCTAGAGGTTTGCTGCCAATCAGTGGAGACAATACTGAATTAGATAGACCAATGGCCTAACTTGGTATGAGGTAGCTTGTCCTATGTTCTACACACAATTATAGCAGGGAGGAGAAATATCATAGCAAAGACAGAGCTCAGTTGCAGTGTACATGTTTGGCATGCAGAATGCCCCAGGTTCAGAATGTGGATGGTAAAAGGTAAAGGTAAAGGTACCCCTGACCATTAGGTCCAGTCGTGGACGACTCTGGGGTTGCGGCACTCATCCCACTCTATAGGCCGAGGGAGGCGGCGTTTGTCTGCAGACAGCTTCCGGGTCATGTGGCCAGCATGACTAAGCCGCTTCTGACGAACCAGCGCAACACACGAAAATGCCATTTACCTTCCCGCCGGAGCGGTACCTATTGATCTACTTGCACTTTGACGTGCTTTCCAACTGCTAGGTGGACAGGAGCAGGGACTGAGCAGCGGGAGCTCACCCCGTCGTGGGGATTCGAACCGCTGACCTTCTGATCAGCAAGCCCTAGGCTCTGTGGTTTAGACCACAGTGCCACCCGTGTCCCTTTCAATGTGGATGGTACCTAACTTTATTTCTCTGCTTCATCACATCCAGGTGAAGCAGTGGAAATGTAGGATTCGTGCCTGGCTATCCCACTCCCACATCCCAGCCAGGAGGGCCAATAAACTGAAGCCCAGTTTGGACAAGGCAGGTGGGTGACCTTTCTGAGGAAGCTCTGCTCACCCTGCCCTTGGCGAGGTTGCACTCCCCCTGAAGGAACAGGTTCAGTGCTTGGAGGTTCCTCCTTGATCCACCCTTTTCCACGGAAGCACAAGTTGCTTCTGTGGCAAGGACTGCCTTTGATCAGCTGAGCCCAGCATGCCAGCTTTGACCCATAGAGATAAGCAAACCTCACTTGGCAACTTCCAGGCTAGACTACTGCAAATGCACTTTCCCTAGAGCAGCTTTTGAAGACCAAGTAGAAGCAGCAGTTAGTACGGAACATGGCTGCTAGGTCACTAACTTGGACCGGGTGTTGAGATCCTCAGTTTGGTCTCCGCACGAGGCAAATTTTGAAGTGTGTCCTCACTGGCAGATCTTGAGACTCCTTCGGAAGGAGGTGTTCCTTGAGATGATCAGATCATTGCAATCTGGTGGCTCCTCCGCATATAAGAAGAATTCTCGACAAACAGAAACTCAGCACATCAAGGAGGCAATAGTAGCTCAGGCTATTCCCTGCTATGCTAGACCTCAACCACTACCCTGCAACTTCCAGGGGGTTTCTTTATACAAGGGAGGACTTAAAACTCTCTCTCTCTCACACACACACACACACACACACACACGCACTGGCAGCCCCAAACCATCAGCTCCTGTCTACCAGCTCAGGGCTCTAACATCATATTCTGATGCTGGGTAGAACAGTGTCATAGTTGCTGTACTACTACTACTACTACTACTATACATTTTATCCTGCTCTGCATTGTTTCCCACAGGACAAAAGAATAAAGAACAAGTGAAAATATTTTTATTTTTATTTTTGTATTTTGGCCAACTAAAGTTTAAAATGGTACAGGAAAGTCTTTGAGTTGCACAGAAATACTGACTCCAGCAAATTATTTTAGAACTGGAGGGACCTTTTTATCCTTCACCACCCTTGGGGTTTTGTTTTGCTGTGGTTTTTTTGTGGGGAGGGGGGACTGTTGAATTCCTTGTCCCAAGATGCGGTGACATTTTTCTGAGTGACTCAGGAGAAAGTGGTTCGACTTGATTACTTACAAATGCACAGAGACACAAGCATTTCTGTACATACACATTTTCCTTCTTCCAGCATCCTTAAGGACTTTGTTTGGAAACCTGCCCCCGCTTGGCTTTCCCTCAAGAGAGGCGGGCGAAGTTGCATTGCATATCATTTCAGAAATGACCCTTCTGGGTTTTGTTTTTTTCCCCTGGTTGAAATTCTAATTATAATTAGAGGGAGAGAGAAATGCAGATGAAAATTAACAAAAGCACTTGTCAGATTTTGCTGACATCATCACTTTCTTCTCACTGTTTCTTTGTGGCTGTCCTCCTTACCTCATGGCCAAACAAAGCTTTAAGAGCAGGGGAGGCTGGTCTTTTGGGGCCCAAGGGCCGTGTTCACCCTCCCAAAAGCCTTCCAGGGGCCACATGCCAGCGGTGAGTGTGACCAGTGCTGGATTTCCAAATAAGCACTCAAAGCACATGCAGTGAGAATTTGCTGGTGCGTCCTTCTAATGCAGATCAAAGCTTCTTCTTCTTTGGTGATCGACCTCATAGCCGAGTAAGCTTGTCTTCCATGAACACAGTTTTAACAGTGAGTCTGTGACTGTGGAGGGCAATTCTGGATCCACACATCCTTCCACAGTGGGGACATAGGTTTCCAGAAGGGAGTTGATCATAGTGAGGGTTTGCCAAGTGTGCCTTCCTCTTAGTGCATTTATCCCTTTCATCCTGAGTTCAAGCATCTTCAAAGCCCATGACACCTTTGGTAAAGGCTGTTCTCCTGTGGGAGCACTCACGGGCCAGTGTTTCCCAGTTGTCAGTGTTTATACTACATTTTTTAAGATTTGCCTTGAGAGAGTCTTTAAACCTCTTTTGTTGACCACCAGCATTATGCATTCCATTGAGTTCACTCACTGGATCATCACCTTGTCGTGGTGAGTGGGCTTGCACGTTCCTATGAGCCTTGTGAGTGAAGCCATCGGGAGTCTCATACTCCCAGCGGGGTTACCCAAGGCGGTAAGGTCAAAGGGGAGGAGATAGACAAAGAATGATCCAAGAAGTCCTCAATGGCAGAACAGGCGGAAGATAACAAGCAGTATGTTATAACGGCTGTCAAGGTGGATGAAGGCTGCAGCAGTTAAGAATCTACTGGTTGTCATGATACTCATGCCATCAGAATAGAGCCTTACTGTGAAGACTGTGTGCTGGTCAGCATGCACTGATCTCCACACATGAAACAAATTCATCCACAGGCCCATCCTAGACACAAACCCCCAAAGTCCCATGGTGATCAGCAAATGGTAACGGGGGCAGATCAAAGCAATGTTTTGGAGCAATGTTTTGTTGATTCAGCTTCAACTAACTCTTCAGAATTTTGCAATCAGAAAATCTAGGAAGAAGTTATTTTAATTTCAGTGTACGTGTGAGTTTTGTGTCATTTTCTATTTTGAACTGCATATGAGGGCAGTACCATAATCTTTTCAGTGTTTAGGCCCTTTCAAGTTCTTAATCCAGCCTTATCCATCTGAGTGTGTCCACCCCACAGAGGGCACACAGACACACCTTAGGCACACAGGCTATCACCCTTTCCTGCTCATCAAATGATCGACTTGACAACCGTCAGAATGGGTGGGTTTGCATCTCCATCAGAGCTCTGTGCTGAGTGGGAGATCGCAACTTCTCCACGCACCCCAGGGCTCTCCCCACCACCACCACCACTGCTTACATTGAGAGTGGGGGTGGGCTTAGAGTCCAAAAGCAAAGGATATTTCATCCAAGGTGCTGGGGGGGGGGGGCGAAGAGGATTCTGTTTTCAAAACAGACCAATGTGTTTCGGCCAATTATTGATTAAAGGCCTTCCTCGGGGTCGAACTGAAAAACATCCTGCACCTGCAGAAATATCTGCTTGCGGTCTCTCTCGTGTACATTGAATAAGCACTCGGCATCTTGTGATAACATCTCCTTTAGTTTAAGGTTCTATGTAGATATTCTCTGCTTGTTTGTTTTTGGGATTTTTGGGGGGTGGGTCTTGGAGGGCCAAGAAAAATTGCTTGGGGGCCATATCCAAACACCAGTGCTGCGGTTAGTCATCCCTGCTTTGGAGGAATCAGTTGGTTAGAGCATAGTGCTGACCTATTTGGTGTGGTGACCTTTAAGGACTGGTCGGTAACTAAACAAATCATGGACAAGAGGGACAGGCTGGCAAGAGGGCTGGCCTGTTGGTGACCCGCCTTTTTGAAGAGTCCGGCGTTCCACCATCCCTCTTAGGAACACGTAAGCCGACTAGTCCGCGCACAGAATTGGAAATGGCTTCTGAAAACTGCAAACAAGGTCAACCGGAGGCAGTCAAAATTTCCAAACAGAAGGCTAAGCTCCAAAAAACATTACTCCCTTCCAATGAACCCAAAAGAAATCTTAAATGAAAAGGAGATGCTCTTTCTAGCCTCCCTTGAGCAAATTCAACAGTCCCAGGATGCGTTAATAGCTAGGTTACAAACCATTAAAAATCCTTATTCCGCCAAGGTTTTTCTGCTCCTTTGGAATTTAATTTTGCTACTAACACAACAAAGCCCTTATCCAACGAAGACTGGACGCAGTGCCGGTTCCTGTCCCCCGAAGAAGTGGGTTCTCCCACACAACCCTTAACACCTCAAACAACAACACACCAAGTAGACCTTGCCATGCCGATGAGTAGGAACGGTTCAATCTTTGTGGATGCCTCAGGATCCTTAGATGGCATTCAGGTGGAGGATTGAAAGACAGATACAGCGAGGGGACACCACGCCAGTGAAACAAAACTCACTAGGTTAGTACCTACCACAAAGGATACCAACAGCTCACTCCACCTCTACAAAAACATTCATTCCATCATCCTAAAGAACAAACGGAGAAGTCTACCTTTGTTCCCCTCACCACCATATTTTCACATCTTATCGTGGAATGTGGCGGGCTGGCTGTCTAAGCAGGGCGCTGCTGATTTTCTGGATTTTCTCTCAAAATTCCAGATTATTTGTCTACAAGAGACCTGGTGCCTAGACTCTCATCCCCCTTACTTACAGGGCTATGCGGCTTTTGCTACCCCTGCGAAAAAACTAAATAATCGTGGCCGACCCAGCGGCGGTTTGGTCACTTTTATTCCTATAGAGCAAGGGTACAGGGTGCGACAACTACAGTGGATGAAGAACAACAATTTTCAGATTTTACTTATCTCCAATAACACAGGAGGAGATCTTCTATGTTTCAACGTCTATATCCGCCGTGTGTACTTCCTCTCAGACAGTACAAATCTGGGAAGATTTGGAGTCATGCTTGGAGAAGGCCAAAATAGAATTCCCTGACTGGAACATCCTGCTGGCAGGTGACTTTAATGCCAGGATAGGCAGCGACATCAATTCGTATGGCTCCAAAACCCAGTTTCTACCAGAGGCAGACTGGCTTATCCCTTGGAGTTCTGATGAAAAGGTCTTGAACAAGGCAGGTATTACATTACTGGAGATTGCTTTTAAGCATAATCTGTACAACCTGCATGGTACTTACATGGACAGGTCAGGAGGTTTCTTCTCTTTTATCGGCCCTCGTGGTGCAAGTGTGATTGACCATATCCTGGTCTCTCCAACAATTTTGGAGAGGGTACAGGGTCTCAGCACTTTTAATAGAATTGAGAGCGACCATCTTCCTAGAGCAATCTCACTAACTCCCCTTGAATCAGGGGATTACAACATCTACATTGTGCAGCCCCTCCTCAAGCACCGGCCCCACGCAGGCGTAAATGGAACAGCGAGCTGGAGCTTAAAATTAATCAACACCTGCACTCTCCAGATCTATTGGTTCTGAGAGACCAGTGTCCTTTACCTAACTTTGATCCTTTTTCACTATATCAGCGGGTCTCAGAGTCCCTTTTCCCATTTCTTATAAACACCAGGCCTCCCATACAACATAACAAATCGGGGCCTGGTTTGACAAAGACTGCCGGAAGCTAAGATCCCTGCTTAGGAAACAACAAAATAAGGTAAAACAGGAGAGGACTTTGTCATCTATGGTAAATTTCCACAGATGGCGCTCTCACTATAAATACACCTTAAAACTCAAGAAATCCCTTTACAGGAAGAAACAATGGGAGGCACTTGATAAGGCGATTAAATCGCGAGACGATAGAAAATTCTGGGCAATAGTAGCACAGGGAGTCTCATCCAAAGGAAAAATTGTAAACAGCAGTATTCCATCCGATGTGTGGTATCAACACTTTCTCAAGCTATACACACTCTCAAATACTGCTAATTTGAGTCCGCTCCTCCCATTGAAGAATGAGCATCTAGTTAGTTGGGATCCTGTTACGGAATCAGAGTGCCTACAGCTAATTAAAACTTTAAAAAATGGCAAAGCTCCTGGCGAGGACATGATCCCCCCTGAGGTTTTTAAATTAAATGCCCAATGGTGGGCCATCTTTTGGCCAAACTTTTACGGCAATGAACAACACATGTAAAATCCCAGCAAATTGGAAACTAAGTGTGGTAGTCCCTATCTATAAGAAGGGAGACATTCAAGATCCAGCAAACTACCGCCCTATAAGCCTTCTGGACATCGCATACAAACTTTATACCCGGTACCTATTAAACAAGCTGGTAGATTGGGCGGACCATTCTAACCTGTTCAACCAGGAACAGGCAGGATTTAGAAAGGGCCACAATACGATAGGTCACTGTATGGTACTACAGACCCTGGTAGCTAAATATGCAAAAGCGTATAAGAGCAGACTCTTTGTGGCCTTCGTAGACTTGACATCTGCCTTCGACTCAATCTGTAGAGATAGACTATGGAAAAAATTATATGAAACGGACATTGACAGACGACTTTTAAAAATTCTCAGAGAGTTACATACAGACATTACAGTCAAAATCAGAACTGGGCCATCGGGAACTCTTACGGACCCACTGCCATTGGGGAAAGGGGTCAAACAGGGATGCCTGCTAGCCCCATTTCTTTTCAACTTTTATATAAACGACATTGTCCAGTACATGGCAAAGTACAAGTCATCGGCTCCAGCCCTTGAAGGTAAACGCCTGAATATTTTGCTATATGCCGATGACATGGTTTTAATGGCACTCACCCGAAGAGGCTTACGCAGCATGCTGGAGGGGATCGCAGCCTACTGTTCCCATAATTCACTAAAGATAAACCATGATAAAACAAAAATTGTGGTGTTTACTAGAGCTCGCCACACCTTTAGATGGTCTTTAGATGAACAAGTGATTGAACAGTGCCCTTTTTTAAATATCTGGGTGTTACATTCCAGGCTACATCTAGCTGGCTAGCCCACTTTAAGGCTGTAACCATCCTAACACGAAGAACAATTGGTGTTTTGCTTAGTTTCTTCCATACCAGGGGAGGACAATTGGTGATCCCGGCATTAAGAGCTTTCGTTGGAAAGCTATTCCCCAGATGTTATATGGGATAGAACTCTGGGGGTGGAACCAGAGGCTGTTGGAACGGCTTGAAATTTTGCAAAACTACTATCTCAAGAAGATTCTAGGCCTTCCTCAAGGAACCCCAGCAGCCTTCTTGAGGGTGGAGGTTGGTTTACCCTCTGTGTCTGCCAGGGCCCACTTAAGATTCCTACGATTTTACATCAACCTTGCAAACTCTTCAAACACCTTATTGGCCAAACAAGCCTTCGTATCTTTTCAAAAGAATACCACTTGGCGCCAAAACTTATCTGAGATCCTGGTTAGATACACCCTACCGGAGTTTAATATCCTCAAACGGTGGAGCCCGGACAAAGTCCGGAAATGGATCCTGGAGAGAGACGCTCTGTTAGATACCACAAAAATACAGATCCCAGGGTCCTCCCACTGGCTTCCCCGACTGAAAGCAGTCAAAATCTGCGCCAACTACTTGGCGAATATCACCAATCCCACTCTTCGGAGAGCCTTTACTATGGCCCGTTTTCAAACCATTCCTACGGCCTATCTGTCAGGCAGATATGCAAAAATCCCAGTAGAGCAGCGGATATGTCCTTGTTATATGAGAACCAAAGAGGATCTCATACATTACATGTTGTATTGTCCCATCTATTCGGCCTTCAGGGATGCGATGTTACAAACTATACCTAAATCAATAGTCAACTCTGAGGACCAAGTAAAGTTTTTACTGGTAGACGCTGATCCACGGATTTCTCACGTGGTAGCGGTCTTTGTGGTGAAGGCTATGAAAACTAGGGTATGGTTCCTGGATGAAATGGTGAGGTCCCTCCCATTGCTCTCCTAACCTGTTGCTGAACCTTCTTCCTTGAATGGTGGGGTTTTTGGGTAGTTTCCTTGCTGGGACAACATGGCATGAATTTTAGCTTACTTTTATAATCTTTTTGGTTTATCTTTTAATAATGTTTTATGGTATTTTGTGTAAAGGCATGGACCTCACAAATTTAATAAAATTTGTTGTTGTTGTTGTTGTTGCATAGTGCTGACAGCACCAAGGTTGCAGGTTTGATCCCCATATGGGGCAGCTGCATATTCCATCATTGCATGGGGTTGCAATGGACTAGCATTGGACTAGATGATTCTCAGGGTCCCTTCCACCTCCACAATTCTATCATTTTTTGTTTCTCCCAGAAATAGTAGGAGAAGAGGGAAATGGTTATCCTTTGGGTCCCCCTGAGCTTCCCACATTCAGCAGAGCAGAAGTGACCCTGATCCTGGTGCCATCTGCGAGGGTTGTGAGGACAGGTTCCCTGTGGCTGCACTCCACACTGCCTCGCCAACATGTCTGAGGTGAAACGGAGGTTTCTCAATGGCAGCACGGCCAGCTATTCCTTTCTTTGATTGAGACAAGCTCCCCATAAAGGCTAATGGGTTTTTGAAGGATATCAGGCACGGGAGGATATGTAGGGCCGTTCGGTCTTCAATTTTGTGGGAACTTACACTGCCTTGGGCTTACATTTCCACAGGCTGCGGTGATTCCACTGCCACTTGGGAAGTCCTCAAATGGTCGACGGGTTTGGCTGACCCAAAGGAGATGGGTTGCGAGAGAGATAGCCTCTGATGCCATGGATCTAGAGTTTGCGCCCACAGCAGTCTCCGGCGTCCTCTCTGCCAAGCAGACATCATCCAGGACAGTCCCTAGGGCCTGTAGCCACTTCCAGTGAGAGCATGAGCAAAAACTCCTGGGAAACCGAGCAATTGACAGTACTTTTCCCTGCTCCTCTGCATCTTAATTCTCCCCTGCCTCTTTCCCTCTGCGGCCTCCTCTTTAATGCATCGCATTCGGGGAGGCAGAGAGCAACTCTCAGTGGGCTATTAACGTGGTGCTGTATCAACTGGCCCTGAGAGGCAGAAAGCTTTCCCAGAAGCACTGGGAGAGGGATTTCTCCCCTCTCTCTTATCCCCAGACCCCTGGGGATGGTGTGGTTGTAATTCACTTTTACAGCGCTGCCCAATGAAGCGCAAATTTAAGTGTGCGTTCTCCCCCAATCCGATCCGCATAAAACCTGGAAGGCTTTTGCCAGCAGGACGCTGAGCTGGGGGTGGGGGTTCTGCTACACACGGCGCTAATCTAATCGCTGTCATGGGTCATTTCAGACACTGATGGGTTTTTTGCTCCCTTGCTAAGAGGCAGGCCATTGCCAGCTTCCCGGGGCCATGCGTTGTCTTGCTAATTATGAAGCCATAAATGTCTCTTTAGGTAAATAACTCACCATAAATAGAGGTGGGCTGAGAGATGAGGAGCGAAGTGGTGGCCGCCTCAAGGCGGTCACAGTCTTGTTCTGTGGGATGTCAAAGGCACCTGTGCCAGGAAGGTGTAAACCACCAAAAGGGATGGAAGGAGCTAGCGATGGCAGGAACTTGACCCAGAGACCAGTTTATGTGCTAGAGCTTAGTGCTATGGCCACGTGATACAAAGTTATGGACCCTCAGGGATTTCCTGTATTACAGAGGGTTGGACTAGATGACTCGTGGGGTCCCTTCCAACTCTATAGTTCTATGATCCAGTGAGGGGAAGCTTCTGTCTATGATATGCACAAGTCTCTGTCCACTTCAGTTCCTCCCAGCTTCTCATTTTTGCAATCTTAACTTCAGGTATCTATATTTCCACATCAGTTTGCTTTGGGGTTTTTTTTAATCCTCATGAAAGTTCATCAGCAAATTTCTCCTAATTGTATGTGTATGGTTTTGACTAACACACATATTTTTGCAAACAACTTTCCATAACACAATGCATTTTTGTCATTTGTTTTCAGCAATATATGCATTTTTATGCACACTTTATCCTAGTACATACATCTCTGAACATAGTACTTGGCTGGAAAACTGCAAATTTTGAAAGCGGGCTCTGCTTCAGTTTGTGCACAGTTTTGAAAAGTGCAAAAAATTGGTAGGTTTGCCTTTGAACAAGAACTGAATCAAATTTATCCTGCACTGGCATGGTGTCAGTGAGCAGAGTCATAGCTTCTGTTTATCATTTTCCAGCTCTTGTTCTTCCACTTAGAGCTTGGGAGCCAAGAAACGGAAGCCAGAATTTCATTTGCAAAAATATTGAACAAGTCAGGAAAACTAGAGAATGTGCTCAAAAATGGAAGCTGTAAGGGAGAAAGGAACATGGGGAACAGTGATGCTGTTGATATCATTTATTGAATTAAAGCTCTTGTGTACACTCTTGAAAGTGTACAACTTCCTCTGACTCTAATGGGTGAACATAACAAGAGTCATGCTAGGACAGATCGAAGTTCCATCTGGTCCAATGTCCTGGTATGACAGTAACCAGCCAGATGTTCATAGAGACGCCACAGCAGATATAGAATCATAGAATCGTAGAGTTGGAAGGGACCCTGAGGGCCATCTAGTCCAACCCACTGCAATGCAGGACTATGCAGCTGTCCCATACTGGGACAAACCTGCAACCTTGGCATTATCAACACCACATTCCAACCAGCTGAAAGTTAACAGCCCTCCCCTGCTTTTTGATCCACTTTAATTGGCAATTCACAGGTATAGTGCTTCTGGATGTGGAGGTTCTGCTTCACTATCGTGGGTTCAAAGGCATATCTTAAATCAATTACATAACTGGAGGCAAAATCCGCCATCCCCTCTCCCCAGATAATGATGACTCACAAAAGTTGCCTTAATTTTAAAAGCATTTTTTTCCAGGACTGGAAGAGGCTACCCTGGGGGGACCTTTAACTTTTATGGGAGAGAGACAATGGGGAGAGTGTGCACCCCCTATAGGAGAGGAGGGTTCATTGCATCAGAAGCCCAGTGTGACTAAATGAGTGCTATCTCTATTTCTCTCCCTACATCACATGACTATTGTAACATGACCAGAACTTACAAAGTTTAATATAACTCTTTTTCTCTTTTAATGTTGAGATATTTTGACATGGTGTTTTTTACCCCTGCTGAGACTCTTGCAAGGATGGAATTTCTCTGTTTCATGGCCTTTGCTATTAGCAGTTTCTGGAAAGATCCAGGACGCTGGATTTCCCCCTCAAGTGCCTTTCTGCACGATCGAGATTGAGCTGACCCCTGCTTTTTGTTGTTTCCATTTCTTCCGCCTGCCATATCTCCCACTTTCTTAGGCTTTTATGAGGGAGTCTGGCTGAGAAAAGAAGTGCGTAATGGCTTCCAAATTTATTTGCACGGCTCTTTGGAAATCGGAATTTATTATAGCGATAAGAAAACTTTCCCAAGTCGCATTCACGTCCTTAATAATAAAAGTGAACAATAAATAATAAATAATAATAAATCACGTGCCCAGGGGGCAAAGCAGGAATTTGAACGGCCGTGGAATTGGAGTAAGGGATTCTACTGTATTTCATTGTTTAATTATCAACTGCGGCAGAACCAGCATTGGGGGCATTTAATTCATGCTTTACTTTTATTTTAAAATGCTGTAGAGCAGCCTTCACCAACCTGATGCCCTCCAAAGTGTCCAATCCCATTAGTTACAGACATAGGAACGTAAGATCTTTCTGGATCAGGCCAATGGCCTATCTAGACCAGCATCGAATTTTCACTGTGGCTGACCAGGTGCTTGTGGGAAGCCCTTAAGCAGAAGCTGAGCACAAGAGCAATCTCCCTCCTGTGCTTTCCAGCAACTGGTATTCAGTATTATTGTCTCCAACCATGGAAGCAGGGCATAGGCACCATGTCTAGTAGCCATAGATGCAACCCATATCCAGAACTATAATAGCCACTACTGAGTCACCACCAGCCACCAGAAGCAGCAGAGAAATATGTCGGGGAGAAGCAGAATGCAGTTGAAGGGTGAGCGTTAGGAGGCAGAGGGCTTCTGGAATAATCAGAAGAGCTTGGCGTAGCCTCCACATCTCACCTCCTGAAGAAGTGGGATCTCGGGGTGGTCACCCGTGTTGCTGGGGTGAATCCACCAGCAGCTATTGGATAGAGAAGAACTAAATTCTAAGCCAACCTGATGTTCTCCTGCTGCTTTGTATTACAGCTGCTGGCTGTTGTCTGAAGCATCTGCTGATGCCAGGCACCTACTGGATACTAAGGAGTAGTCACCAAGAGAAGCAGGGTTGGAGACTGACGTCAAAGGAGTCTCTTGGGAGAACCTGTAACAGCCAGGAGACAAGAGGCAGAGGCAGGAGAAGCTGTGGCGTTGGAGAGTGAACAGGTAAAGGAAAAGGACCCCTGGATGGTTAAGTCTAGTCAAAGGAGATTATGTAGTTGCGGTGCTCGTCTCTCTTCAGGCCAAGGGAGCCGGCATTTGTCCACAGACAGCTTTCCGGGTGATGTGGCCAGCATAACTAAAACGCTTCTGGCACAACAGAACACCGTGACAGAAATCAAAACTCATGGAAATGCCGTTTACCTTCCCACCGCAGTGGTACCTTTTTATCTACTTGCACTGGCATGCTTTCAAACTGCTAGGTTGGCAGGAGCTGGGACAGAGCAACAGGAGCTCACCCTGTCACGGGGATTCGAACCTCTGACCTTCTGATCGGCAAGTCCAAGAGGCCCAGTGGTGTAGACCACAGTGCCACCCACATCCCTAGAGTGAAGAACAGGGGCAGGAGAAGGGAGAAGGGAGAGATAGATCAGGCAGGTGTGTAGTCAAGGACTTCCACACCACCAGCAGCTCCTTTCTCCACCTCTCCTGCTTTGCTGCCTCCCAGGACCATATGAGGATTGAAGTGGAAGGAGCAGATGGAGTCTTTGCCTGCTTGCACACAGCTCGGATAGAGGAGATATGTAAGCCAAGGTCAGGGGCAGCGCCTCTCTGTTGTGGCAACTGCTTCATCAGGTGCACACCTGGGAGTACCTGAGAGATGCAGGACTGCAGAACACACCTTCCCTTAACTTGTAAGTGAAGAGTTAATTTGTCACTCTGGACATTCCGTGCCTGACAGCATGGTGACAGCAGGGGACCAGGTTAGGGAAAGCCATGGTAAAGTTTCTCTCCCTTCCTCCAGTCTATGAAGTCCAAGCCTGACAATCCAACACCTCCCGCTCAGCTAAATTCACTTTGCAAAACGGCCAGTCCAGAGAGACTTCTTCTACCTGCTGCTGCTGCCTCCATTAGTGCTTAGCACTAATTGCCCATGAAATGCTCCTACCACCGCTAATGAAACGATGAGAGCGTGAGGCAGTTTTCAAACCACCTCCACCAAATAATCCCCCCTCTCCTCTTCCAACCCTCCCTTTTCCACCTCCTCCAGCTCTGGAAGAGGAGGCAAGGAAGAGGACACAGAAACCCCTCTCAGGGCCTACTTGTTAACAATGAAGGGCTCTGTGTCCCTTGTGCTAAGCCTCTGGGAATCACCAGCATCCAGCAATCAATGCAAGCTGAAAACTGTGGAATCTGATACCTCGTAGAGCAATGGTTGCTAAGCCTTCATTTTGGGCTAACAGCCAGATTCACCTTTGATTCCTCTCCTATTCCTCATCATGGCTAAAATCTGAAAAATGGACAGGCTTTGAGTCCTCAAGGGGTGCTACTGTTGCATCCCATAATGCTCCCTCCTTATCCCCTCATTGATGCCACTTCACCTAAACTTCTGATGTCCATATTTTTCCTTCTTTCACCATACCTTCATCCCTCCATCTCCCCATCATTTCGTATATCATGTTCCGAGTGAAATATGGAAAACTGAATAGTTGTGATTCCACAGAGGTCCAAACCATCTGAAGGGTTAAGGAAGGCTGCTCTATGGAAATCAGTGGAGCTAGTGACTTATGGCTAGCTGAAGTCTCATTGGTTTTGAAACTAGTATGTTTATTGCTATAAACTTATTACAGTTCATTTCCATACATTACTGATTTCTGCAAACTCCCCCTGCCAGGAAATCCTAATGAAGTGCCACTCAAAGGGTCACCTCATTTTTCTTGATGTTCTTCACCGCATCTTAACCACGGTTGCTGAAAAAAGCCTAGGAGAGGCACTTCCATCATCCCAAATGCATTTGCATGGATCTTATGAGCAAAGTAAGCCCTGGAGATGAGGTTAATGATGCCCCATTTGATGCACTGATTGGATTGGGTTTGGGAATGATACTGCAATCATGGCTTTGTGGAGAGACATTCTATAATGCATGACAGCCATGGAGTCAAAGACATGCTGCCCACTTTATCTACCCCATCATGTTTTCTCCTGGGGTCCCTGAAACCCTGCTAGAAAGACCTTTGTGATGATACTAGTTTCTCAGAGAGTTGAAGGCAATATAAGAAAAGAGGGATTGTTACCTATAGCATCAGGAAGGTGTCCTCCAGATTTGATGGACTCCAACTCCCATATCCCATTGGTTCAACTGATAGGGGCTGATAAGTCCAACAACATCTGGAGGGCATCTCATCGCCACATCTGCCCAGTACTACCCACTGTGTGTGGTAATAACCCTCAGCCCAGTAAAAAAAAAGTGGGGAGCTGGAAGGAGAGATGAGGCAGAAGGGGCAACTAGGTATGACCTTAAACAAGTCTTGGCCATTAATATAAGAACATAACAAGAATCTGGCTGTTGGATCAGGCCAAAGGCCCACTTAGTCCAGCGTTCTGTTTTCTCAGTGGCCAAACAGGTAACCGGGAGTCCTGAAGCAGGACTTGAGTGCAACCTGAGTGCAGGTTATTGTGGGGCAATAACACACATAACATCTTCTGGAAAGGAGGGACTGATGTTTGCCAGGACTGCAGCAGGAATTGAGAGGGGCTTTGAGCATTTCCTGCAGTCCTGATGACAGCCACTTCTCAGAAATAGAAGGAAAAGCTTCAAATTCCCGCTTCACATCTGCTGTGATCCCTATGGTTATTTCTCCTATGATTATGTCTGCATATTTAAAATATATATATGCATGCATGTTAAATTTATTTAACTAGACTAGACTAATCAACAGAGAAAATTGAGAGAGCGCTCGAGTGCCAAAGGTGATGCCCCACATTTTAAATTGTGCTCTCCAATGCTGTAAGTGGGCATAATGATTTGACTGGGAATGTCATTTAAGATGCCCTCGTGGCTATTCTTCAGTGCCATGTTGGACTGCCTTGCCAGCTGCCCCTACTGGGAGCTCCACGTCCCCCAGAGAGAACCCATTGTGACTGCATACACAGCCAGCACTAAAAGATAGGCCCGGAACAGTAGTTTGTCAAGCTTGTTTGCAAGAGAGAGCCAGTCGCCATCCACTTTGGCAGCAACGCCTAGGGCACGAAAGTGGGAGCTGATGGGGAGGAGTTCTCTTCGGATCTTCTCCATTGGGGGTGTGGCTGTCCCAGTGGCATGGTCTTTTACAGATGAGCCTTCCCAAGCCAAGGGTATCCCTGCAGAAAGACAGAAGCACTTCATCATGTTGGAAGAAGGGATGAATGAGGGCTTGCTTCACTTTCATTCCTAACCCAACCCCTTCTTACAACTCAGTCCTGGGCAGGCATAGTTCCTTGTTGACCTCATGCATTGGACTGGATGACCCTCGGAGTGCCTTCTAAGACTACAATTCTAGAGTTTTACCTACAAATCTATGAGGTTTGTGCTTGGACAGTCCTTAAGAACATAAGCAGAGCCGTGGGAGGTCAGACCAATGAGCCCACCTAGTTCAGTCTTTCCCAGTCTGGTATCCTCCAGATATTTTGGTGTATAACTCCCATCAGTCCGTGCTGCCTGGGGCTCATGGGATTCATTGTCCAAAATATCTGGATGATACCAGGCTGGGAAACTCTGCTCTAGATTCAAGCTGGTTCCCCACAGATGCCTCCTAAAACCCTACAAGTAGGGCAGAGTGAAGGCACAGCCATCCTTCATCATTGCTCCTCCACAGTGTTCAAGACGTAGGCTGCCTCTAAAGTTTCAATATAGGCACCATGGCTAATTGCTATTGGTAGACCTATTCTCTTTCTTGAAGTTGCTCCATCCTCTTCTACAGTGGTACCTCTGGATGCAAATGGGATCAATTCCAGAGCCCCGTTCGCATCCTGAAGAGAATGCAACCTGCGTCTGCGTGTCGTGTCTGCAGGTGCGTGGGTCGCTGCTTCTGCACATGCGTGTGATGTCATTTTGAGCATCTGCACATGCACGAGTGGTGAAACCCAGAAGTAACACGTTCCGTTACTTCTGGGTCGCCGCGGAGCGCAACCCGAAAACACTCAACCTGAAGCAACTTTAGCCTGAGGTATGACTGTAAAGGCTATTGCTCCATCTTGTGGCAGTGAGTTCCACAAATTAATGATGTATTGTGTGAAGAAGGGCTTTTGTATGCCTGTAATCCATCAACAGTTAGTGTTACGGGCTGACACACACATCTTCTGCTCCGGTTCTAGTTTCGTGAGGTGTGGGTGGGAAGACCTAATTTCTATCCACTTTCTTATAGTTTTATAAACTCGTTTTCTGTCTCCTGTTACTTCTTGGCCTTCTGTACCTGCAGCAGTGCCAGCTTTTTCTCCTGCGCTCCTAGCTGCCTTGGCATTTTCACCCACAGCGTCAACAGCATTCCTGCAGCAGTAAGAAGCAAAGGGCTTATCCCGTGTGCAGTCATCACCCAAGTGGAGGAATTTGATGAGGAAGATGGATTTGGATAGGCTGAGGACCAGCAGAGCCATGCAGATGGTGAAGAAGGCACCTGAGACGGGGGTAAGAGGAGGAGGAGATACTTGTGAACCATTGGGATTGCTATGATCCAGCACACAGAGCCCATATTAAGGGACTTCTCCAATGAGGATGATGACCACAAGCCATAGGCACTTATCCAGAGACTCTTGCATTGCCCCAGATCTATCAGGTATGGGGCGGGGAGTCAGTGAACTCAGTGAACTGGCTGAGGTGCTTTGTTCTCTGCACTACAGGGCAGCTAGCAAACCCAGCTGGCCAGCTCCTTGATAACGGAAGCCTGGCCAGGTTAGCTGATCCAGGGAGTCACAGGGAGCCCTGCTGCTCTTATCTAACAGCTGCTTCAGGCTTGGCTCCCCAGCAACTCACCCAGAGAACCTGCTGCCCAGCCACCTGCCTGCCTTGGGCTAGGTTGGCACTGCTCCATCACCATTGGTTTACAACCTCAGTGAGAACTTTGATGCCTGCTTTGCATTCCTTGCTTCCTACTGTATGCCCTCTAAAGGCTTGTACAGAAAAAGGACAGGCACACAAGAACACACACCTGAAGCATTGTGGGATACTTCCCAAGAGGGGCTGCCTGCGTTTTGAGACCCACTTTAGCCAAGGCTACTGCTGCAGAAAAGCTCATTTGGCACCCATGCATTTTGCCTGCAGCAGAAGATTGGTTTTCTGCTGTGACTTATTTTGGTGCAATCACAACCCGCTCCTGTTGTCCTGGTAATAGTGCAGTGGCTGGAAGAATGAGCTCTGTATCTCCTGGTGCTCCAGTTAGAATATTGCCCCTGCTGGGTAAACCACAACCTCACTGCCTCAGTGCCTTCACCTGCAATATGGGCATAATACTATACCTTTTCACAATTACCCCATTACACGTGTGAAACAATACAAACCCTTGTGCTATTAAGTTATACTCATATTAGTGATACCCTGTTTCCACTCACTGATCAGAGATGTGCCAATCCCAGTGCTTGGCAGCTCATCTGACATGTTGACTTTGAAGAGAGTGTAACCAACCAGCACGCTGGTTTTGAATGTTATCCTTGTTCCAGAATTCGGGGGCAGGTAGAAACTACCCAGGTCCACAACGAGCAGGAAGATGCTGGGAATCAGCAAGCTGACCACGTAGAGCAGGGGACGTCTGGTGATAACAATCTGGAGGAATCAGATGGAGAGAGAGGGCTGGCAATTAATGAAACTTCAGAGATAAGGAATTTATACTGCCTCTGGGGCAGTGATCTATCTTTCTCTACTGTTCTGCCTCAGCTGACCCACTGGGCCACAATGGTGACACCAGTTTCCTTAAGGGCATAAGAGGCCCATCAAGTTCACGTGCTTCTGGAAAGCCCGCTCCTGCTATTGCTCCCTGGAGACTGATATCCAGGGACCTCTGAACTTGGTGCTTCTGTATAATAGCTGTTCCACTTGCTTTTAGTGCAGACAGTACAAGTCAGATGTGGCATCCAAAACAGAAAAGGCAGCTTGTTATAAATGTTTCCAATTCATGCTTTTCTGTACTAAATTCAGTTGCTTACACAGATATGTCAAAGTTTGTGATGGAGTCATTCTAGAGAGTTCTGTTGACAATTCTGCTGTTGTTGTTGCTGCAGCTGTTGTTACATTTATATCCCTTCTTGTCTTGAACTGGATCTCAAAGTGGTGTACATAGTTATCCTCAAAACAACCCTGTGAGGTAGGCTAGACTGAGAGATTGGCCCAAGATCACCAATGAGCTTCATGGCTGAGTGGGGGCTAGCATTGTGGTCTGACACTTTAACTGCACTGGCTGGCCTAGGAAACATGGGAGGGAGGAGAGAGCAATGCTGACGTTGGTCACTAGCTATCAGTTCCTTATTTCATTGAGAATTTGAAAACCACAAAATTAGAAAATTTTGTGTTGATTGAAAGCTTATGTAGTGTCAAACTCACAAATAAGCTTTGCTTGGCCCTAGACAGCATCTTAAAAAGCAGAGACATCACCTTGCCAACAAAGGTCCGTATAGTTAAAGCTATGGTTTTCCCAGTAGTGATGTACGGAAGTGAGAGCTGGACCATAAAGAAGGCTGATTGCCAAAGAATTGATGCTTTTGAATTATGGTGTTGGAGGAGACTCTTGAGAGTCCCATGGACTGCAAGAAGATCAAACCTATCCATTCTGAGGAAATCAGCCCTGAGTGCTCACTGGAAGGACAGATCATGAGGCTCCAATACTTTGGCCACCTCATGAGAAGAGAAGACTCCCTGGAAAAGACCCTGATGTTGGGAAAGATGGGGGGCACAAGGAGAAGGGGACAACAGAGGACGAGATGGTTGGACAGTGTTCTCAAAGCTACCAACATGATTCTGACCAAACTGTGGGAGGCAGTGGAAGACAGGAGTGCCTGGCGTACTCTGGTCCATGGGGTCACAAAGAGTCAGACAAGACTAAATGACTAAACAACAACAACATACTATATTCCTCCACAAGTGGGAGCCTGATTCCTTTGAGAGGCACAATTGTTTTCTCCAGTCAAAACCATTGTGTCTGTCGAATGCTCAGAAATTTGAGATGACATCACACGGCGATTTCAGATGAGGACTGTGGGGTATGAACCCTCAATAGGATTCGGGCCACCCTGCATAAAACATCCTCACCGGGAACTGGTATTGGCCAATGGCAGCAGCATGTTCCTTCAGAATCTTCAGCTCTTTTCTGGGCAGGGTTTTGTGGAGTTGTCCATGGTCCTGAACTGCAACCTATGATTCTCTCAGCAACCAAATCCTTCCCTTCCCATCCTGTCTAACAGGCGATGGAGCTCATTGCCTTTAAATTCCCTAGCACAAGGAAGGAAGCAAAAAGAGGAGAGCGCTTTCGATTTAGTCGTGTTTGCCATTAGACACCCTTCAGGTGCTAGCGATATTATGCCACCATTTCATTATCCATTAACGCCAGGTAATAATAATAAGTACACAAAAGGTATTTGCAGCCCATTGGCGCTAATGAAGGGAATCAATCTCATTCGGTGCCCATTCAGCAGCTGCAGGCTGGAGATGGAATATTATCCAAGGTTAGGTGCCAACTGTCTTGCTGGCGGAGGACCCCACCAGCACTCAGTCTTGCCTAGCTGCCTTCATGAGGCGAATGGGGGCCGACAGTCAGACACAGCTTTGCAGCTGAAGCTGGCACCTTTCCCTTCTCATTTATTCAGCAAAGAAGCACCAGATAACAGTAAGTTTGTAGATTCTGTGCGAAGGTAGCATTTCCTGTGCTGGAGTGAGGAGGGTTGAAATGCTGAGTGTGTGTGCTGAATTTGTAGTGAATGTCCATGTATGGTAATGGTATGTGGTTTGTTTGTGCCATGGCCACTGCAGACATGTGACACTTGAAGTCAGTGCTGTAGCTATGGGGGCTAGCTGGGTTTTTTGCCCTGGGTGAAGCCTCCATTGAGGCTCTCAGCCTGTGTGTGTGTGTATAAATGTGCATAGGTAAAGGTAAAGGGACCCCTGACCATTAGGTCCAGTCATAGCCAACTCTGGGGTTGCGGCGCTCATCTCACTTTATTGGCCGAGGGAGCCATGTGGTCAGCATGACTAAGCCGCTTCTGGCAAACCAGAGCAGCGCACGGAAACACCGTTTACCTTCCCGCCAGAGCGGTACCTATTTATCTACTTGTACTTTGCCATGCTTTTGAACTGTTAGGTGGGCAGGAACAGGGACCAAGAAATGGGAGCTCACCCCGTCGCGGGGATGCGAACCGCCGACCTTCTGATCAGCAAGTCCTAGGCTCTGTGGTTTAACCCACAGCGCCACCTGTGTCCCTTATAAATAGCGGGGTGCCAAACTGGGAGTTTGACCCGGGTGAAATAAGGCCTCTGCAGCACAGTCATCTAAAGAAGCAAACAGGAAGAGTGAAGAGGAGGATGGAAGAATCGGAAGACAGAAGCAGAAGAAGCATGAAGAAAGAAGAACCAGGAAGATCCTTACTAGGTGCAAACCAAATTTCTCTTACTCCTAGCACTGAATCACATTACACGCTGATTGGAAATCTTGGGTTCCTAACAATTATCACATCATTGCTGATTTCAAAGTAAAAAAATGTATTTTTACTCCACCCTGTACCCACAGGGCACTCAGAGCAGCTTCACAATGTGAGGATTATTATTTTTTAATAAAATGCAAAAGTGCCGTTTAAAAAACACAACTATAAATGAATGAACAGCAACCATCTAAACTACAATACAAAAACCAGGCAACAGTAAGGCTGAAGGACCAGGTTTAGCCAGGAAGCCTTTGTGAACAAGAGATGAGAACAAGAACGAGAGGACATGGGGGCATTAAATGATGCCATTAAGGGAAGAGAAAGGCAGAAGAGAGGATAGAGTGACCAGGTCACAATGTTCCAGGTACTCACATGAAACCGAATCTGAGCAATGCTCCCAGTCTGAGTTTGCAGGATACGCCGCTCAGAGAGCACAGAGACCAACTCCCATTCTCCATCATTTAGAAACAACTTCTGGTCACTCTTGATCTCCTCATATCTCCTCCAAAAAGCAAGATCCACATCCTGAACTAAAAAGGATGCAGTGGAAAAAATGACAAAACTATTAGTCATGCACATTTAAGATCAAGTCCAGTGGTGAACAAAACGTTACGTTACAGCCTCACTGCACATTTAAAGCACATTGCATCCCCAAAAGATTCCTAGGAACTGTAGTTCACCCCCCACAGAAGTACAATTCCTAGCCCTCTCTGAAAACTAAACTTCCCAGGATTCTTTTCCAGTAATGTGGAGAACTCAGAGGGAGCAAACAGAGTCAAGAAATTAGTTCTCATGACGGAGAGAAGCCAGTCTGTGGCTACCTATCATTCCAAGGTATATCTCCTTGCCCCTTCCCACTCAGAGCCAACTCTTGTCCTGCGAAGTAAGGCAAACATGAAGCAAAATAGAGGCAGCCTCTATCCAACACAAGAGTCTAGTCTCCTAGTTATTAGAAGAGCAATCAATCCTGCCCAAAAAACCTGTTTGGGGGCTTAGATTCTCTCTGGTCAGTTGAGAGGCATCTCATCTGGTCTGACCAGACTCCCTGTAGTTCCTCCCTTTGGCCAGCACTGGATGGTGGTGGTGTTATAAAAGCAATGATAGAAACTGAGGAAGCGGCCTCAGACTATTGGTTCATCTAGCACAATATTGCCTATACAGTGTTCTTCAACCTTGAGTCCCCAGATGTTGGTAGCCATGGGCTAAGCTAACTGGAGATGATGGGAGTTGTAGTCTAGCAACATCTGGGGGCCCAAGGTTGAATAAGTGGCTCTCCCAGTCCTACCTGGAGATGCTGGGGGTTGAACCTGGGACCTTCTGCATGCAAGGCAGGTGCTCTACCACTGAGCTACAGATTTTCCCCCTAATAACACCCAGTCCCTGGGTTCGGAAGTCCTGACTCACCTGTGTGCAAAGCACTGCTGAAAGTCAGGCTGCAGTTCTGTGTGTCAAATGGGAAAGTGTACATTTCCAGGATGCATGCGGACACCACCTGCATGGGTTTGTAATTCTTGATCACACCACTGGCATTCAAGTAGACAAATGGGAGATCTGGGGATTTGCTGGCATCCACGCTATACCAGGAAGAGAGAGAGAGCAGAGGGACAGCCCATGATGTATTGTACATTACCAGGGAACACTATTTCCATTGCTAAATATTGCATCTTTTGTTCAGGCATGAGTGACATTTGTAGCCTCAGAGCTTGGGATATAGGGAATGGAACAACCCCCCTCTGAGTTACTCTATTCATTACTTCCCAAGTTCTGAGGCAATAAATGTCACTCATGAGTTGTCAAATGTCCCCTCTGAGTTGTTCCATTCCCTTGATCCTTTTGGTCCTTTCTTTCTTTCTTTCTTTCTTTCTTTCTTTCTTTCTCTTTCTCTTTCTCTTTCTCTTTCCCATATATCTGCAGTAGGCCTCCAAGGCAGCTAAAACCAATAAACCATATTTATTACTATAATATAATAAAATGCCACTGAAAAGCAACAATATCAAAACATCTTCAGCTTAACAACTGCAGCCCGAGGTAAAACCTACTTAAAAGAAGTTTATGAGACCCTGAGTCACCATCATCTCAAACCAACAAGGTCCACACTTACGATTCACCAACAATAATATCAGGAGCCCAGATGCGGTGAATGGGCAAAGAGATTTCTTGGATCCCATCATAACGACTGGAATTCCAAGTGAGATACTCATCCTTCCAGATCTGCAAAAGAGAGAAAGGAGCATGTCTAGCTATTTCTAAACTGTACTGAAGTCAAATGTATCACGATGGAAGCTGAGAAGCATCTGTTTGGTTTTTGGTTAGAGAAGTGGGGGAAATGGGTGGGGGGTTGAATTTAAAAGTGGGGGGGGAGGGAGAGAGGGCTACTTGGGTTATTAGGGAGGTCTGGCTTACTAACAATTAAGAGCAGGAGTACCACCTCATACAGGAAGGATATGGAAGCTGTGGCCCTCCAGATGGAGGGACACCATCAGCCCCAGTCAGTATCATCTTACCTGCCGATACCAAATGCTTGTTGTCAGTTTTTGATTCTGAGCATCCTGGAAAGCAAAAATATGTAAATTGTGCAAATCATGCAAACAACAACAATCATTATGATGGAAGACAGTGGAATCAGGAAATTATCATTGTTGCACATTTGCCTAGAGAGTTAAACAGGTTTTGCCTATTGTTAAACAGAACGTTTTCATCTGGCTTCAAATCATCTCCATCCCTGTCTCTCCCATTGCAAATTCAAAGAGTATGACTTGCATGGATCCACTTAGGTGTTCTAGGGACATGGCTCAAGAGCCCAGCTGGTGTTGGACATGGGACCCAAGCCATGCCAGAGCAGGGTGCAACTCTTTTGCCTCTGTCTGTCTCTGGTCAAAGGTGGGAACTGCAGGGAGACCAGCCTGAGATTCTCTTAAGAGCAGTAGGTCAGAGCAGGTCATATGTTACTTTATGGCTTTCCTACAGGAGGGATAGAGAACCAGGGACCCTCTGGACATTGTTAGACTCTAACTCAGGGGTCAGCCACATGAGGCCCATGGGCCACAAGCAGCCCATGGGGTCATTTAACCGGCCCATGGACCCCTGCCGCCGGCTTGGTCGGCTCTTGTGCACCACACTAAACCGGTGCGGAGAAGAGTGGGGGCTGGAAGGAGCACCGGAAATAGCGTTTGCACATGTGTGCACACACACAAACACACACACACTGGTCCACTGCGGCGTCTGCAAGACCGTGAACCAGCCCAAGCCACAAAAACTTTGCCAACCCTTGCTCTAACTCCCAGCATCCCCAGCAACTAGTGTGGTCAGAACTTGGGGATGATAGAAGTTGCATCTGGAGGTCCACATATGTTCCTGAACCTTGTTCTGGGTTAGGATTTTATGCACGTTTAAGCAATGAGGAAAGAGCTTTGCCTGTTTCTTGTGCTGGCTAGAATTATTCTGCCTTATCTCATCGCTGCCTTGCCCCATCTCTAGATTTGCAGGAGCTGCACCTGGAATCCAGCTAAGAAAGAAAAAGGGGAACCAATCAATTTTGCCAAATGGGCAACTCTCTGGAGGCCCATCTCCATCACTGTCTTCTCCTACACCTGGCTGACGCTGTTTTGTTGACCCTCAACTCTCAGGTACCCCCCTCTGTCTGCTGCTCCTTACAGTAAATTACCATTGACAAAATGGCACACCGCTGCCGGCTGTTGACACTATAAACGAATCACCCATCTCTCCCTCCCTACCACCCTAATTAGTTACTCTGACATTAATCAGGTTGCTAAGAATAATGCATATTCTCTACAAAAGCGGGGCTTGAAAACTGGGCAGCGTTGATTGCCTTCTTCTCTGGAAGGTTCACAGTTTGGAAGCATCCCTTCCTAGCAAAGAGAATAACAGAGAAATAATTGCAAGGGGGGGTGAGAGAGATATTTTGCCATTGTGCTGGTGAAATGGCCACCATATTCCATGCATGCTCGGGCCGAGAGGAAAGGGAGGGGGCAACTCAGAAAATATTTTGAAGTTTAAAAATGGTAGTCCCACTTTCCAAGGAACCCTGCCACAGTCCACACACACTTATAGCCTCACAAGCTGCAGGATGCTTATTCAAGGACACACTTCAGCCCTGCAGAACCACTCAAGGAGGGCATGAATGGGGCTGGTAAGGGGTGTGGCCCTAGGGAAAGAAGGGGCAGCTTGGGGAGAGATCCTGATGGCCAGACAGAGAGGGTTGGAGGGCTGGATTTGGCTCGCAGGCCTGAGATTCCCCACCCCTGATTTAAGTCTTCTTATGCATACCCCCACATTGTATGAACAGCTAATTCTTATCCCCATCTCTGCTTCCAGCACCTTTCCTGCTTATCAGTGCTGTATCAGCACTCTTTGCTTTGGGCAGCCCATTGGCTGTTGACGTTCCCTCCATCCCTAGTGCCAGAGTTGAGGGAGTTGGGGGGGGGAGTCAGAAAGTAAAACTTGACTCCCCTTCAGAGTTTTCCTCCATGCCAGCTGGCCAATATAATTGCTTCTCTCGTTGTGCCATTTGAAACTATTCCTTCCTCTCTCGCTTTGGGTGTACATGTACGGATCCCCTTCCATCTTGCTTGTTAAAAGCAAAGGATATTTGGGAGAATTGGAATTCATTAGTCTCCCTAACATAGGAAGCCTACTTTAGTCTTAAATTGGTGGTTAGCAAACATGCAGATAATTCCTCCGCATTCTTATTTATCTTTCCCCCAGTTCGGCATCCTGTTGTAACAGCTGCCTCGGCGTCTGTCTGGGAGGCTCTAAGTCAGTGGAGTGGAAGACGGAGGTGCGTGGAATTCGGCACTGACGAAACTCAATCTAAACAAATTGGAGCTCTTTCTCCGTTGACTAGATTATCGGTCTAATCAGATTTCCCCAAGGCCCTCCTAATAACTGGAGAGTCTCAGACTGCTCCCCGCCTTTTATGTGCGCGGAACAGGAGGCAAAAGATCAACAAAAGGAGTCGCAGGCGACAGGGAAGATGGGGTGGGAGCACTTTGCGTGCTGCAATGCCTGCCGAATGGCTCCTCTATTAGCGTGCACACCTGCCGAGGCCTGGGAGGCATCGAGCGTTCTTGCAGAGCCAACGGCAGCGTCTGACAACGGTGATTACACAGCCAAATCTCTCCTCTGATCACCGGGGGGTACAAATACGGTCGCCATCCGCGTAAGTTGATCGTACAAAACAAAATGAGCAAAGTCAGTCCCTTGCAAGCTCTGGGCCTTGTTGAGCCACTGTGCTTTCCATCTTATGGGCATGGGAACCTGCCTGATATGGAGCCAGACAAAAGCGAAGTCTGCCTAGCTCAGTACAGTGGTAGCCTCTGAAGTCGAAAGGAATTCGTTCCGGAAGTCCGTTCGACTTCCAAAACGTTCGGAAACCAAAGCCAGTGGCAGAGGAGTCCTCTCCGGCAACCAGGGCAGAATGCAGAGGGGTGGGGCAAACCACCCAGTGGCGCACGCACGGCGACTGTACGGACTGCGTATGTGCGGCATCCAGTACAGAGTGTGCATGCGCGGCAGCCCATACAGTCGCAGTGCGAGAGGCAGCCCGTACAGACACCCGTATGGACAGTGCACAAGAGCGGCAGCCCGTACAGTCACCGTGTGAGAGCAGCAGCCCATATGGACACTGTGTGAGCGGCGCCCATACGGACTGCATGCACCCTCAGCTGCTCTTCAGCTGGGGGGAGGCGGGGGCCATCTTGTCACTCCCCAGAGTGGCACCCGGGGTGGCCTGCCCCCTCCACACCCCGCTTTGTATGGCCCTGACCGAAGCATGGCTTCTGATTGGCTTCAGGAAGCTCCATCAGACGTTTGGGTTCCAAAGAACATTCACAAACCAGAACACTCATTTCCGGGTTTAGGAGCCAAAACGTGTGAGTACCAAGGCATTTGGGATCCAAGGTACGACTGTATTGTCACTTCTGACAGGTAGTGATTCTCCAGAGTTTCAGGCAGGAGGCTCTTCCGGTTCCAGCTGGAGGTGCTAGGGACTGAGTTCAGGACCTTCAGCATGCTAGGCAGATTCTCTACCACTGGGCTCCAGCCCTTCCCTCTTACATAGTGGTCAGGGGGTTGAAGACCCCTTACTATTGCTGCAGCAGAGTCCCAGCCTCCAACAACTCAATCAGTATGAAAGGGGAGCTTTTTAGCAACTATCCACTCCAGAGATAAGCATTTAGGAACACTGAAAAAGCAACGTGCTTCAGTTTCTAGAGAATGGTGGGCAAATTCTATTATGTATGATGAAACTTCTCGGAAAGTCACTCCAGAAGGACAACTTGAGTCACTCCAGAAGGAGATATTGGAGCACTCCAAATCATTTGCCCAGGTATGTGCACAGAAAACAGTATATCTAGCTTTCAGAAAGGAGGAGAGCTTAAAAGCTCTTTCCATGGCAGGAAAACCTGGTGTGGAAAGGTCTCTCTGCCTTGCTTACCAGGCTCTGGGAAGATCTTGCATAGCCTCTGGAGGCCATGAAATCTCGGATGGCCCTGTAAGATCTTGCAAAGATGATGCCAGACTTTCCCAGAACTCAGTAAGCAAGTCTGAGAGCTTAAAAGCTCTTTCCACACTGGGAAAACCTGGCACAGAAAGAGCTTTCAAGCCCTCAGACTTGCATGGGTTTAATTTGCATGATTGCATGCTGGCCAGCCAACAAATGCCTAAAGCTGCAATCGGGCAAGTTAAACACATGCAAGCTGCGAGTCAGCTGTACATGCATTTTTGCACACATTACTTAGCCAGAGGCCAGCACTGCAAAGTTTGAATTCTGAAAGATGGTTTTGTTTTAGTTTGTGTGTTGTTTTGCAAAGTTCCTTTCCGGGTAGGTTTGCCTTTAAAATGTTGACTGAATCAATTCCCTGCTCTCTGGAAGTGCTGCAATATTCTTCTGCAGATCTTCCAAAATTGCTGTTGCAGACAGGTAATAATTACAGGGTTCGATTTAATGCAAAGCTACTTGCACCCAACCCACATTTAGACCTCAATGACTACAGAAGCACATCACACATGGGCTCTAGCCCCTGTTTAAAGGTGTTCCCCTTGCAGAGACTTCATTGCTATTCTACCCTGCAGGTCAACAGCTTTAAATGAGCTAGAAGCTCTCTTTACCACGTCCAGTACTGCATGCACAAAGAGGTCAAGATAGACGATGGTGGGCTTGCTCCAATTTCTGACAGGCCTCACTCCCTTGCTGTACTTCTTCAGAAGCCGCCGGGTCAAGCGGTGCAGTGTGGAGTTCCTGGGTCGCTGAGTGGCGGCAGCCAAAGTACCTGGCAAGCAAAGAGACTCAGGTAATTGAGTGTGATGGGAACATGACAAAAAGCTGACAACACTTTCTTGAGAAGGGCTGTTCTTCCTGAAGCGCTTGAACCCTTCAGGATGGGACAAAGAGCCTAACAGAGAGGTATTAACTTAAAGCCTGGAGTGGGCCAGCTGGCACGTGGAGTACCACCTCTGTTGAAGTAAGGGTAGCAAAAATGCAGCCAATTATAAGGCAAATCTAAAAAAATGTAGTATAAACACTGGCAACTGGGAAACACGGGCCTGTGAGTGCTCCAGCCTTTACCAAAGGTGTCGTGGGCTTTGAAAACACTTGAACTCAGGATGAAAGGGAGAAACATGCTAAGAGGAAGGCCCACTTGGAAAACCCTCACCATGATCAACTCCTGCCTAGAAATCCATGTCCCTACTGTGGAAGGATGTGTGGATTCAGAATTGGCCTTCACATTTTTTAAGATTTGCCTTGAGAGAGTCCTTAAACCTCTTTTGTTGACCAACAGCATTACACGTTCCATTTTTAACTTCGGAATAGAGTAGTTGCTTTGGAAGATGGTATTCAGGCAACTACACAACATGACCAGTCCAACGAAGTTGATGTTGAAGAATCATTCATCCTCACCACCACCATATCTGTAACCAAGGCTGTGATCCTGTGTATACTTAGGGATTTGGATATTATAAATTCCCAGTGAACACAATGGAACTTGCTTCTGCACAAATATACTTTGAATCAGGCTGTGTGATCCTTAAGGCTTCTGTCCCTACCAGGGGAAGCAGAAGGAGTAAAGCTCAATCTGCTAATTGGATACATTTGGCATCAGTTGTCAGGTACAGAGGTTGCCTGTGGTTAGGAAAGAGAGTGGTGTTGGTTTGGCCTTTGCACTGCTTCTGCCTTTCTTCTCTGACAGCTCATGTCACACGACAGCCAGCCTACTGCCTTTCACCAAGCTCTGAAGTCACTTTAATTTTTAAGATAATAGACTATGTGTTTCCAGTTAATGTGCTTTTTCTTTTCATTCAGTGTTCTGCAGATCTCATTCATGAATCTAGACCACAGAAGTGAATGTGGAATAGGAATTAGCGAACCCCGTGGCGCCTCCGGAAAATGGCGGAATTCCCTTCGGATTGAAGGGAACCCGCTGCACGGAGGCTTGGGTCCTGCCGCTACGGCGCAGCGGGGACCCGCAAAAACCACAGGCGGAAGAAGCCTGTGGACGTGGGACTCGGCGGGCACCGAGAGCGCTCTCTCCCTTGTACAGGAGCCCGGTAACGGGCTCCGGAGTGGAGGTGCGTGGTGCTGTGAGTCGACTGCTTCCTCCCGTGCAGCAAAGCCGCACTGCCGTTATCGGAGAGCGCTGCCTTTTTCCTGGACAATTTGGCATCTAAAATATCTATCCGTGAGTACCTGATCTTGGAAGAGTTGAACCACTTTTAAGACTGGTGAATAAACAAATAATATTGGACTTGAAATTGAACTTAATTGGGACTCGGAATGGGAAGGTCTAAACAGGAAGTCGCCTTCCGTTCTTTTGTTATGTGAAGAAAGCAAAGACAAAATATACTAAAGCTTGAAAATTAAATTCTAAGAGAACTAGAATTCAACATCTAAGATTTCTGAACCCCCTTTGACTGCAGGAGAAGAAGGGGGTTGTATTTGGACTTTTCAATCCTGCGGAAGTGAGTTTAAAATAAAGCAATTTTCCACCGCCCTGAACCAGGAGCGGGCTGTCAGAATTGACGTTCTGAAGTTTATCCAGCTCGACAGTTAGTTAAAAGAAGGGTAACATTTTGATTCTACTGTTGCCTCTTGAATTTGGAAGGGGAATTTTGGATAAAGTGTTTCTGGAAAAAGAAAGATTGTTGCTGTTGCTTTTATTCCTTTAAAAAAAAAAAATTCCATCTAGTGGAATTTAGTGAAATTGCAACGCAGAGAGATTAAAAGAGAAGGACTATTGGACTATTGTCGTGGGAAAGAATTTTCTTTGACCTTGAAGGACAATGCTAGTACAAAGGCTTGAACAATTGTTCCTGGAAGGTTTTTCAAAACTAAGTGCCCAGCTGGACCAGATGCGTCAGGAGACGACCTTGATGATGGAAGTTACCAGAGCACAGCAGCAAACAAATGAAATTCAGTTAAAGGCTATACAAGCATATGAACCTGCTGTAGTGACGGAGGCTTCAGAGATGGAGGGACCTTTGGACGGGCAAGATCAGCCTTTGAACTTGATAAATGAACTTGGGACAAACCAGATTCGGAAAGATGAAATGTGGTCAGATTTGGAAATGGGGGATGGATCGACCCCCTCCATATGGTTATTTGGACCTTCCGAGTCTGGTGATGGGCTATCAGAGGATTGGAGTAGCCGAAGTCTCCAAGCTTTGTGGAAATTTGAAGTGGTATTATTTGCTGTCTGGCTTGGGCAATGGGTTTGGGATGGACTTGCTGCAAAGGGTCAAAAGCATTTTCTTGCTGGAGCATCCACGACTGGAAAGGAATCATCAACAAGAGTGGCGAAAGGGGCAAGAAAGAGACTTGAGGGCCTCGGATACGAGACAACCAGGTTAAGGAGCCGGATTATCGAGGTTAAAAGGACTGACAATCCCGGGTCCAGGGGAGGGGAGGTTGGAAGCTGACTGGACTGAATTTGACTTATTATTTTTTCTTTTTTCTTTTTTAATATTGGGAATGCTTATAAATGTTTGAAGGATGTTGAATGAAATTACATGGCTTAAGTAAGGATTGGTAAATGATTCGTAAAAAGGTAATGATGCAAGAATTTGGTAAATATTGAATATAAGCTATGAGTTTTAAAGTTTTTATATGACAAGAGGGAAAATAGAATAAGGAAACGTAATGACAGATTGTTATGAAAAAACAGAAAGGATTTGCTGTAAAAATTAAAAATTAAGAAACAAAAGAGGGGAGGAGGAGGAAGTTTAGAAAGGAAGTCAATAGAGATTGTAAAGGACTTTATATTTTTGTTTTTCTGTTTCTCTTTTTTTTTCTTTGCGGCTGGGTTCTTTTTTCTTTTTTGTTTATGTACTATTTTTGTTTTTTGTATCCTCAAATTTTTTTTGGAAATTTTTGTTGTTATTCTTTGAAAATTTAATAAATATTAATTATAGGAATTAGCGAACCCCGAAAGCCACATGGTTTGGGAGCTGATGAGATTGTGCCTGATCCTGTACTCAGATAATTTAGTTCTCTCTCTCTCTCTCTCTCTCTCTCTCTCTCTCACACACACACACACACACACACACTCCAACCCACCCACCCTTTCCCCCATATGAGAAGCTTCTTTACTGGAACAAAAAAATAAAATCTGTTTGCATAGCAGGAGAGAAAAAGAGCCAGGGATGCGGGAGCATTGGGGCGGGGGGGGGGGAGAGAGGGAGATACGGAGACCCAAAATTGCATGTGACACATTCCTGAGTGGCCCCTCAGAAATGCAAAAAGATTCTCTCCCCCGCCCCCTGCTCACTGTTCCAGCTGGCCCTTGGGGAGCTCAGCCTCACCAACTCATTGGGCTGAAGCAAATTGGCAACGTGTGTGAGCAAAATCTAATCTGCAGGGTCCGAGATGTACGCTTTCTCCCGCTTGCCGGGCCTCTGATAGCTGTTTTGATGAGCTGCTGAAGGGACCAGAGTTCCAGCAGGAAACTGTAAATGAGATGTCCTCTCTCAGCACGCTGAGGCTGCTTATGTCCATTTTTTATGAAGGATGCCATGTCAGGAGCTGGGCTGGGAAGCGATCCCTATCTTTGATCAATGTCACAGCAACAAGAATGTTACGGACAGGGCTGCAGGTGTGTTATCCTCAGCAGAGCCTGCGGAATAGCAAGCCCTGGTTTCATCTCAGCCAGGAGGCAAAAGCATATTTCCTTCCTTAACTGGAATCAGAATGCTAAAAGGAATGTTTTAAAGGGGAAACTGGAATCAAAGCGGCCTGAAGAATAAATTTAGTTTCTAAACTCAGGGAATATACCTTAGAACAGGCATGTCCAACAGGTAGATTGTGATCTACTGGTAGATGGCGGGGTGTTCCTGGTAGATCCTGGTAGATCTCTGGCCCCTTAGTGATCCCTCCTCAAAAAAAATGCTCAACAACTTTGGCTTTCCCAAAAAAGCTCAACTCTGGCTTCCTAAAAGAAGCTCAACAAATTTGCCTTTCCAAAACAAGATCAACAACCTCAACAACTCTGGTAGATCACTGCCAGTTTTTTTATACTGTGAGTAGATTGCAGTCTATTAGGAGCTGGATGTCCCTGCCCCAGAAATATGGTTTGTGTTCTTGTTAAAGACTTGGTTGGGGGATATGGTTAGAGTACAGACTAGGATGAGGGAAACCGGGGTCAAATCCCCACTCAGCCATGAAGCTCACTGGCTGACCTTGGGCCTGTGTTCGTTAGAGAAAGAGGTATGATATAAATGCATGGATCAATAAATAAATGTGTCAGCTGTTAAGAGAGCAGGTGCTCAAAGTGCCAAAATATTTTATTATGCACAACATGTTTCAGAATTATGAGCTTGCTTCATTAGTGGCTGTGCTTCTCATCACCAACCTGTAAATATAAACACCTGTGGCTTTCACCTTTGCCATTTTATACAGCATCTGTTGATTGATTTCATAAAATTCAAAAACGACTTGATTATAAGAAACCTCAAAGTGGTTCACAAAAGATAAAACAGTAAAAAAAAATTGTAACCTTACTTTAAAGTACCCAAAACTTAAAATACGAAAACAGATTAAAATTACCTCAACTTTCTAAGCATCTGTGTAGGCTTGTTGAAACAGAAATGTTTTCAGGAGGCACTGAAAAGAGTACAGTGGAACCTCGGGTTGCGAACGTGATCCGTGCGGGAGGCACGTTCGCAACCCGCAGCGCTGAGTCTGCACACACGTGTGACGTGATTCGGCGCTTCTGCACACAGTGCCGAAACCCAGAAGGTAACCCATTCCGGTACTTCCAGGTTTCAGCACGTCCATAACCTGAAAACGTGTAACCCAAAGCGTCTGTAACCCAAGGTACCACTGTACAGTGAAGGCACCTGCTTAATCTCAATAAGCAGTGAATCCCAAATATGCACACATTACGAATTGCAGTAGTCTTAACTTGGAAGCTGTCAGATGTCTCTGCCCAGGAATGGCTGTAGCAGCTGACTATCAGGCTGCTGCCAGTGACTCCCATGGCCGGTTTCCCAGGAATGTACAAAGACAAGGAAATGTTTCTTACCACTCACTTTTTATTCAGTATTTACAGAGAGAGGCTATAGAACCCAGCCTCTTGGATTGTCCCGAGTGACTCTCCACCCCCCGTCTCTTCCACTTCCTCTTTCGTCACTTCTATGGGTGCTGCTACGTGCCTTTTGCCTTTGAGCTCTCTGCTCTCCTACTTTCAAGGCTCACCAGGTTCTGGGAGAGGGGGGATCTGGAATGCTTTCTAAAGACACTGAGTCCATCAGCTATCGCCCCCTTGGTGCTCCTTCTTCCTCCTCCTCCTCTCCCATGATTTCCCAGCTTTCCTCCTCATCTGCCTCTGAGCTGTGACCTCCCTCAAACCCCTGTAGTAATTCTAAACTGTCTTCCCTTTCCTCCTCCCTGGAAGGGTCAAGCTGGGGAGGCAGTCTCCACCATTTCTCCTCTGCCCAGTCCCTGACACGGACACACCAGTCTCATCTGGTAAAAGGCACTCTACCACACCTGGGCCTCTATGACAAAGCTGGGTTGAGGAGGACCCCACATTGTGAACCTGATCTTTTGGGACAGTTGTTCCAAAACTCTTCCCATCATGGACCAGCAGAAAATTCCTGAGGATCTTGGAGAACCACTTAAAGATTTTTTTGCCCACCGTAGCAATTGGAGAGCACTGTGCTAAACGATGTGTGCTTTTTAATTGTGCTTTTGCGGACACAGACCACCCGACTGAAGCTCACGGACCACCAAGGGTTCACAGACCAGTTTGGGAAGTCCTGCTTTGGGGCACAGATGGGGAATCTGTGGCCCTCCATATCTTGTTGGACCACAGCTCCTATCACTCCTGCCCACTGGCCAGGCTGGCTGGGGCAGATGGGAGATGGAACCTACCAACATCTAGAAGGCTACGGCTTCCCCATCCCTGCTTTGGGGTAAGTGCAGCCCCATTCATAAATACGGCTGCCCCATTCATAAAATCTGCATCAAGCAGATTTTTAAGCTTGATGCAATCCCAAAAACAGTGCAATGTGTGGAAGTCCTGCTGAAGACTCAACGCCCGCTGGCCTGTGTCCAAAATGGAACCAGGTTAGAGACTTTAACCTGCTACACCGATTCAGAAGTCAAAACCGGACGTTTCCATGGGGACAGCAATGCTCGATGGAGTTAATGATGGTGCTAAAAATAAGCCTAATAATGATCAATTGTCGGCTGTGGCGCAATATCGTTGCGAGCTTTGTGCCCACCTGTCCCCATTGTGGCTACCACCAAGGAACGTGATGCTTCTGGGCTGCGTTCCAGCAAGAACTGTGGAAACAAGCAACGTGCTTGAGCTAATGTCAGGGACAGAGACGGCTCTCATCATTAGCAGCTGCACATTTCCTTCGGCAGCCTGGAAGCGTTGCAAATGAGGCTCCTAAAACTCAACTGTCAACGGAGCTAAACGAATAGACGTTGTTGATAATAACAACATCTCCCCGGTGTAGGAGCACACAGGGAAGTAAGGTTGAAGTGGCCACATTTCAAAGCTGCAAAGTATCTTTTGGGTATTAGCCCCCTGTAGCAAACATTCACGTGCTTTAATCCTACCCTCTGGGAGTGTCAGAAACATTCCTCGCCAGTTTGGCCGCAGCTTGGGAGTTTTGTGCTGCTTCGGTGAGACTCTGGGTTGTGATAGAGAGAGACCACCAGAAGTGTGACGCAATCAAGGGAAGGGAGCCGCTTACACAAGACCATAGCATCACTGGAGCAACTCAGAGAGGGAGAAATACTTGCTCCTCATCAAGAACCAGGAATGTCCGCTTGGCTTCTCAGTACATTGGCTCCCAGTACGTTTCTGAGCACAATTCAAAGTGATGGTGTTGACCTTTAAAGCCCTAAACGGCGTCGGCCCAGTATACCTGAAGGAGCATCTCCACCCCCATCGTTCTGCCCGGACGCTGAGGTCCAGCGCCGAGGGCCTTCTGGCGGCTCCCTCATTGCGAGAAGGAAAGCTACAGGGAACCAGACAGAGGGCCTTCTCAGTAGTGGTGTCCGCCCGGTGGAACGCCCATCAAATGTCAAAGCGATAAACAACTACCTGACATTCAGAAGACATCTTAAGGCAGCCCTGTTCAGGGAAGTTTTTAATGTGTGACATTTTAGTGTATTTTTGGTCTCTGTGGAAGCCGCCCAGAGTGGCTGGGGAAACCCAGCCAGATGGGCGGGGTACAAATAAATTATTATTATTATTATTATTACTATTATCCTTGAGATTTTATTTATTTCATAAAATTTATACACTTGACAGGGGACGGGGAACCTCAAAGTGGTTTACAGATAGAATAAAAAGATAAAATTGTAAGCAAGAAGAATTAGCAACAATAATTTAAGACTTTCGAAAAGTTAAAATAACAATAAACTAAAAGCAGATTAAAGCTTGCCTCAGCTTTCTAAAGATCGGATCAGGCTTGTCTAAACAAAAAAGTTTCATCAGGTGCTGAAAAGTGTGCAGCAAAGATGCCTGCCTGATATCATTAGGCAGGGAGTTCCAAAGGGTATGTGCTGCCCCACTAAAAGACTGAGTTCTTACAAATGCAGAATGAGTGTTACGTGACACCTGTAACCCTACCAATTCTACCAATCAAAGCAGTCAAAAGGGAGTATATGGAGTAAGGCCATCTTGTAGGTGCCTGAGACACAAACTAGATTTAATGAACACTCATTTCAGAGTGCTTTGTAAACTGATAGTCATAGCCTCTTATATACTAACATTTTATGCTCTTCCACTTCCATTTAGTGCGCCTAACCCTTCTTTTAGATTCTTATAGTACCTTCTGTTTTAATAATTTTAGCTCTTCAAAATGTTTTACAGATTTTAAATGATTGTACCCCACCCTATTGATGCTAGTCTATGACCGTAATAAAGATTTGATGATGAATCTTGAAGATAAACTGGTCCCAAGTTGTTAAGGGTTTTATATACTAACACCCAGTGCTATTTTTCTAGAAAAAGAAGTGCCAGAACTCACTATGAACACCTCCCTTGTTCTCTTCTAATGGCAATGGCGCCCACCTGAGAGGTGCCGGAACTGAGTTCCAGTGAGTTCTGGCTGTAAAAAAGAGCCCTGGTAACACCTTGAACTTTGCCCAGTTCCAAATAGACAACCAGTGCAGGTCTCTGAGCACAGGTGTAATATGCTGACAAGGCCTCACTCCCATCAGCAGTCGTGGAGAATCACTCTGCACTAACTGCAGCTTCTGGATCAAGCACAAGGAAAGCCCCACAGTAATCTAGTCAAGAAGTAACCAACGTATGAACTACTGTGGCCAGCCTTTCCTGGGTAACTGTATTCTGCACCCATGACTCCCAGTTGCCTCTGTTTTGTGCAAAATCATAGGTTCACACACACAGAATGTCCTGACTATAATAGTCTTGCACATAGAGAATTTCCTTCCCTAAAGGGGTTGAAATCCAGCATCTCTGCACTCATTCCACCTCCTGCAAATATGTGCAAGGCATGAGTCCTGCTTTTGTGCATGCACAAAAATCATGGGGGCAAACCTTCTCATAGGCTGTGCCACTTCAGACTGCAGGGGGAAGCTGGCAGTTTCAGATGCCCCCATAAAGAAAACAATCACCCTGCTTGTATTGGTTTGTTTGCTTACTTGTAGCATTTGTACGGCTGCCCATCATTCCCTGAATGGCTCACAAGCAAAAAGCCAGGAAATGCAAGATGAAACTATCAAGATTTTAAATATAAAACCCAGCAAATGGCAGCATAAATATTTGATCAGCAGAGAAGAGTAAAAAAAAAACAGTTCTGCAGCAGAAGCAACGGTAACATGGCGGTAAAGAGGGGATTACAAGTGAGATATTAAAATCACAATTTTAAAAGTCCGGAGAGAACAACACCAAAAAGTATTCAAGAGGCACTCACGAGGCCAAAATGTAAGCTCAAAGCGAGCCTCATGGGAGCGGAATAAGGGCAGATGGATTTTACGACCATCAAAAATGTCTTCTCCTTTGGGTGACTGCTCCATCACCAAGAAAAGAACAATGCACATCACTTTAAAAAGAGGACTAAAAGGGGACACTGATTTGCACGTAAAAATTTTACATAGACTAAGTTATATGTATAGATGTGCATTTGGAGACAATTACTCTAGCTTTAATAGAAATACAGTATATCTCCCCTCAGTGGGGAAGACATGGGGCAGGTAGCCTGTGTTTATGCTCAGTTTGCTGTCCAGGTGCTGAAATTTGTTGACAGGCAACTTCTAATTGCCCCCTTGCTCTTGTTCCATAGAATTCTTTAAACTGGGTAGCCCATCAAATAGAGAACTGTCTTCTGTGCAGCAAAACACGTGGCCACCCTACCTTGGTAGCCACCTGTTGCACCCCACTTGACAGGACACTCAGAGTAGGGCCTGGGAAATGGATCTTGAGTTTCAGGTGGAGGTCTCTATGGGAGAAGACGATCTTTCAGGCACCCCAATGCCATGAAGGCTTTAAAGGTGAGAAACAGCAGCTTGAACTGGGTCTGCAGATGGACTGGGAGCCAGCGCAGCTGACAAAGCACAGAAGTCATGTGATCAAATCACCCAATCCCCGCTGTATTATGGACCAAGTGCAGTTCAGATACATGTAAAATCCGGCATGTTTGAAAGAAGTGCTCTCACCAGCAACCAAATTTTCTGCTTGCTTCTACACCTCCCCCCCAAATAGCACTAAAGCATGCAAAGTGCTACATTCCAGGTCAAGCATTATTGCCACCTGATTTTGCTGCATGTTTGAACAGGGGCCTTAGTGGCTATAACATCAAGGAGAATTCCACCTCATTATTACCTTTCAGGGTGGACTTCTGGCTAGCCTGCTGGTTCCTTTTCTAGATCACTGGTTGTTTTGTGTGTATTTTAACCTCTTGCATTAGCTGACACAAACCACCCTGAACTGTGAAAAGGTGGCTCAGAAGCGTGCTAAATGAATAACTTATGACTCGCATACTTGACTGCTCAGGTGTTCAGCTGAGAGTCATCACCAAGTGCTAAGTTACTGAGCAAGGAGTGTGAGTGTATGAATTGACCCAGTGATCAAATCTTCCCTTCCCTTCCACTCTCTCCCCAAGTACTGAAGTCAAAACTGTAGCCTCCTCAGGGCAAGGACCTGCTTAGGTTGCCCTGAAAGATGCCATGTATACAGATGGCAATGTAATAATAACATACCTGAAATCTTACCTGAAACAAAAATGAGGAGCAGGAATACCTTCATCATCATCATAGCTACCACCTGGTAACTGACAGAATCTGATTTTTCCCAGGAAAGGACTGATTTTCCAGCATCTCATCAGAGGAGCATACAATTCTTAAGCAGGAAGTTCACCTTCTCTCTTCTTGTCCGTTTCTTCATTGCACATCAATGAAATGTCCAGCACCACCGGTATTTCAAGCTCTGAAAGCCTTTCTGCGCTCCCACGAGATCTAACACTCGCCACCTCTTCTGCTTGGGAAAGTGATCACAGACAGCATTTTAATTCCGCTGACGTGCTGGTGCTAAGTGGCTGATGGCAATTGGTCTGGAGATGGAGAGTTGAGGTTGTGGGGGGTAAGAAATCCTACTCCTAACAGGATTTCGCAGAATGCTTTTACCTGGGAAGCTGCCTTATGCGACGGTCTTTGCAATAATAATAATAGCATCCCAAATAGATCCTCTGCATCAGACTTATGCACTGGCATCTCTGGCATTGACAGCAATTAACCTCACTGTCTTGAATTACCTCGGGTAATGGAAGCTTTCTATTGTCTAATGAAGAACAATCACTAACACCATAAGCCAAGGAGGAGGGAGGCTGGTGTTGGGAGATCCAGACTGCATGTCATCTTCTCGTCTCAGCTCCCTTTAATTAAAAGACATGCTGTGCTGTGATGGATGGGAGAACTTAACAGCCTCATCTCAGAAGGGAAAGGAAAGCCCTCTTTTCAAGCAAGGTTATTCCAGGGGACCTGTCCTCTACCGGACTGGCACTGAGGTGTTGGCAAACACTTTTTTAAAACAAGGGCAATGTTTTAGAGGGAGCCAGTGCCTTGGCAAGCAATTCAAAGGGGCACCATCTATTGCCTCTCTTCCCATGTGTACCAATATAGGAGCAAAAGACTCTTTAACACACACACCCTTTCCACTTTGATGGACCAACTCTTCCTTCTTATCCACTCATTTCACTTACATTCTTACAAATGGGGATGACCATTTTAATTAATTTTATTGCCCACCCTCCACCAGTAAGTCCCAGGACAGGTTACAACAATTTAATATTGTTTTTGAAATTGTTTTTATTTGATTTTACAAGTGTAAAGTTATAACAATACCAGGTACACATCCATATATATTTATCTGAATCTTGAGACTTCTCACCTTCTCCTCCATGGGTCCTGTTGTCAACATTTTCAACTGCATACTATTTCATAATCTATATTTTGTATCTGACCGTATTGTCTGTAACATTTGTTACATTTGCAAGCGTTATTAAAATCCTGCTAAAGTTTTTATCTGCTTACAGTGCTCTCCTAAATAAATTATAAATTTTCCCATTCTTTCTTGAAGTTTTTGTCTTCTTGGTTCCTGAGCTTTCTGGTCAGCTTTGCCTTTTGAGCATAGCCCACAGCTTGTTTTGCCATTCCTCTCTGGTAGAGACTCCTTCTTTCCATCTCTGGGCTAGTAGAATCCATGTGGCTGTTGTCACATACATAAAAAGTCTTTTCTGCTCCTCAGGGATGTTGGCACCTACAATTCCTAATAAAAAAAGCTTCTTTTTTTTACAGAAGTTATTTTAAACATTTTTTTTCCAATTCATTATATATCATTTCCCAGAAAGCTTTTATTACCATACGCAACCACCACATATTGTAAAAGGTACCTTCTTTTTCTTTACATTTCCAGCAGGTATTTGTACTTGAGGTTACAACAATTTAAAATACAGTATCAAAAACAGTTGAAACAAATGACAGTCACATGAATTTGGGTGGATCCAGAAAGCACACATCTCAAGTGTCAAAGACCAGGGCAAAGAGGTATGCAACAACAGCAGCAAGAATACTCATCGCAAAGTATTGGAAGACACAAGAACTTCCCACGCTGGAGGAATGGCAGATGAAACTTATGGACTATATGGAATTGGCGGAAATGACTGGTAGAATCCGTGACCAGGGAGAAGAGTCGATGGAGGAAGATTGGAAGAAATTTAAAGACTATCTTCAGAAACATTGCAAAATTAAAGAATGTTAGAGTGATGTTGGACTGAAAATAAGCGGTTTCCAGCTGTACAGGTTAAAGTTAATGATAGACTAAGATTAAAGATTAGGATTAAAGTTGTTTAAAGAAATGGAAATTTGACATTAAGAGGAAAAATTTTAACGTTATATGATACTAAGACCAAAGATCAGGCTTAAAGAAGTTGAAGTTATATATTTCAATATCTTATTAAAGCTAAAGATTGGGATTAAAAAAGTGGAAAAGAAATTGCTGAACAAACAATTTGGATTGGAATACAAAAGAGGGAGGTATGAGGAAGTCCAGAAAACAAGTAACTAAAAAACGGAAATGGAAAAGAGATATTGTTTTTAATTGTTATGTTTTTTGTTCTTTTATTGTTGAATCTTGCTTTTTTTGTGTGTTTTTGTTATATGTATTGTGTATGTTTTTCTTTTCTTTCTTTGTTGTTCAAAACTTTAATAAAAATTATTAAAAAAAAAAAAAGACCAGGGCAAAGAGGTGTGTTGGAGGCCTGGCTGAGCCTCTTGCCAGGTCTGGGGAAACACAGGGCCAGGAACTGCAAGCAGCCCCCAGGCCCTTCAATCCAGTCCCTGGGACTCTCTCAAGACTATGCCTGCTCTCCCTGGACTACATTCTTCACTAGTCCTGCTCAATGTCCTCCTTCAGTTCTTTAGCCTGGCAGGAATGTGCCCCTCAATTGCTTCCCGGGATGAAGACTGAGAGATGCACATGTATAGAGAAACTTTGGGCTTTTGCATGGCTGGAATTTAGGCTCCTCTGCAAAGGTGGAAGTACGCCCATTGCTGTGCCCACTTTCGCCTCTGGCCTTGCCCTGTTTGATGTGCCTTCCCTCAAACCAGTTTCTTTCTTTTTATATATATAATTTTTATTCAATTTTCTGTTTTACAATTTAGAATATTCATTTATACAACCTTAAAATATCAATGACTTCCCTTCTTCTCTCTCCATGGTTCATTTTACATAGCATAAATCCTTGCATATTTTATATAAACTAAACCATTCAGAATTTCATTACAGTCATACCTTGGGTTACAGATGCTTCAGGTTGTATTTTTTCAGGTTGCGGACCACTGAAACCCAGAAGCGCCAAATCACAACCCACGCGTGCGCAGAAGCGCCGCTGCGGGTTGCAAACGCTGTGGGTTGCGAACGTGCATCCCGCACGGATCACGTTTGCAACCCGAGTGTTCACTGTATTACTTCCATCAAAACTTATTTGCACTGTTGAATTTATCTTCATGCTGACAACATTTTCAAGCGTACACAATTTCCCCCCATATATTCAGTAAACAATTTTTCCAATCTTCTTTAAAAGAATGTTCTTCTTGTTCTCTTATTCTATATGTTAGATCCGCAAGCTGCGCATATTCCATCAGTTTAAGTTGCCATTCTCCTTTGGTTGGGACCTCGCTCGTTTTCCATTTTGGGGCTAACAAAACATGGGCCGCCTTAGTGGCATACATAAATAGCCTTTTTTGACGCCTGGGAATTTCCATCCGACACTCAAACCAGTTTCTATCTGATTAGGAAGCAGAAGCCACGGTTAAGCCGAGATGTGTGTGAGAGGTTTTTCAGGCAGCCGTTGCTCACGTGTGGATGACAGTTTTAGTGAGCTGGAGTTCATCACCGAAAGATAAATCAGAGAATGCAAACAGGGCGAAGGCACACACAAACACCTGCAATGCAAGAAAGTAATTTGTAATACAACTGGCGGGGTGGGGTGGGGGGAGAAATGCCTTGCTGCATTTCTAGCTGCTAACATGTACATAGCCTCTGATCCCACCAAAGTGAAGGGCTTGGACAGATACCCTTTGCCACGTGCCTGCGATACCCCTGTGGCTCAGGACTCTGCACCATCACCCAGCGGCGGAGCAAGCCGATTGGGCGCCTGGGACGGTGTGTGTGCCCTGCACCCAGGGGCGGGGCCACATGCATGCTGGGGCGGGGCCAGATGTGGGGGGGGAGCCGGGGCAGGACGCTCCGTGGGGCCTCCAAGGAGTCTGCCTGCCTCCTCCCACTCAGGCGCCCTACAGCTGAGGGGGAGGCGGCAGGCGGACCATTTGGGGCAGCACGGAGCCTGCAGGCACCCAAGCCACCGCTTCACTCCCAGGAGAGATGCATGGCTCGGGAGAGCTGCAGCCCGGCATCAGTGGTGACACCCGCGGCGGCCCGCCCCCACCGCACCCCCTTCCTCCGTCCCTGCCATCACCTCCTGCACCCCAAGGGAAAAGGCATCAATGAACCCAGACCAACTCCACAATTAGCAGTGCTGGATTGCCCAGTAGGCAGACTAAGTACATGCATATGGCACCAGCAAAGCAGGGGCACTGAAAAAAAGAAGATAAAAAATGATAAGAACTTTGTTCAACTTCCTTACACTCCGCTACACACTCTTCCCCAATTTTTCTATTCTGTTTCTAATATTTATTCCCACACACCTGTATGTGTCGTACAAACGTAGATCAAATTAATGTGGGGAGATCAGATTCTGTCATGTGTTGCAATAAATCTTTGTTGTTGTTTTTATTTTAAACTTTTATTTCACAGTTTACTGTTGCTTTTATTTTGCATTATCTAATGAGGGGGCCCCATATAGATATATATTTAGGGTTTCAGCCCCTAAATGTCTTAATCTGGCCCTGGACATTATAGTGTGGAGAATTGCCAAACGTTCATCAGACTCAGCTTCTGAAAATGAAGCTTTGACATTGTGGTTCCCAATGTGGGGCACATGCCCCACAGCGGGGCAATTTGGTTTTTAAGGGGGGCAATTCAAGAATGAGTTATTAACAGTGAATGGCCTTTTAGACTTCCTCCACATGAATAGGAGTTCACTTTTTGAATAATAAGAATGATATGTCACAGGGGAGGGGGTATCAGGATTTTAGAGATGCTTAGGTGGGGCATGGCCAAAAAAAGTTTGGGAACCACTGCTTTATAGACTTCCAGGATCAGAGCCTTGCTTGGAAGAGACCTAATAGAGGAAGCCTCAGTTCCTTTCTTGCTGATGCAACACTTATCCTCTCTAGTTCTGCAGGTTTTTAACTCTCTTTTGGACAGTTCCTTGGCTGCACCTGCTGTTGTGCTCAACCCCTTAACTCTAGTAGGTTTCCCTACTAGCCTGACAACTCCCCTATCTGGGTTCCTCAGGCTCCTTCGGGAGGAAGGGCAGGACAGCAGTGGAAGAAATAAATAATAATCCCCCTTGCAAACTGCAACATGGCTGTCTTACCAAGAGCAGAAGTACTGTAGCTGGCTGCTTCATAAATCACAATTCTGAAGGGTCAAAACAGATGATGAGATCATGCAGCCAGAAACTCCCAAATGAGTAATGGGCAGTAGATCAGACTAAACCAGCTTTCCCCAACGTGGTGCCCTCAAGCTGTTTTGGACAGCAACTTCTGTCAGCCACAGTCTAAAGAGCCAACCCTGACAATGGAAGAAGCAGTACAGATTCTCTGAACTGTATCCATTTGATCATTCAGCCTGATTCTACATAGCCGTTGGGTTGGTTTGTGCTGCACATACAAAGAAGATCAGGATCTGCTGAATCAGGCCATTGGCCCATCTAGTCCAGCATCCTTTTCCTGGTGGCCAACCAGGTGCCTATTATGGGAAGCCTGCAAGCAGGACATTGGTGTTAACAGCAGCGCTTTCCCTACCTGCATTTCTATGCAACGGGTCTTCAAAGGTATATTGCCATCAGTGTTGTGGCTAGTAGTCATTCGAGCCTTACCTTCATGCAAACATGATTTGGGTTGTCCTCACAGCACCATATATATATATACATACATATATATATATATATATATATATATATATATATATATATACCTTTCACACTCTGCCTTCTGCTTCATCCCAGGGAAGGAGGCAGCAAGATTCAATGAAATGAAGATTCAATGAAAAGAAAAGGGAAGCAATAGTTTTATGGGGGCACCAGGAAAATCATTCATATTGTCTTGAAGTTACTAGCCAAGCTTGCAAACATGTTCAGCAGCCAAGATGGGTTTAAAAGGCGGGGGACAGATTCAGATTACCATATTTTTCACTCTATAAGATGCACCAGACCACAAGACGCACCTAATTTTTGGAGGAGGAAAACAAGAAAAAAATATTCTGAATCTCAGAAGCCAGAACAGTAAGAGGGATCGCTGCGCAGTGAAAGCAGCAATCCCTCTTGCTGTTCTGGCTTCTGGGATAGCTGCACAGCCTGCATTTGCTCCATAAGACGCACACACATTTCCCCTTACTTTTTAGGAGGGAAAAAGTGAGTCTTATAGAGCAAAAAATATGGTATCTCATAGATTTGGGCCACCTCAATATCCTGTTGCAAACAAGGCCACTTTTGCCTCCAAAAATCAGGCCAAGGGAAGCTCAACCGATCTCTCTGAGTGCCCCCCCCCCCCGCCCAAGAAGAAGCAAATGTTTACAAAATTTTCCAAAATGTCATTGTTATCCAGATTTGGAATGCAGGAGTTTGAATTTGTGCTTTAACCATATACTTCAAAACTGCGAGAGGTCCTAGGCATCTGGTGCTGCTATTTGGGGCAGTGAAATGTCTCAGGCGTTGGGATGAAGTACTAAAATAGAGAGGTGACACCTTGTTGAAGACCTAGGAAGATTTGAACCACTTTTTGTGGGTTTGCAAACAGAGCCAGTTCAAGACATTTTGCTGCCCGCAGCAATGGACAAGGTGGCAACCCCTCCCGGTTCTGTGCACAGAAGCCAAAAGGAATGACAGCTGAATCTTCCTTAAGAACATAAGAAGAGCCCACTGGATCAGGCCAATGACTCACTGAGTTCAACACCCTTTTCTTACAGTGGCAACTCAGATGCCTGTGGGAAACCTGCAGCGAAGGAGTTCTCTCCACTCCTGTGGTTTTTAGCAGCTGGTATTCAGAAGCATCACTGCCTCTGATCCTGGAGGCAGAGCATGGCTAGTAGTCGTTGATAGTCTTGTATGCCATGAATTTGGAACTAGCTCGGTATTGTTTTCACTCAATGGCATTTCAGACTCTCCCATTGCTACCTGGAGAGACCAGGGAATGAACCTGGGACCTTTTACACTCAAAGTACTTTCTCTGCTCCTGAGCTATGGTCCTCCATCCCTCATCAATATCCTAGAGGCTGAAGCTGGCAAGAGAGGAGTTGGGTGCATGGGACGATCTCTTCCATTCCCTTCTAGGATCTTCTGCGTGCCTTCTCCCTCTCTCTCCCTCTGCTGCACCCTTCATGCTGCTCAGTAGGAAAGGAACAATCTAGCCCTGGCCCCACCGGAATGGCCATCTGAATTATCGAGATGGTGAAAGGTTTATTATGCAAACATAATAAACGTAATAAGGGACGTGTTTATTATGCAAACAGCAACTGAGTTATGTGTCCTTTAAGACTACTAAATAGTTTTTAATTACTGCTATATCAGTAAATCCCATAAATATGCAAATGCAATTAGTTCACAAAATAGGCCCTAAATATCTTTATTCCTCTCCAACAAAGTTCTTTGAAGTTAATCGCCAGCTCCCTTTGTTCACTCCCTTGGCAGCGGAGCCGAAAATGATGGGAATTATGACAGATGTACACATTTTTGGGAGGGGAGACGTGTATTTTCCCACCCCACCCCCCTCATCCAAATGCCACATCTGGACAGGCAGAGATGGGATATGGAGGAGGGGAAGAAGAGATGGATGAGGAAACACCCCCTCCCAGAGAACAACTTCATCATTTGGCTCACAGCAAAGTGTTTTGTGCTGTGCACAACAGACATATCACAACAAGTGGGTCTTGCAACAAGATGCAAATGCACATAGTGTTCCCTTTCTGGATTCCAAACAGTTTAATTTCCTCTTCCCCCTGTTTTCTGTTCTCCCCCCCCACCCCCAAAAAGAGAGAGCAGCCTGTTAGCATCCCATGCCCTCCAAGCATGCTCTGCTCACATTGACCCATTTTAAGCACACAGATGGTTGCACCCCCTGCTAAAGTTTTTGCTGTACCTTTGGAAACCTTGAAATTCTCCTAAGCTTCCTGACAGCTCCCGCTTGTGTGTGTGTGTGTGCCCATTTGGCTACATAAGGAGCAACACTCAAAGACTTGGGATCATTTCTTCTTCTTTGGTGATCGTAGCCAAGTAAGATTGTCTTCCATGAACATGGTCTTAACAGTGAGTTAAGTAAGTGTCTGTGGAGGCCAATTCTGGATCCCCACGTCCTTCCACAGTGGGGACATTGGTTTCCGGGCAGGAGTTGATCACAGTGAGGGTTTGCCAAGCATGCCTTCCTCTTAACACGTTTCTCCATTTCGTCCTGAGTTCGAGCGTCTTCAAAGCCCATGACACCTTTGGTAAAGGCTGTTCTCTAATTGGAGCACTCTCAGGGCAGTGATTCCCAGTTGTTGGTGTTTAAACTACTTTTTTTTAGATTTGCCTTGAGAGAATCTTTAAACTTCTTTTGTTGACCACCAGCATTATGCTTTCCATTTTAAGTTCGGAATGCAGTAGTTGCTTTGGAAGATGATAATCAGTCATTCAAACAATATGACCAGTCCAACAAAGTTGATGTTGAAGGATCATTGCTTCAGCACTGGTGATCTTTGCTTCTTCCAGTACACTGGCATTAGTTCGCCTGTCTTCCCAAATGATGTGTAAAAATTTTCGGAGACACCATTGATGGAGCTTATAAGTGGTCCATGTTTCACAAGCTTACAGTAACATTGGCAGTACAATAGCTTTGTAAACAAGCATTTTTGTTTCCCTGCAGATGTCCCAGTCCTCAAACACTCTGCACTTCAGTCGGGAGAAAGCTGCACAAGAGGTACCTACAGCAAAATGTCACCATACAGAATGCATCGGCTTCTGTTCAGCATGCCAGTGGTTCCATCCCATTCCACCACCACAGCTTTCCATCCTCTTCCCCCAAACAAGTCAGCATTCAGTGGCCACTGAGCATACTCAGACCTCATTTGGCTGTTTTGGGTGGGTGTGTTTGTGCAACAAATCTCAGGTTTCTCCATTGATTTCTACAGGCAGCATTCACTTCTGTTCCTGGGAATGTTCAAAAATAGCTTCTCAGGCAGGCTGAACCAAAGAATTGCTTAACCAGAAAAGAAGAGAATTCTCTCTGACTTTTTAATATCTGTGTGTATCTCTTCCATCTTTTTTCCAAGATAGTCGACCCTCTCTTTTTTTGCTACCCCCACCTCAGTCACCATTGCACGGGCACTAAGTAAACACATTTCTCATTAGGGGTTTTCTTTGGGGCGGGGTGTAACTTCTTAGAGGTTTCCCTCCTGAAACTTTGTTGTACTGGTGCATATAACACTGGTCCCTAAAGACCTACATTGGCTCCCAGTATGTTTCTGAGCACAATTCAAAGTCTTGGTGCTGACCTTTAAAGTCCTAAAGGGCCTCGGCCCAGTATACCTGAAGGAGCATTTCCACTCCCATCATTCAGTCCGGACACTGAGGTCCAACTCCAAGGGCCTTCTGGCGGTTCCCTCACTGTGAGAAGCGAAGTTACAAGGAACCAGGCAGAGGGCCTTCTCAGTAGTGTCGCCCGCCCTGTGGAACGCCATTCCATCAGATGTCAAGGAAATAAACAACTATCTGACTTTTAGAAGATATCTGAAGGCAGCCCTGGTTGGGGAAGTTTTTAATGTTTGATGGTGTTTTTAATATTCTGTTGGAAGCTGCCCAGAGTGGCTAGGGAAACCCAGCCCAATGGGCGGGGTATAAATAAGATATTATTATTATTATTATTATTATTATTATTATTATTATTAGCTTGGGGTCCTCCTCTGTATGCTGGTGCCTTCTGCTTGTGGCGTGGGTAGCATCTGCGGCAGATGCTGGGTGGGGAATATCAGTAGCACCCTATTTGTTCCTTCTGAGTCCCCTGGCTATACATTTCTTTCAGAGAACAAAGCTATGAGTCATGCAGCTCCAAAAAGAGCCTGCTGCTCTCTCGTGGGATGGAGGAGGAGGACAGTGTACTCCTGGCTAGTATTGAAACAAGATCAAACTGTCAACCCTGTTGGATTCTGTAAGTGTAATGGGGCCACAGGTTCCATCTTGACTTTTGTTGCAGTCAACCAAATGCCTTGGCCAGCTCTAATTAGAAGGAGCTTGTTTGCCAATTTAAACTGCAACCCTATGCCAAACATAATTATGCTGGAGTAAGTCCCTTTGAAAGGGACGCGGTTGGCACTGTGGGTTAAACCACAGAGCCTAGGACTTGTTGATCAGAAGGTCGGCGGTTCGAATCCCCGCGACGGGTGAGCTCCCCTTGCTCGGTCCCTGCTCCTGCCAACCTAGCAGTTCGAAAGCATGTCAAAGTGCAAGTAGATAAATAGGTACCGCTCTGGTGGGAAGGTAAACGGTGTTTCCATGCACTCCTCTGGTTTGCCAGAAGCGGCTTAGTCATGCTGGCCACATGACCCGGCCACATGACCCGGAAGTTGTACACCGCCTCCCTCGGCCAATAAAGCGAGATGAGCGCCGCAACCCCAGAGTCGGTCACAACTGGACCTAATGGTCAGGGGTCCCTTTACCTTTCCCTTTTAAGTCCCTTTGAACAGTACAGTGGGACTTAAATCTGCAAAGATGTTCATAGTATTGTGCCATTAATTAGGTAAAATGGTCCTAGGGAGAGGTGTTCCCATGTATCCTCCTGCAGAATTAAATCAGCCTCTCCCAGCATGGGACCTTCCAAATGTTATGAACATCAGCTCTCAAAAGTCCCACCCAGCATGGTCCTGCTTCAATCCATCCTAGCATGCTATAGCTCTATGGGCTGATGCTGACATGGGTTGCAGTAGAAACAATATGAAGGGCACCAGGCTGGGGAAAGCTGACTTCAATTCAAATCTTTATTACTGTCATAAAGGTAAAGGTAAAGGTCCATTAGGTCCAGTCGTGACCGACTCTGGGGTTGTGGCGCTCATCTCACTGTATTGGCCGAGGGAGCTGGCGTAAAGCTTCCAGGTCATGTGGCCAGCATGACTAAGCCGCTTCTGGCGAACCAGAGCAACACACGGAAACGCCGTTTACCTTCCTGCCAGAGCAGTACCTATTTATTTACTTGCACTTTTGGGGGTGCTTTCGAACTGCTAGGTTGGCAGGAGCAGGGACAGAGCAACAGGAGCTCACCCCATCGTGGGGATTCGAACCGCCGACCTTCTGATCAGCAAGTCCTAGGCTCTGTGGTTTAACCCACAGCGCCACCCGCGTCCCTATTACTGCCACAGACCAGCATAAAAGGGTGGGATACAGTCATTTAAATACTGAAAAGCGTTTTGGAATGCTTAAAGGTATTAAAACAGAAGGTGAATATTAAAGTCTATAAGAATTTAAAAGAAGCTAAAAGAGTATGAGCATTGGGGTGGGTGTGGAAGAGCATAAAAGGTTGATACAGTGGTACCTCAGGTTACAGATGCTTCAGGTTACAGACGCTTCAGGTTATAGACTCTGCTAACCCGGAAGTAGTACCTCGGGTTAAGAACTTTGCTTCAGGATGAGAACAGAAATAGAGCGGTGGCAGCGCGGCAGCAGCAGGAGGCCCCATTAGCTAAAGTGGTGTCTAAGGTTAAGAACAGTTTCAGGTTAAGAACGGACCTCCGGAATGAATTCAGTTCTTAATCCAAGGTACCACTGTATATAAAAGACTTTACTAATTTACAGTGCAATCTGATATGTTCATTAAATCTAGTTTGGCACAGGTAGTCCTTGGACAAATTTTGAGCGCTGCTATGCAGAATCTCGCAACATTGTATATTGTAGCAGGATTGGTATCTGAGAGCAGCAGGGAGGTATAGGATTGCCCTGTGCACCCTGAGTGCTTATGAAGTAGTGGGGAACTCAGGCTAATACGAATGTCTCTGTAATACAGGCACTGGAGAAGGACATGCTCTACCGTTAAAGCTGACTTAGAGAAATGTACTCAGACAGCTCTGAGGCGGCAACACTCTCTAGCTCCATTTACTGATGTGTTGGTCAGTTTGGGGGTCTTTTAAAATGTAATTTCTACCACCACCACCCCTTTCACCATAAAACAGCCTCAAGGTGGCATATAATAATAAGATACAATAATAAATAGAATTATAGAGAAAAGCAGTAAATAATAAGACAGCATGTTAAACCAGCAGATAAAAGCCAATGGAAGGTCTGGGGCAGTGCTTGGTTTAAAGGGTTGCTTCATCCAAGTTCAGTTTAAAGGTAGCAATCCCTAAGAAGGAAGAAGAGACCTTGCAGTTGTCCATCCGGACAATGAGAAAACTAGGAGGACTCCACTGGAATCTGAAGGGTAAGAGTTGGTGACGGTATCTGGGGAGAGAATTTTATAATGTGGAGGTCGCCAATAAGTACCCACCTTACATTAGAAGGTAGTGACAGCTGGAAAAAGCCCTCTGTTGAATGAACCAATGCATGGATAGTGAGACAAGGCAGTTTTAAAGGTCAAATCCAGCACTTTGGAAACAAATTGGGAGCCAGTGCAAAGCTGCCCAGAGGCATATGGAAAGGGTAAGTGTGTAGAAACCATTTAGTGGACCTGCCGCATGTTTTAATATTCAAAATATACCCCTGTCCTGTTCAGAATTACTGTAATTTGTTATCCTTAAAGTTTTTGCAAAGCTACTGCTGCCATGCACATTTTGCATAGTCAGAGTGCCATCTGGGGGCCAAATCGGATTTTTCTGGTGTGTGTGATTTGCTGTCTGATAAATGATGGGATGGTAACACAGCATGTCCTGCTTTCATTTTAGGTGCCATTTGTTGTGTGATTTTAATCGGAGGATTCATTATTTTGTTATTGAATCACTTCACTTGATAGGGGAACCCAGAGCAGGACCCCTGAAGTGGATCTCAAGATTCAGGTCAGTGTATGTGGAAGAAGGCCATGTCTTAGATATCCTGGTTCCAGGCCATCAAGGGTTAAAACCAGCATTTTAAAATTGGGCCACAAAAATGGGTTTGGAGACCGTGGAGCTTCTTTAAATTTGTAGGAGACATTTCCCCAAAATGGCGGTTGGCCATTCTCTTGCAACCCTGATCACACTGATCACATGGTGCCTAAAAGCATATTTATTTATTTTTATCAAAGTATATGTTTTGGGATGTTTCAATAACAGTCAATCTATTATTATAAAATAATATAATTACATCAGGAAGTACAAAAGAGAGTCAGGGCTTGTAGGTGGGGTCTCTTCTAGCCCTGCCTAGGGATGCCATGGTTTGAACATGAGACCTTCCGCATGCAAAGAGAGCCACTATGTTGTGTAATGGATAGAGTGTCGGACCAGGATTCAAATCCCCACTCAGCCATGAGGCTCACTGAGTGAACCTGGGGCCAGACAATGCTTCTTAGTCTAGCCTACCTCACAGGGCTGTTGTGAAGATTAAATGAGGAGGGGGAAACCTCATTTACCACCTCGAGCTCTTTGGAGAGAAAAATGAGATGTAAAAGCAATAAATATTTTTTTTAAGAATGTGTGAGCAATGGCCTGTTCCTGGCAAGATAAGCAGAAACACACCTGAGACCTGGTCAGTGCTGTAGCAGAGCTGCGGGAGACAGGGATGAAGCACTACTATTTAATTCACAGAAGGGATGATAATGTCATCTCCTGGGGTGCTTATTTGCCAATCCTCCGCATGCCAAATAGATAAGCTTTTAACAGAGAGAAACACACTAAATAAGCTAAGCAGAGGAAAAGAGATAGATTACAATACTCTGGCTCTGGGTTAAATTGACATTTTTATTTTGGAAAATTCCAAAGCCTCTTTATTACAACCAACAAAATGGTTCCAAAATAGTGATAAAACACTTGAGTCCACTAGAATGCTTCACCATACTGGGTGTTAAGCAAGGGGCGGGGGGAGGATGGATCAACACCATAATATTAAATTATTATTTATTGAATTCATATATTGCCTTATACCTAGAAGTCTCAGGTGGGTTCACATAACAAAAACAAAATATAAAACCACTAAATATATAATCAAAATAAAAACAACAGCCCAATAACGCGCGCGGCCCCAAACCCCACATTTTAAAAGGGCATAGGATGTCATACCACTCCCACAAAAAAATCTTGGGAACTGTATTTTGTTGAGGGTGCTGGGAATTGTAGCTCTAGGAGAGGAAAATACAGTTCCTGTGAAGTCATGTGCTATAAACGGGTGCTGAATGTGCTTTAAATGTTAAGTGTTATTATCTGTAAAAAGCCGCTGGGTACTGAAGCCATAAATATTCCCTGCATCCTTTCCCCACTAATCCGTCAATATTCCCCCAGATCCCCACCCCACCCCTACTTCTTTGCAACTCTCTGGATCCTTGATCCAGTTTTCCCACATAGGGCTCCCTCGAAATGATGCTGGACTCCAACTCCCATTAGCCCCAGCCAGTGTAACCACTGATAGGGCATGATGGGACTTGGAGTCCAGCTGCATCTCAGTAGAAGGTTGTAGGCTGGCCATGACGTGTCCCTCTTTCCAAAATGAGAGGGTGTTTTAAAACTGCAGTAAGCACACAACCCCTGTTGTTTCAAACTCCCCACCGCCCTGAAGGGTCTTGTGTTGAATGGAGATATTGAGATAGATAGATAGATAGACAGACAGACAGACACACACACACACACACAGAGAGAGAGAGAGAGAGAGAGAGAGAGAGAGTCATACCTCGGGTTACAGATGCTTCAGGTTGCGCGTTTTTTTGGTTTTTTCGGGTTACTTCCGGGTTTCGGTGCTCGCGTATGCACAGAAGTGCTGAATCGTGCTTTGTGCATAAACGCCAAATCACAACCCGCGCATGCGCAGACGCGGCACTGCAGGTTGCGGACGCTGTTGGTTGCAAACGTGCCTCCCGCACGGATCACGTTCGCAAGCCGAGCATCCACTGTATCTCCATTATTATTTTTGAATACAATTTTTAATTAAATTTTCTGTTTTGCCATTTAGAATACTCATTTTTACATCCTTAAGGTATCAAGGACATTCCTTCTTCTCTTTCCATGGTTCATTTACATATCATAAATCCCTGCATATTTTACAAAAACTATACAATTCAGTATTCCATTGTTGCATCCATCAAAACTTATTTACACTGTTGAATTTATCTTAACGCTGACTGCGTTTTCAGGTGTACACAATTTCCTCCCCATATATTAAATAAACGTTTTCCAATCTTCTCTAAACATACGTTCTTCTTGTTCTCTTATTCTATAGGTTAAGTTTGCAAGTTGTGCATATTCTGTCAACTTAAGTTGCCATTCTTCTTTGGTTGGGAGGGACCTCACTCATTTTCCATTTTGGGGCTAACAAAACACGGGCCCCAGTAGTGGGCATACATAAATAACCTTTTCTGACACCTGGGGATTTCAGTCCGAATAATGCTTGGGGGGTGGGGGGGAATCTATCTAAAGATAGTTTTTTTTATTTAAGTTACATTATAGTCCAAAGGCTATTCATCAGGAAATAAGGATTTAAATTTTTCATGTGTGCAAAAACTCAAGTCTGTTTTTTTAGTCGTTTAACCACATCAGTTAACAAACATGGATACATATGCTATGCTATTGTTTTAGTTAAATAAATTGTTTGAATTGCTATTAAGGAAATGATTACTTTTCTCCTTCCAATAAAGTATAGCAGAAAAGTTGTCCAAATATAAACAATAATTTCATAATTAACTGTCTATGTATTTCTAATAGTATAACCAAATCAGTAATTTTTGATATCACTGTAAAAACCACTCTGAAAATTTATTATTCCATATATGAAACCTTCATCTGGTTGTAAATATTAAGATTATACCAGCAAGAATCAGTCTTTCTGTGAAAAAAATGATTGAAATCAAGTCTCACTGACTAATGATTTAAATCAATTCTTACTGACTAGTGATTTAAATCGTGATTTAAATCGATTTGATTTAAATCAAATCCACGCTGACAGAAACCCATTCTGACGTGCATAAATATTTAATGAATGCAGCGTATTAGAAGAACTGAAGTAAATATACTGTATCTGAGGGCGAGATTTAAAACTTTCGCCTCACGTTTAGGGGGGTGCGAGGGAGGGAATGCGGACTATTACCGGCCACCTCGAGCGAAGGCGACTCGTCGTCGGGAGCGAAGCGGCCGCGAGGCGGAGCGACCCGCGCGGCATTCGGCTCCCGCTCAGCCAAAAGGAACGGGAAGAGGAGCTAGGTAAAAAAAAAAGCTCTCTCGTGGGCATGCGCACCTCGCTCCGAGGGGGGGCGCGGCCGGAGGAGGCTCGAACCCGACACGCCCTCTCTCTCGCGCGCGCGCTCCTCTTTTCGGAAATATTTGTTTTTCGTTTGGGTGAGGGGCAGCGTGCGCCGCCCTGTGCCGCCCGCTGATAGGTCGGCGGCGTGGGCGGGGCTTGGCGTGGGCGGCGGTTTGCGGGGAGCGGGGAGAGTTGGAGAGCTCGGGCCGCCTCTGTGGTGGCTGAGGAGGCGGCGGGCGCGATGACGGCCGAGCTGCAGCAGGCCCAGGAGGGGGGCGCGGCTGCCGTCGAGAGCCAAGGACGGGTGAGGGATTGGCGGCCTGTGGGGGGGGGGGGTGTTGTTCGTGAGAGAGAGAGAGAGAGTCCGAGCTGGGTCGCCTACTTTGGTCCGCCACCCGCGACGGTATACTGAGGAGAGGGAAGAAACCCGCGCCTCCTTTCCTTTTCACTTCTCTGCCTTCTCCCTTCTATCATCCCCCCCTACAGAAAAAAACCCAAACCCTACTCTGGGTCTCAGTCTGTATACAATCAGATATAGCCGTTAATGTTAGCAATATTCATTAGTATTGCGATTATTATTTATTGCTGTTATATTCATCGCTGGTCACCTATCTATATAACCTTTTCCTGTAAACACAAAAAAGTCTGCTGGTTCAATATTGCGTGTAGAAGCGTGCTTTGAGCGCCCTAAATAGAGCGCCCTAGATACTTGATGGATGAAGCTGTAAGTGGCAGAAGAAAGGAGGGCCTTCATGGGTTTACAGGACTTTTTTCTTTGTGCGTCTTCTGTTTCCCTAAACGGAAAACTCTGAAAGTGGGGTCGTATCATTAGCAGGCAAACAAAGAGGAAGGAAGAAATTTCAGGTGCTACGAATCAGTTTATTGCTAGATGAGGCGGGGTTTTTTGCCTCCCTTGCAGACACTTTTTCAAAGTGCTATTTTTCTAGAAAAAGAGATGCCATAACTCACCCTTGTTCTCTTATAATGGCAGTGGCAGCCACCTGAGAGGTGCTTGAACTGAGTTCTGGTGCTTTCCAGTGGGGAGGGGGGAAAGCCCCGCTCTTCTCTAAACTACTTAAAGTATCTTAATACTTGCTTGCTGTTTTTCCTTTCACACACCTCAGAGATGCATGTCTTCATGGTGTATCTGTTAGTTTTGTATACACTTTTCTTTCGTCAGCTGGGTTTTACGTTTCTTGTGCACCTTTGACATTTATAGATATGAACCTCCCTTGCTACTCCTCAGAATCCCCTTTCGGCATTCCTGCATCACTGTGGGTAGGGGGATAATTAAAATTTATGGCTGCTTTAAATGGATTCTAGATGTGTGATTTTAAGGTGGTGTTCTTACATTGCTCTAGAACTCTCTGAGGACCTTGGGCCCAGTGAAAGTAGTAAAGACTTTGCTTGGTTTTTATAGGAAAGTTCAGCTGGGCAAGCGGCAAGCAGTAGTCCTGAGCTCGCTCTGATACGTAGGAATATTGCAGATCTGTTGATTCTGCCTTGTGGATTTCAGTGGCAAAAATTCAGCTAAGCAAGATCCACTTTGCACACTGAAATGTGCTGCTGCTAGTGGTGCTGTTTGAAAAAGGTAGCTGTGACTTTATCTGTACATAGGTAGCAAACCCTGTGGTTGGATTGCTGCTTGTGGTGGTGATGCCCTGGTAATACAACCATCCCTTAAATTTGTGGTGCATATGACTTTTTTGCTCCTGTTAAGACTGTCTTTGTTTCATTTATGTCAGGATAAGATGTCTATACACTTAGTGGGAAAAGTGGCTGCTAGGCTGCTAAGTGGGGCAGCCCAATTGGACTATGGGGTCACTGGTCCTGAATGTGCTACAATGGTTGGCAATGACCTACCAGTCCAAATTCAAAGTATTAGTCCTTGCGTATGAAGCCTATCCACTATGTCTGACCCTACAATTGGCAGGTGAGACCTTATTGGTGGTGGTGCCACTCAGGGCTGCCTGGTTGTTGACCTCTGACAGGGTCTTTTCAGTGTCAGTTTACCATTTTTGGAATGTCATCCCTAATGAGGCACTTCTCTATCTCTTATCATTGGCTTTCAGGAGAAATTTTAAAACATTCCTTTTTATTCGGGAATGAATATTTATTCAGATGACTGAAATATACTGTTCTTGGCCATCCCAAGATTGTTGGAAGGAACTGTTTTTAGATTGCTTTTTAATGTTTTATCATTGTTGTGCCTGGTGTCCTGGGCCACTTCAGGAGATGGGCATGATATAAATCAAATGAATAAAATAAACAGTTAGATAAAACATACAGGTGATGAGCAGGATTTGTTTTTGGCCTGGCAACCCATTTTGTGGTACCAAATGAAGCTTGTGAATCTGATAACTATAAATATTTTTTATTTACTTGAACTTAAGATGTTTCCTAGTCACCTCAATGGATCTAAGTTTCCTTTAAGAAAGAAAGATAGATAATTGTTACAGATTTTTAAAAGATTAACAAAGCCATATTTGGGTCTGGCCTTCACTCTTCTAAACAGAAGTACATAGTTTTCACTAATAGTTATTAACAACTACCAATGTGGTTTGACCGACCAGTGGTAGGTAAGCTTTGTCACTGAACCTAAAATAAAACTTACTAAACCTCTGGGTAATGAAATTCCTTTCACAGTTGCTTGTTACAGTGAATATTAATCATAGTCTAATACTAATTTTAATTATCTGTCATGATGATGTCAAATTATTTTCTGAGGAGCAGACAGCTTTTTGGCAGGCTTGTAACATCTTCACAGAATGATGGTGTTCCCAGTATTACAAAAATGACTTGCTGTGTGCCATTGGATGTTGACAAGTTGTGTGTGACACTCAGTGAATGATATTCCCGTGATTAGTATTTTATTGAGCTAGATGCTTCTTTAGTGCTGATTTTAGTGTTCTATTCTGATATTTTTTGGAAATTGTCTTGGTGAGAATTTCGGCCCTTAAGGGCAGCCTATAAATATTTCAATTTGTTTTTAAAAAAGAAACCAGTTCCTGACAAATAATTTAACAGGGTGCCTTAGGGACATAAACTGATCTAAATAAGTTGGAACTTGAATGATGTCTTTGCATCTGGAGTATACCCTTTTTGGGGGAGAGGGGTTGCGTGAACATAGTGAGAGTGGGATAATTATGTATAATGTAATGATTCCTAAACTGTATTTTAATTTCCTTCTGGGACTCTGGATGTGAGATTCATAATTGCCAGTATCTGAGTAAGGGGGTTCTTTACCATTCAGTTTGTCTTTACCTGTTTTCCTTGCTGTTTAAAAATGTTGAATATCCACCCTTTCTGAATGCTAGCCAAACTTTTCTGAAAATCACCTATTTGATCTCCGGTATTTGGGCCCAGCTTGGTTTGTTAATAGGTGAATTTGCATGCCTTTTTCATATTTTGATAAAAAGGACCAGATAACTTTTTAGCCCTTGGGAATTAATGAGACCTGGTTCCTGACTTCTTTTTCTTCTCATTACCTGAATGGAAATTTATCAGTGTAGAATATTATACAGTCACACCTTGGGTTAAATGTGCTTCCGGTTGAGCGTTTTCAAGTTATGCTCCACAGCGACCCGGAAGTAACAGAACGCGTTACTTCCGGGTTTCGCTGCTCGTGCATGCACAGATGCTCACAATGACGTCATGCGCGGAAGCAGCGAAACGCAACCCGCGCAGACGCGTCTTATGTTCTACTCAGGATCTGAATGGGGCTCCGGAACGGATCTCGTTCGCATCCAAGAGTACCAATTTGGAGTAATTTGACCCTAGATGCTGCTATGCAACTACTCCTTAATCTGCTTGCCTACTTCATAGAACCTCTAGAGTGAAGAAAAGCTGTGTTGTTGTTGTTGTTGTTGTTATTTAGTCGTGTCCGACTCTTCATGACCCCATGGACCAGAGCACGCCAGGCACTTCTGCCTCCCACAGTTTTGTCAAATGCATGTTAGTAGCTTCGAGAACACTGTCCAACCATCTCGTCCTCTGTCATCCCCGTCTTGTGCCCTCAATCTTCCCAACATCAGGGTCTTTTCCAGGGAGTCTTCTCTTCTCATGAGGTGGCCAGAGTATTGGAGCCACAGCTTCAGGATCTGTCCTTCCAGTGAGCACTCAGGGCTGATTTCCTTCAGAATGGATAGGTTTGATCTTCTTGCAGTCCATTGGACTCTCAAGAGTCTCCTCCAGCACCATAATTCAAAAGCATCAATTCTTCGGCGGTCAGCCTTCTTTATGGTCCAGCTCTCACTTCCATACATCCCTACTGGGGAAACCATAGCTTTAACTATACGGACCTTAGTCGGCAAGGTTATGTCTCTGTTTTTTAAGAGAGAAAAGCTAGATCTTGCTAACTCCACCAGCCAACTGGTTACAGGGCAGTTTGGAGAGGGTCTAGCATGCTGTATATCTTTGGCACCTTGTTGTAAGTGAGAAATGACAAACCTAAATGGCATGTGCAGCCAGTTTAAAATAGCTCCTCATCAAACCCCTGCAAATTCCTGGACTGCTTACGTCTGATAGCATATGCTGCTGCTTTTTGGTAGAATAAATATGTAGACTGCTGGTCCCTTGCCCTGGTAAAGGGATATTTGAACTGGTATTGCTTAGGCCTGGCTATAATTCCTCCTTTAAAGGGCACATGCTCCTTTCTAATCAGGAGCTAGCTTTCACTGAGGCATAAAATGGAACATGTTGCATTTAAATGTATTGATGCCTACTGGTATTTGGAGACTGTAAACTTTTGAGTTGGACAGAATGCTTAATGGCATGTCTAGGTGATCAAATGTCTGCATCTAGAAAGGTCCAGAAAGGTACATTGACCTGTGGAGGCAACCATTGAACTTTCCCTTTTTGTGCTTCACGCATAGAGCCATTGGTCTGCCCTCCTTCCTTGTATGCAGAAGAAACAAACCACACTTTCTGGCTTAGCTGCATGTCCAGCCTAGGGCGTGATGCGTTTTTCTCAAACTGCAGTTGATAAGCCAAGATCAAACCCTGGCTACAGTTCATGGTTTAGGAACAAAACAAAACAAACAAAAAAACATGGTCACTTGTTTTGGATTTAAATCTTGATTTAGGGATTGTAATTTTTTTCTTCAGAGTTCAAGCTTAGGCGTATGCATGGTTATTGAATCATTAGCTCTAGCTCATGTGTGAACTGTGCTGATGTTTCAACTTTCCCCAGCCTGGTACCCACCCTCCAGATGTTGATAGACTCCATCTTCCATCAGCCCAGCCTGTGTGGCCATGGTGAAGGCTGATGGGAGCTGTAGTCCAGCAACATCACCAGGGCACTGGATTGGAGAAGGCTGGTCTACAATGTTGGTATTGCCTCACTGTAAGTATTCTATTGTTATTCCCTTATTGACATGTACTTTCTTTGTCCCGTGTGACTATAGAATGGCAATGTGCTCATCAACCAGCTCAGAGAGATCACAGGCATTCAGGATCCTTTGTTCCTCCACACAGCCCTGAAGGTAAGTATTCTTCTGCCATTTTGGTAGCACTGGTTGTTGCACTATGAATGTCAGACCTGCTCACCAAGCACCTTTCCTCTGCCTCCTCCTCCATTGTTGGGTCCTAATCACCCTCCCCTTAATCTCTGCTGCCTGTGTTCTAGCTGTGCTCTTGGCACTCTTTGTGTTGACCCAGTAGAGCCAGCAGAGGCAGCCATGTTTCCCCAAAGGGATTGCTTCAAGCCAGGAAAAACAACAGTATAAAGACAGCTGTCCACGCTGCCACTCCTGACCTTTAAAAGCACCATCTTAACATGTCACATTTGCTTCAAGTTCGAATAAGAAGAATGCAGAGAGAGCTTTTTAGTGGGCATTATCTTGCACTTGTATTGCATTTCCGGAGAGGATCTCTACCATTTACTGAGCCTCTCCTAGCTCAGGATATAATAGGACCCTTTTAGGAGCATGTATGAAAATGTGGTTCCTGTTTGAAATGCTCTTTTCATTTTCATTGCCCTTCTTTAAAGCTGGACCCCACATCTCTTTAGAATAGTGTATAGGCAGAGCAGGATGGGAATTGTACTGTACTTTAAATCTTAATTTTTCCAGTGAGTGTCCTGCATAAGCAATTGTTGACCTGAAATACTTTGTCCTGTACATATTTTCTTCCCGTGTTGCACAAATGCTTTGTTCTTTGTCCTTAGGCTGCTGATGGAAACTTAATTCAAGCCGTTAGTTTCCTCACAGAACACCACGCTAAAGAGTCAGGGCAAGAAGCCGTTGCTGCAGAACCATCTGACAGTGAAGGAAGTGCAGTCGGCAAAAATCAGGCAACCAGTAGGTGACTTCTTGCCTTTACCTGAAATATTCTTGCCACAGTTGGATGCATTTTTTGGGAATACTATATATAGGTTGTGAAAACTTGAGCTATAGGCTCCCATTTATAAAGAGACACTTTGCTGGGGCTAATGAAAGACAAGTATGGACCCATTAACAATTGGATTAGATGAAGAGGCTTGATCATTCCATTTTCATTGTTATGATGATGGGGTGAAGGGGCAATAGATTGAAACGGAAACATTGCGATGAGATAGCAATAGGAACAGTGTTTTTGTAATTATATGCTTACATGGATGAGAGCACATTAATTCTGTTAGATGGGAAATGAGCTTACATGTGGCTGGCTGCAAGCCAGGACCTCATCTAGAACTCCAGACACTTCAGTTGCACACAGTTCTCCAGTCAAAATCTGGATTAAACTGCTTTGACCATCTGTGGGATGTGTGTCCTCATCATTGGAGTGAGTTTGAAAACCATTGTCTTAACATGACGGTCCAAGTTTAATTGTCCATAGAAAGCCTCTGTGTTTGGGTGGTGTTTGGAGTTTGTCTTTTCCAGTGCTTTTGGAAAGCATCAGATTGGGAAGTTTGAAAAAGCCTATGCAGTGTTTTGCTTTTAAACTGTTGCCTCCCTGTTTGAAAACCAGTAAAATACTGTGTCTTGGACTGGCTTTGTGAGGGGCACCTTCACTCTACTTAAATAGTGATAGCCACTTTGGTTTCCAGGTCCAGCTGAAGCAACAGAAGATGATGAAGCTAATCTGCAGGAAGCTGTTTCTTCTGGAGCCCTTGATTTTCCAAGTGTTCAAGTTGTAGAGAAAGATCCAGATGCAACAGTGAATGTGTATGCTGTGCTCTGCCTTTTTCTTTTCTTTGTGCATGTTGTTATCAAATTCCTAACCTGCCCTTTCTTCTAAGGATCCATGGGCAGCAAACAACCAAACAGTAAAACAATACACCAGTCAGCACAGAAAGGGCAGCAGATACCGGTGTCATCGCCATATTCACTCCTTAAGTTTCTGTGAAGTGTATTGGACTATATTTTATTCACACTGTGGAAGAATGGTCTTTATTGCCACTGTTTACCCAGGTTGTGTTAGGGTCAGCAAGATGTTCTCCTCTTGTACATCTCCCACACAGTCTGGTCCTCCCCTGCCGCATTCCATTGTTATCCCAGATAATGTAATCTGATCCCTACAGAATATGATCAAAAGTCAGCCCAAAAAGTTGTGCCCTGCCACAACACCTCTACAGCTGACCACAACAGCCTATGCTGTTAATTGGGGGTGGGTTAAATATAGCTACTCTTCAGTTTTGCAGTTTCCAGTCAGAAGCATGGGAAGTTTTGTGTGAACACAACCCGAATACAATGTAATTTTTGTCGCTGACTTGTTGATTTGTGTTCCCTGGCAGAGTTTATGAACCAAGTGTGGCTGAAAGCAACAATCGGTCCAAACGGAAACGGTGTGATGTCTGGGGAGAGACTGCTGCCCAGAGTGAGTGGAGGAGAGCAGGCGACTGGCCAGTAGGGATGAAAAACATTGGAAATACTTGCTGGTTCAGTGCAGTCATACAGGTAAGATGGCGCCTCTAGTTCTTGAGTGCCATCTGCCAGGGCAAAATGGAGAACTTGTGGCCCTCTAGATGTTGCTGGACTCTGAGATTACTTGGGCCATTGGGTACATTTCAAATTGTGATTGAGTGCTGTGGGCACTAGTCACAAACTGACTGCCATGGGGGCATGGTATAACACAACTTGACTGCACTAGGGGGGTATAGTATAGCATAGCACACAATTAGAGTGAGTAGAGTCATTATTGCTCTATTCCCCTGCCCCAAGACTACCTCATGTTTCCTATAGGGAGTCAGCTATTTCCTGCTGGTCAAATGGTGGAGTTAAAGGCCCAAGAACCCTTGTACATTCTTTCCCTGATCCATAAAATTGGATGCTGCTTTTATGATGTTTTATACTATTTATACACTGCTTAGGGTTTGTTTGTTTTTTTGTTTTTTAAAAAAAGTGGCTTTGAAGTACTTTTAAATAAACCATCCTTGACCATTGGCCATGCCTGCTGGGGCTGATGGGAGTTCCAACCCTGTGCTAGGTCAATGCTTCTAGGGTATTTGATACTTTGTGTTAATTTAAGGTTGGTTGTGGTCAGACATATTATTCCATTGCATTCAGCATTCTCTTTAATACCTATGTATTTAATACCTATGGTGTGATGTGTGAAAAACAGGTAAGCATTATTATGGCTTCCACTTGCAATTTACCAATTGGTGTTTGAATTCTAGGTGCCACATATATGGCACATCAGGAAAAGCCAAAGATCAGGATTCTGCCAGAGACTTGTCTTATAATGGGGGTGGGGTGCAGAGGTTACTGCACACTCATTCTAACAGGGATCCATGGTAGTTGGGCAGTACTTTTTAATATAAGAGTTGGTGTGTGTGAGAGAGAGACCCTGGCCGCCTTATGGGAGAAAATGGTGTCAAGCTCTCTCCGATGCCTATTTGCCACGGGGTCCAGTAATAATAGTAATAATAATAATTAATAATAATAATTTAAGTATTTATTATTTATACCCCGCCCACCTGGCTGGGTTTCCCCAGCCACTTTGGGCAGCTCCCAACAGAATTAAAAGCACAAAACAACATCAAACATTAAAAACCTCCCTAAAGAGGGCTGCCTTCAGATGTCTTCTAAAAGTCAGTAGGATTGGGAGTGCTTTGTATGTTTCACTGGCTTTAGTGGGAGAGCTGAGCACATGCCAACATCTTTCTGTTACAATGATTAAGGTCTACTTCAGAGCAGCAGTTTGTCTCTGCACAGTGTACATGCTTCTGTGACATCAAAAAATGTGTAGGAAACGCATAGCCTTTGAACTTATCATGAACGCTGGCCTACAAAGAGTGTTGTGTTCTGAACTGAGATCCAATTACAGTCTTGCTTTGATCAGATGAGGCAGTGGTTTAATTTAAGGGTTTTTGTCAGTCTCTCTTCCAGCTGCCAGAATTCCGCCGGTTGGTTCTTAGCTACTCCCTTCCAGAGAGCGTACTGGAAAATTGTCAAAGCCAAAGCGTAAGTGCTGTCTGAACAAGGTCAGGTTGCTCATTTTCTTGTAGTTGTACTGTCTAAAATTAGAATGAACCTGGATGATTTTGATAAGTTTATGAATCTAAAACATGTACTTGGTTTGAAACTGGCTTCAGACTTATCAGAGTTTGAGGCTGGTTTGTTTTGCCACAGCTGGTATCATGCTTTCTTCAATATCTAGTTTATTATTTCAGGCAAAGTAAGGGACTGTGTATGAATATTCTTAAACATTTTTGCATTGTAATACATTAGGCGTTCTCTAACTGCTTACTTTCAATGTTTCCAAACCTCTCAGCCTCCTTGAATATTGCCATGAGTACTAAATGGGCAGCTTCCCAGTACTTGTCCTTTTCTTTGTTTATACCTTGCCTTTGCCATCAGCAATCTTGACCTCTGTGCTATTTCTGTTGGTAAAATGCTAGATCCTGTTACAATGGATTGCTCAGGTTGTCATTTCTGCAATTCATTGTGCTTTTTCATTCAGAAAAAGAGGAACATCGCGTTCATGCAGGAACTTCAGTATCTCTTTGCTTTAATGCTGGGAACACCCTGTAAATTTGTAGACCCTTCTGCAGCCCTGGACCGTCTCAGATGTGCGTTCAGTTCACCTGAGGAGCAGCAGGTAATTAGGATGGTTGTGCCACCAACCTTGATTGTGATCTATAAAGTGGGTGTGTGACTTTAAAACATAGCAGAGGCATCTCAACCTCTCTCCCTACATCTTAGATGGGATGTTTTCTAGTCCCTGAGCCCCACCGTGAAGACATGCTTAAAGTGGCTTGGGGCAGGAGGCTTCCCTTTGTCTTCCCCCTTTCCCAGCTATTATCTTATGAGGATTCTGGGAATCATCCCAGACCTATTTGCTTGTGCTTGAAGAGAACCTTGTCAAAATTCAGTTGGCCTCTGCTAAAAGATCAGAGTGGTTTGTGTGTAGCTAACTAGTGTGGTGATGATGATGGTGATGATAATAACAATTTTATTATTTATAACCCGCCCATCTGGCTGGGTTTCCCAGCAGAATATTAAAAACACGATAAAACATCAAACATTAAAAACTTCCCTAAACAGGGCTGCCTTCAGATGTCTTCTAAAAGTCAGATAGTTGTTTATTTCCTTGACATCTGATGGAAGGGCGCTACACAGGGCAGGCACCACCACCAAGAAGGCCCTCTGCCTGGTTCCCTTAATCTCACTTCTTGCAGTGAGGGAACTGCCAGAAGGCCCTCGGCACTGGACCTCAGTGTCTGGGCTGAACGATGGGGGTGGAGACACTCCTTCAGGTATACTGGGCCAAGGCTGTTTAGGGCTTTAAAGGTCAGCACCAACACTTTGAATGGTGCTCGGAAACCTACTGGAAGCCAATGTAGTTCTTTTAGGACCAGTGTTATATGGTCTTGGTGGTCACTCCCATTCACCAGTCTAGCTGCCGCATTCTGCATTAGTCTGATGGCTCTTCCTGTGCATATGTGCCTTGAAATGCCCCTCTTTATTTATGCATGTATTCAGTCAGTCTCTGTGTTACAGCTCACAAGAATAGGAACAGTGGGTTCTGTTGCAAACACAATGCAAAAACAGTAGTTGCTAAAAACAACAGACGAAACTGGCTGGTAATTGGCATGTTTGGCATTAAGTGTCTTGTCTTTCTTCTAGCAAGATGTGAGCGAGTTCACCCACAAACTTCTGGATTGGTTGGAGGATGCTTTTCAGCTGGCTGTGAATGTTAAGTGAGTCTGGAGAAACTTTAGTTGAACAATAAGTTTGGTATATGACACATCATTGAATACCCTTTCCTTCTTTCCATTGAGAATAGGGTAGCAAGAAGCTCTAGTTCATATTTCAATACATGATAAACTTTCTAAGCAAATGGGGCAGCTTCCAAATCATGTAAGTTGCCCCTATTAATAGCTCCCTGTTCAACTACCGGTGACTCTAGGAGCTTGACATAGTTGGCTTTTGTAGCTAAACTGTCTGTTGAAACTTGGGAAGCATCATTTTCATAATAGCTAGAGTCAGTATGGCAGAATTTGAGTATCTGAAACAGTGTTTGAGGCTATGAATATTCTGGGCTATGTCACTTTAGACTACAGGAGAAAGCTCATGGGATGAATGCTTTCTCACAGAGGAGGGGGACGAATTCTCTGCCTATAGAAGACTGGTTCATTTGGGGAGAACAGTTCTAGCCTGCCCTCCTTGGTAACACACTAGTTTTGGGTGGAGCATGGAATCTGTTATATAGAGGAACATTCCATCACATGATTCCATCATCTGCAGCCTTGGCAAAGGTTTCCTGTCTGAATGGGACCTAGGCCTAAACCATAGTTTTCTAACAAACTGATAACTGCATATTTCAAGTACATATCCCCTGTCCTTTTATACAGGCCACCTGTCATTTTATTCCATTTTCAGGCACCTAAGGATTGTTGATAAAAGCCTTGGTCTTTGTTTTTAAAAAATCACTTTGTATTCCTGAGTCCAATGAATTTTTCATGTCTTTATTTGATTGATTGATTTCTGCAGTGGTAACTCACAGGACAAATCTGAGAACCCAATGGTTCAGCTTTTTTATGGAACTTTCCTTACTGAAGGTATTCATGAAGGTAAGGTAGAAGGGTGTTAATTTAATCCTCTTTACATTGATTTGTGTCCTTAGCTGGACTCTATCTGGGCACTGTTGCAGATAGGTCTGTTTTGGCCGCAGTCCAAGCAAAATTAAGCATTTGCAGCTCCCTCTTATGTCAGTAGTGGGACATTTAAATATCCACATTAGCTTACTATTGAAATTAATGAAAGTGCTCAATTACCATGGTTATGAAGATCCTTTCCAAGGGCTAGAGCCTTGAGCAGGAGCACTCCAAGGAATTGACGGTGGGTTCACAGCAATATTTTGTTCTTGTAGATTTCTACTTCTTAAATTCTGAAGCAAGCAGTCATGCATGCTGTTCACTCATATGCAGAAATGTGTGAGTCTCCCTGCCTTGGAAGGTTCGGTGAACTGCATCACTAGAAAGTTTATATGTTCATGAGAGAACTATCACTAATCTTGACTATTACAAAAAAAAAAAAATCTTACCAAAAATACAAAACTAATATCCTCATATGTTATCCACATGCGATGAGAATGTAAGGAATACTTGCAATATTCCCAAATTTGTTATTAATATTGGCCCTAAATCAGGAAAAAGTAGGAAAGAATAAGAATTATTATTTTATTATTTATATGCCACTCATCTTACTGGGTTGCCCCAGCCACTCTGGGCAGCTCCCAGCAAAATCTATAGAGCCATTACACTGTGCTGAAGGCTTATTAAAAACTGTAATATGTTTATATTGACCAGTCAGTTGAAAAAAAACAAAACCCTTGTTTGGCTTAGCTTTAATAAAAACCTCTTTGCAATATCTAGATATATCTGTAAAGAGATATTCTGGTGTGTGCTTGGTTTTATGAAAAGCTGGCTTTTGACTTTTCTCCTTTCATGTTCAGGCAAGACCTTTTCCAAAATAGAGACATTTGGCCAGTACCCCCTGCAGGTAAATGGTTATAAGAACTTGCATGGATGTTTGGAAGGCGCCATGGTAGAGGGGGAGACTGAACCGTCGTCATCTAATCAGTCAGTGAAGTATGGGCAAGAGGTTAGTTCTACACGATTCATCAATTTTACTTACAGGCAACAGAGCAAAGACAAACATGATCCCAAATGAGAAATTGTAAAAAGTATTGTGAAGCTCACATTTTACGTGGGAATAGTTAAGTGTACAGTATTTCGTGGCTGACATGTTCATCAAAGCTAGCATGCCTGGGTTGTATAATTGCTGACTTCCCACATAACCTGTCCAGCATTTACCTTGCAGTAAAAGGGTCTGCTTATTATGTGTAAGTGTGATAAAGTGTTTCTCTTTCTATTGAAGCCTACCCGTACCCGAGTAGGGAGGAACCACTGCCTCCATATTTTCGGAGGGTAAAAGTACAGTTCTTAACTTTATGGTATGCTTTTTTTTGTAATTCATCTTTTCCCTCTTCGTGTACACTACACTTTTCATTTTCATCCTAAATAAAATAAAAAATAAAAAAATCTTCTGCCTCCACCTATCTTGCTCTTTCTGCTTTTTGATTTAAATCATGACCCAATCATATGCTGCTGAGACATATTTGAAAGCTATTCAGAACTACTTTAAACTACCTAAAGCATCTCTCTTTATAAGAATTGTTTATGAACACATGGCAAAGAATGAAAAATTTGTATTCTGGCATGCAGCTTGAAAGAGAGGAGACTCTGCTGCTGTTTAAGGCCCATTTGTGCAATATTGGTACTTTCTTCTGCAGCATGTGATGTTCCTTGATAGAGCTGATTGGCTCTATGTTGAAAATAATGCCAGGTTTTTTAAATTGCCCACCTAATCTCCCAGGGCTTCACTGTAAGGCAAATCATCTTGAGTGATTTCAGCTCCGTAGTTTAGGATCCCAGGAAGCTTAAAAGCAAAAATCTTAGCCAGAGGCAATTTTTTACTTAACCCTTTAAGTCTTTTTTGTATATCTCCAGCCATCTTAGAACTGCATCTTAAATCGGAACCTTTCTGTTCACATTGCGAAGAAGGCTTTAGGAGGCTGATGTGTTGGGAATAGTCAGGAATGCTCTTACTCTGTTCAATTAATAGAAGTTAGTTCTGCTTTCTCGTCTATAGTTAAATTATCAGCTTTTGTAGGACAAAGAATAAGGATTGCTTTTTAAGAAACATAGATTTTTTTTAAAAAAATTGTCCCTATGTTACATTCAACTGCCAAGGTAAAAGTTGTGGCAGCTAGGATAACTTTTAAAAAGTGCATCAGGCCAACTAATTACAAATAGCTCTAAACAGAGGGTGTGATTTATTTATTTTTTATCATGCAAGCTTTGTCTAGCTCTAGATGCCAGAAGGCTATTAAAAGCTTAGAAGATGGAACCATTGGCAGGATATTTCCATTGTGGATTTTAATATCAGCAGCTAGAAAACTCTTCTGCTCAGTGTCTGTTTGAAATAGTTTCCGACTTGGCAGTTTTTAGTTGTGATTGTAAGGCTTGTTTGGGTTGCTCTGTAACCTTAAGCCTTTGTACACACCCAGCAATTTAAGGTGGGCTCAGCTTGACTTTAAAATCAGTATTCAGAAATAGCCTATAACTAAATGTACAAAATAACATACATGGATCGCCCCTCCCCCCTGGGTATGGCACATGACTTCCTATGGTCGATAGATATGGTGAGATCTCTGGTATCTTACATATTTTCTGTAATTAAGTCCTGCTTGAAGCTGCTTGAAAATTACGTGAAGAAAGTCTAGTATCCTTCTCCTGTTCTAAAACCTTTTTTTGTGTGTTCCAGCGCTGGTTTACAAAACTTCCTCCCGTGTTGACTTTTGAACTTTCCCGTTTTGAGTTCAATCAGTCGCTTGGGCAGCCAGAGAAGATACACAACAAGCTAGAATTTCCACAGATAATTTATATGGACAGGTGAGGTGTTAACTGGTAGTATCATATGCAAAAGCTCAGACCATCAGACTTTACCCTCAAGGCCTGCTAGAGTAATATTGGCATGACTGCATCAGTCTTCATAATGATTCATGTGTACTTTTGAATGGGAGGACTGATGCTACAAAAAGAGACCACACAAATAAGTGTTTCTCCTTTAGGTTCCTGTATGGTAACAAAAAGCTTGTTCAAGCCAAAAGAGAAAAGATCAAGAAACTGAAGGATCAGATAACGGTTCTACAACAGAAATTGGAAAGGTAGGTGGTCAGCTTTTCGAACTACAAAACTTCATGTTTCCATATTCAGACTGTTATGTATGGTGGTCAGTCCATGATTAGAGCAGCAGTGTCTATATCACCTTTCCCCACATGTAATTAATATGAACGCATTGGACTGGTGTGTTTTTCACTCAGTTTGGGATCTGTGAGTGCAGTCTTGGCGGGAGCCTCCACATCTCTCCAGTCATTTCAATGATCTCTCAGAGTGGCAAGGAAAAGCTTTCTATGACATCTCCCTATTCTCCAGCCCACAAAGGGTCATATGACTACATACTGCTTCTATCTAGCCACATTTATTATAGCTGCTGGGTGTGTCCAAAGCAAATTTCCTGAAGAGGGCAAGCTTTTATCCAGCATTGGACACACACACACAAGGACATGGACTGAAGGCTTGGCTGTTAAGCTTCTCATGGCTGAGTAACAGTGGCTTGTAGTTGAGACACAATAAGTTCCTTAACTGGTCCTTGGCATTCCACCATGAACAATAACTTTTACTTTATATTACTGTTGGGTAATATAGGCAAATACTGCACTAATTAACACTGCTTGTTTTGGGGCCCATCTTATGTTCAAGGAAGTGGTCTCCATGCGTGTTGACTGACTTTTAGAAAGGCCTACAAACAGATGCCTCTTCCTTCTTGGGTTATTATGCCTGACGTTATAGAATCCAACTTTCAGTGGTAGTTTATCATGCAGTTTTTCTTGGTAGTTAAAATGTAATTTAGATTTACAGTAGTACTTGGGCATATGCCAGATATTTAAAGGGAAAGCCCAATTGGTCGCTAATGCTTCCTTAAATAACTATTGTAGCTTTGATCCCCTTAGAATAATTTAAAGTATACAGGGATTCAATAAACTTAATTGGTGTTTTTATAAAGTAGGATATAAATAACATGTCATAATTCTCTTTGATTTACTCTCTTTAGGTACACAAGATACGGTTCTGGTGCCAGTCGCTTCCCTTTGCCAGACATGCTGCAGTATGTTCTTGAATTTGCAGGTACTAGGCTGCCCAGGGCTGCCCCCTGCACTCAAGACTTGACACCAGTAGCTGAATGCCAAACTTCAGAGACTCCTCCAACGCAAAGCAGGTAAAGAACTGATTTTCCTAAGATATCATTTGCAGCCTCACCTTGCCTCCAGAAATCTTGGGATCCTTTTATATATCCTTTCCATTTCCTTGCTTTCCATATTTCCAATGAAGGACTTGGTTGAAAGCTGAGTGATGCCATTCTGACAGAGGTTGGTTTTCCATCGGGGTTGATTTAAAATGAGAAAAATAACATGTCAGCGATTCAAATTGTTGTAACTTGATGTATGCTTCTTTTGGGGGGGGTCTTTGGCCAAAAAAGCATCATACTATAGCTCATTAGGTGGCTGCTGAGTTCAGAGAAGTGTTGGTTTCCATTTGCTGGGAACTGTAGCATTGATTATCTTTCTATCCTTCTCTTAATAGGGTGACAGTAACACAAGCTGAAAGTGCCAAGGACGTAGCCTCTGCCCTAGCCACATCTCACCAGGAACCAAACAACAAACCCCTCCAGTTTCCCAGACTTCCTGTGAAGGTGCCAGAAGGCCATGTCCCTCGTGAGATCACAAAGGATGAAATAAGTCTTGTTGTGGCCTGCCTGCAACGATGGAGAGAAGAGGTTGAACAAGACATAAAAGGTCTGTGCCCAGATAGTGCCCTCCCTATTACAGTGGTACCTTGGTTCCCGAATGGCTTAGCTGACAAATAAATCGGCTCCCAAACGCCACAAACCTGGAAGTATTCCAGTTTGCAAATGCTTTTCAGAAGCCAAACACCCATTTTGGCTGTCGGTATCGTTTCCGGGGCTAATCAGCCAATCAGAAGCCACACCTTGGTTTTTGAATGTTTTGGAAGTCAAATGGACTTTCAGAATGGATTGAGTTTGAGAATCAAGGTACCACTGTATTGCATTTGTTTTTTGTTTTTTAAATTGTAAGCTTTTACTGTATTTTAAATGGTCCTGGGAGCTTATGGTGAAAGGTGGACAGAAATTAACAACAACAACTTTCAGTTAGAGCTAGAGTCACTGACTTTCATTGGTTATGTTCAGGGCTGTTCATTCTCTGCCCCATGCCAATGCAAAATAAACAGAGTCAACTTTCATGGAAACATGCTTATTCTAAATTCAGTTATTTCACCTGCTTGCTTCATTTGACGTTTGAAAGCTTAGTAAGTGTTGGCATATTGTAGGATGCAGACTCTGAGCTGGAGGAGCCTGTATCCTATTATATGTGATGCAGTTTTCACTTGATTATCAGCTGCTTTAGAGACCTGCTGAAAGGCAAGAAATAAATACTTTAAATGCAGCCTGCTCTTAATCTGTCTGCACACTTTTGTCTATTAAACCTCCACAGCAATTGAGACTTCTATTCTTCACAAAACATCAATAGCCTTGGCAATTTTCATGATTATTTTCTTTATAAATGGAAGTAATTTCTAACCCATTCTTCATTGTTCACCCAATCCCAGAGTGGGATGTGACATTCAAATACAGTAAATGTGAAAATGGACAATATGCTAACAAAGCTACAGCAGCTGAACCAAGGGCACTCCTTTAGTCAAATGCTTGGGCGAAATCATCACCCGGTACCTTTGTGTGAATAGAGTTTTGGAAATAGGAGCTGAACTACTGTAAATCAATGCTTCCAACGTCATTCTCTGAAGCTGCTCTTGAAGAATGGTGTGGTTAGTAGTATCAAAAGCCACTGAGAGATTGAGGAGAATCAACAGAGCTGCACTTCTCCATCTTTCTTCTGATGAAGGCCTAATTTCAGGCTGGAGTGGGACTTCTAGATAATCAGTTTCTTCCAAGAATGTCTGGAGTTGAGAGGCCCCTCCCTGTTAATCACTTCCCTAAGGAACGAGGCATGTGGGCTTAGAGTTATTAAGATTGTCCAGGTCCAGGGAGAACTTTCAAAGAATGGGTGCACCAGTGCCTCCTTCAAGGCAGCCAGAAACTACCTGTCACGCAGCAGTGCATGGATTTGAATGTAGGTAGATATTTGTGTTGTCTGTGTCCTAGAAATGCTTAACAGTTAATGCAAGATCAAACATAAGTATTGAATTGTTTTGATTAACAGACCTGAATGCTTCTATTGCACTGCTTTCCCAATCTATTGACCAGATGTACTCAGATCCTTTGCTTCATCAGGTAAGGTATTTTGTCTTTTCATTGAGATTATGTTTTTCTGTTCTTGTGCTAGCACTGGTACATGCAAGCAGTGCATGCTGTTAATTGAGTTCATTTAGAATTTTCTTGAAAGTGATATCTTATTGGGAGATGGGGCATAACTGCTGTTGTTGAACCTAAAGTAATTCTCTGATCTGTCCACGTAAAACTAGTTTACTAAAGCCCAGCCTTTTCAAGCAGGCATTTGGATTCTATATGATATCCTGCAAATAATGAAATTACCTTGCTGTGGAATGGTATTGCTAATGGGATTCATTAAAACTTGTTCTTAGACACAGGCACTTTCCATTTTTCTACCTTACGCTATTTCCTGTGCTTGTTTCAGTGAGCTGTAGATGCTGTTGTAAATATTAATAACTGGGGGAGTTGGTTCAGTTTTCTCTCCTTACCCCTTCAAAATACATTACTAGGACTGTTCAGATACTGTACCTTGCTGAAAGACGGAGAGCTGCTTCTTTCATGCTTAGAGGTGTTTCTGCCCTTTTCCTCCAGCACGTAATGAATCAAATGCTGGGTGTGTCCTGGATTATACAGTGTCTGCCTCTTGGCTCCTCATCTTAAAAGGCTTGGGTTTCAAGATTCTGCCATCATATTAGTGGAGTTACGTTGTATAATCTTGGTTTTTTCCAATAAATGGTTTGTAATCCTCTGTGTCAATCTGTCAAGTGTTTTCTGGGTAGTCGGGCTTTGACCCTTAAAGTTCACACTTGTCACAATGACTCTGAAGCACTGCTTTCTGCCAACTAAAACCATATTACTCTGGGAAGAAAAGAATCTGTCCCTCTCTGTGTGAAGCCAGGATTGTATGAATGGATAGTTCTTAACAGGCACAACAGCTGGGAATGTGCCTGGCTGAATCTGGCCTGAGGTCATGTTACTTCACCTGCTAAAAATAAGCCTGTTGTGTATGTGTGTGCATATTTTGCAGGTCCCTTACCACTTGCATGCTGTCTTGGTCCATGAAGGCCAGGCCAACGCTGGCCATTACTGGGCCTACATCTACAACCAGCCCCGAAAAAGCTGGCTCAAGTATAATGACATCTCTGTGACAGAGTCGTCTTGGGAAGAACTGGAGAGGGACTCTTTTGGAGGCCTGAGGAACGCCAGTGCCTACTGCCTGATGTACATAAATAAAAAGCTACCACACTTTGCTGCTGCTGGTAAGGACTTTGAAATGCTTACTTGTCTGAGTGATCTTGAGCTATTGGTTCTGTAAGCACTTTTCTGCAATGCACCCAGTCCCTGCTTGTGGCTCATGGTTGATTCTTGATTGTATGGGAAGGTCTGTAGGGACTTGGGGTTTGGGCTAAGTGATCTCTTCTAAGCAACTGTTTTTCTAGACGCATCTAGTTGTGTATAGAAATGGTACAGTAAAAAGGGTACAGTACTGGAGTGTAAGATGTCTAGCCTGCATTTAATGCTGTTTGAAATCACGAGAGAGAGGATGTCTTGACCTCCTTCTGCAGTGCAGGAGTGAGTGCTGAGAGTAATCCTAACTGGGCCAAAGTAACAGCCAACATCCATATGGGGACAGAGATGTTGGCTTAGCCCAGTACATGCTTCCTTCAGGTTGATGATATGCTCTATTCAGATACCTGTCTTCTGGAGCAGTCTAGAAAATTAGCTTGTGCAGGGTAAAAAGATGAACAAGTAAAGAGCGTGCAGGCAAGCAGTTGACCATTGCCATCTCTCATGGCATCTTCCTCCTTTTCTCTGGAACACTGAAAAGACATCTAGTCCATTGGGGTTTGGGAGGTGCTGTGAAACACACCTAAGTAGTCCAGCTGATCTCTCACCACCTCTCACCATCTTTGCCCTGGATGCTGGTGGTTGGAAACCATCATTGGGTGCCAGTTGGATTGAAATGAGGTATTTTATTTTCCCTACTTCCTACATGCATCCCCCATCTTTGCTGTAAGGAGCTTCGGGTGTCCTGTATAGTGCTCATCCTTCCATTTTTAACCTCACAACAGCCCTATGAGAGAGGTTAGGCTGAGAGATCTAGTAACTGGCCCGAGATAACCAAGTTGAGCTTCATGGTCCAGCTGGGTTCTGAATCCTGGTTTTTCAGGTCCTGCTTCTGACATTCTTTAACTATACTGGCTCTAAACCCCATACCAGTTGTGCGTGTTTGGGATAGAAGCAGCTTCAGTTCATTTGTATCTCCTGTTCAGGATTGTTCTGGATCAAAAGGCAGCACAGAGATCATCTTAATAAAATTCCATTGCAACCAACCCTACCCCAATTTAAATGTAGACGTGGACCAGGATAAGCATAAGGTTTGATAAGAAGCTGAAAGAATCCTCCAGGCATTGATGGGTTGACAGAGCAGAGGAGTAATAAATTAGGAGCTAATGGTTTGGGAGAAGTTGGGGCTTTCCCTAGGTCCCTTTATACATCATTTGCATTTTGAGCCTTAGCAGTAGGTGTGTGGATGTGTAAAAGGTAAAGAACCCCTGGATGGTTAAGTCCAGTCAAAGACAACTATGAGGTTGCAGCGCTCATCTCACTTTCAGGCCGAGGGAGCCGGTGTTTGTCCACAGGCAGCTTTCCAGGTCATGTGGCCAGCATGACTAAACTGCTTCTGGCGCAACGGAACACCATGACAGAAACCAGAATGTACGGAAACGCTGTTTACCTTCCCGCCGCATTAATACCTATTTATTTACACTGGCATGCTTTCAAACTGTTAGGTTGGCAGGGGCTGGGACAGAGCAACAGGAGCTCACTCCATCGCAGGGATTCGAACCGCCAACCTTCTGATTGGCAAGCCCAAGAGGCTCTGGTATAGACCACAGTGCCACCCACGTACAGTGGGTGTGTAGCCCCCTCCCCCCCATAGGGTGGTGTGTAAACCCAAATCCATTTGTATAACTGTCTGCAACTTCTATCCAAGGTGCTCAGATAAGTAGGGGTGACCCGTAGTATTAATAAACAAAGGTTTCACTGTAGGCTATTCTTTCACAAAGTGTCTTGGTTTAATAGTGAGCCCGACAAGTATTCAGAGGTAGGATGCAAGGGGCAAACGAGCACCAGCACCTTCTGGATATTTTCCCTTTGATTAGATTATGTTAATGGGCAGACCCAGAGAGAAGTGGAATCTCTGCCTCTGGAGCTCCAGCACTACATCCAAGAAGACAACTGGAGGCTTGAACAAGAGGTGGCAGAGTGGGAGGAGCAGTCGAGCAAGATGGCGCAGATGGATCAGTCATCACCAGCAGAGTCTCAGGACCTCTCTTCTGACTTGGGACAAGGTGAGAAAAACAGTCAGTCTTTTTGCGTGCCTCTCCCAATCCCGGTTGTTCAGCCCTCTGACGTACTGGATTGCTGAGAGTGATGAGACAGTCCTGGTGCTTAAATTTCTATAAGAAGCCCTGTGTGGACTTTACCTCCCATATTGACTTGCCCCATGTATTGAGATGATTTTCAGAGGTTCTTCCAAAGCCCATGCCATTTAGAGGTAATGCAGATTGGTTGCTATCTGTAGAATTTCCTCACTGGGGATGATCCTTGGCACCAGCCTTGTTATCTTTTTATTCTTCCAGATTTATTAATGCATTACTTATAAGACACAGGCTGCTGTTTCTGTCCCGTTCATTGGGAGCATTGCTCAAAAGGTAGAATATAAATCTTTGCCCTCCCACACTAGCTGTAGTTCAGGGCCAGGCACGACCCAGCTTCTAACATTTTGTCTAGTTCTATGTTTTTCTAAATGTCTTGCTGGACGTAGAGAGTAAATTGTGCACTACGCTTATTTTTCTCTCCTCAGAAAGATCTTGTTCCTCCAGCTCTGAACGGATGGCACATTCCCTCTCCTCTGAACATGCCATGATTGCCAAGGAACAGACGGCTCAAGCCATTGCCAAGACAGCTGATGCATATGAGAAGGCTGGTGGATTGGCAGCTCTTGACAAGGTGAAAATAGCAATTGTTGGGCTTCCGGACCTTTGTATCCACCCTTTTCCATGCCTCTGCTCCCTGCCTCCTCTTGCTTGAACCTTTTTTTGCTTTGCTGGCTTGCCTTTCATTTCCCTTTCTGATTTCTTTCTGTTTTCTTATCTCTGTGTGGCAACAGTCAAAGGAGGCAGAACCAGTGCAGCACCTCCCAGAAGAAGCAAACCCCACCACTCAGGCAGAAGAGCCACAGGATGCTAAGGGGATGGAGCTTTCTGCCCCACCCAGCTCACAGATCTCTGAAGTGGATATCCCCAGTGTGGGAAAGATTCTAGTTAGATCAGATGCAGATGGATATAATGAAGAGGTACACAGCTATGTGTCTGTGTGTCTTTTTTGCAGCAAGCAAAAATGTTGGGGATGAGCATCTTTCATTCTAAAGCATTGCGAACTAGGGAAGATGCCAGACACTGCGCTCACGGGCTGCATCTTTCCCATTTCAGATGGGTTATGCTTGGAAGTAAACATCCCAGAGCTGTCTCTCAAACCATCCAAATGGTGGTGCTTAGGATTGCAGACTTTCCCACCAGTGGTTTGGTTTCTTTGACACGAGATTACTCCCCAAGGTTGCTCACTTAAAAATAAAAATACTAAAGCTGTTTTACCTCTACTGAGGTCTTTTTGACATCCAAGGCCACAGATGGTGAAGCCACATAACATTCTGAAAACGTGGCAGCATTCCTAGTCCTAAGTTTTGACTGCTCTCCTGTGCACAGAAGCAATCCTGACAGCACCATCATTTTTGTCTCCGGATTAAATGGACAGTATGTTTTAGGGCTGGGGGTTTTCAGCATGTGGGTGAGGACTGGTAGGTTAAGTAAGCCAGTTGCTAGCAACCTGCTGTGGAACAAGTGGACCTGCGCATTATGCCACTGTCATCCCATACAGGAAACGGGCATGGGTCAGGACTTGGGTGATGTATCTCTGCATCCCCTTAATTGCCCTTAATTCCTGCTCATCTTTCATTAGACCTTCTCAATGCATATGTGGACACTTAAGTCATAGTTGGTAGAGGGGCACAAAGTTGAGGTGTGTCTACAAATGTGTGAACAAATCAAAGTAACTTAATAATCATGCAGGGCAGTCTTCAACTGGCTGCTTCCATGACCATACTGGTTGGGGCTGTGGGAGTTGCAGTTCAGAATTCAAACATCTGGAAGGCCCCAGGTATGGAAGAAGATAGAACCCTGACTCTGGACTCTGCATGTCTTAGCTCTTGCCTGTTCCGACTCTTTCATCATGTAGCATTTTTCATTTTTCCTCTCTCCATCTTTCTTTTTTCTTCTTTCTGTCAGATGATGCTCAGTCCTGCCATGCAAGGTGTGATCCTGGCTATTGCTAAAGCCCGTCAAACCTTTGATCGGGATGGGTCTGAAGCAGGGCTAGTTAAGGTACTATTGTACACATTGACCTCTTGGCAGTGGAGAAATGCAATGAAACATTGGCTACGGATGCCACGTGGCTGTTCCTTACTTTGTTTTTCCATCCTGCGATGTCTTGATTGCAGAGATCATTTGTTCCGTCACAAGAGGTTGATATTCCACTTTGAGGAAGCAGGTCTTCACTGATTTTTGAAGTTTCTCCTCCCAGGAATCTTCTTAATATCTGTCTTCCACTGAGATAACAAGACTGCTGCTGCTCTTAAAGCATAAACATTCCACTCTGAGTAGAAGTTTGTTGCATGCACCCCAAAGTGCAGCTCCCTCCCCTACTGCTATTGGATATATATATTACAAGGTGTGGTCTTCTCATGACCAAGGGAAGCACTGGACTGGCTTGTGAAGCTTCTTTCTAGTCCTAGAGAGGGTGGCATCCTGATTTTCCTTCATTCATCCTTCCTCTACATAAGGAGGGCTTCTCCTTGTAGTTAGAAAACTTAGAACCTAGAGATAACCATTTATCCTATTCTGCTTTTTCCCCTGCTTGGGGGTATTGTTAGGGGTTGAGGGGGCAGGGATTGCTGCTTTTATTGATTTTTTTGTATATTTATTTTAGATCTTATGATTTTTATGCAAATTCTTTAATTTGGTTGTACTTTTTGATGTTTTATTTATTGTTTATGACTACTTTTGTTACGTTTGTAATTGTGTGGGGGTTTTTTAACATGTTGTAAGCCACCTTGAGTGTGGTTTTAACCTTGGAAAGGCAACATATAAATAAAACGATGCATGCATGTATGTATATTGTTAAGAAATCTTTTGTCTGGTATCCATTGAGCCTGTTTCTCAGCTGTAGAAGTCTCCAAATGAGGACTCATGTTTCTAGCTTAGGTTGTGGACATCTCAAGAAATCTTGCTGTCTCAAAGTAGAGAGGTGGAAATTGCCCATCTTTCAGGAAATCCTCTGAATGATTGGTGAAGGCCAACGCGCTTGGAATTTTCTTAGTAGCCCTGCAGCCTTCCGGAAGCAGCCCAAAGTGCCAACTGCCGTCAGAAGCAAAACTTGCATTATATTATTATTATTAATGTTTATTGAGTTTATATACCATCCTATACCCGGAGGTCTCAGGGCGGTTCACAGAAAAGATCACAGTTGTAGAGATCAGTTTGTTCCTGTTGTTGTTGGAGTTGTGCGCTGAATAAAATCCTCGGTATTGCTGCAGTAGATCATATGGCACTAGCTTTTGCATACCAGTTCCAAGGAGCTACTTTGACATTGTTGGAGCAAGACCTCATGACGGTCATCTGCAGAGCAAAACAAGACCTTGCAGTTGATTGGCTTCATAGGACTTTAATTTCAGCACATCCAGCTTAAGTTGGTCATGAGCAGTTTATTGATAAGAATGTCCCTCAAAGTCTAAGAATTGCTTGCATTGTGGATTCATAATTGTCAGGCTGATATTGTTCCAATTTTTGGCTTTATTAGGCATTCCATGAAGAATACTCCAGGCTGTACTCGCTGTCAACAGAGACTCCAACACCACAAAATGACCCCCGGCTTCAGCACGTCCTAGTTTACTTCCTGCAGAACAATGCGCCAAAGCAAGTGGTGGAACGGACTCTTCTGGAGCAGTTTGCAGACAAAAACCTCAGCTATGATGAAAGGTTTGTTCAGAACACGTAAGCTGGAATGTCTTCTGTGTGAATAAAGGAAGGGCACAGAATTGCTTTGAAAGTGCTACATGGGGGCTTTGTTTGGTAGGAGTGGTAGCACTGATCAGTATTAGATGGTTAAAGAGATTTTTATTGTTCTGTGTTTTAGCTCTCCGTTTCTAACTTGCATTTCCCCCTCAATGGGCCAAGAAGGCAGCTTCCAGCAAGTCAGTGCTGCTTGCACCTCTGAAATATATAGATGTAATATCAAAACAAGCTAAATCTAAGAGATGTTTCAGTTGACATTCTCTGGCTTTTGGGTATCACTTCACTAAGCTTTCTCCTCCTTTCTGTGAACAGATCAATTAGCATTATGAAGGTAGCTCGAGCTAAGTTGAAAGAGATTGGTCCTGATGAGGTGGACATGGAAGAGTATAAGGTAAGGAGCCTCAGCCCTAAAGTTTTAGGTCTGGTTTATATCTTTGTGTCAAAGCTGCAGCCTAATTGTTAGGTGAGCAAACACTACTCTTGTGACCAAAAAAGGAAAATTGGTTTCCTTCAGATAAATGGTGATGACTTAAGTTTCTTCAGAGTTGTGTTTTGAGGGTTACTTGCTCTGTCTCAAGGGACACGGGTGGCGCTGTGGGTTAAACAGACAGAGCCTAGGACTTGCCGATCAGAAGGTCGGCGGTTCGAATCCCCACAACGGGGTGAGCTCCCGTTGCTCGGTCCCTGCTCCTGCCAACCTAGCAGTTCGAAAGCGCGTCAAAGTACAAGTAGGTAAATAGGTACCGCTCTGGTGGGAAGGTAAATGGTTTTTCCGTGCGCTGCTCTGGTTCACCAGAAGCGGCTTAGTCATGCTGGCCACATGACCCGGAATCTCATGACCCAGCCAATAAAGTGAGATGAGCGCCGCAACCCCAGAGTCAGCCATGACTGGACCTAATGGTCAGGGGTCCCTTTACCTTTACCTGCTCTGTCTGAGATGTCTATATTTCCTCTTGCCCTGTTCCGTATCCTGGATAAAATCTGTTCCATTCCACACATAAACAGTAGCAGAAATAAGAGTGCCCTGCCTCCCCTCCACATCCCATTTAGATATTATGGTAAATTTAGTAGCATTCTGTTCATCCATTTTCAGTAGAAACATGTCTACAGCATTTTTAAAGCGTCTGGCTCGCTGAGACACTACAGAGTGTTTCAGGTGCTCCCTTTGCTGTCTTGTAGATATCCTGCTTCACATTCACTTCAGGATTCATCTGAATCCAGCGCACAGCCTTACTGCATATACCCAAAATGAGGGTGAAGTGCATAATAGGCATCTTATAATTTGTAAGTGGGCTATGATTCCTGCCTCTCTCCACCTGACCTAGGGCGCGGCCTGACAGGTTTCATAAGAACTGCTGCTTCTGCTGCTGCCCAGCAAGGACTGGGGTATTTTGGGGAAAATTTTGTCAGGAGTTTTTGCTGTTATTGATACTAATTTTTTGTATCTTTTTATGTGGAAATTGTTCAGTTTGGTTATGTAGTCTTGATATGTGTTATTTATTTTTATGACTACTTTGCTATGTTTGTAACTGTAAATCTTTTCATAGTGTAAGCTGCCTTGAGCTTTGTTTTAACTGTGGAAAGGTGGCATACAAATGATGATGATGATGATTACCATATTTTTTCCGTGTACTAGACAAGGTTTTTTGAATCAAAAATCATGTCCAAAAACAGGGGACGTCCTATACATGGATTGGGGGGGGGGAGTGGCGCACGCGCCGGTTGGAGGGAGCGCAACTTCCCATGATGCCACGGCACGCGGGAAACGATCTAGGGAGTGTTTTCTGCCCGCAGTTGCATGGGGGGAGAAGCTCAACAACTTTGGGCCATCTCCCCTCATTTTCTTAAAATTGAGTCCCCCAAACTAGGGGGGGGGGGGTTTCTTATACATGGGGATGTCTTATAGATGGAAAAATGCGGTGCCCAAAAGCAACAAGAGAAAAGGAGCAATATGAGAAAAGCCAGGTGTGAATAAAGTGGGACTTACTGAACCAATAATGGATTGTGACTGTTTTCTTTTTCTGGCACAGAAATGGCACGAAGACTACAGTTTGTTTCGCAAAGTATCTATTTACCTCTTAACAGGCTTGGAACTGTATCAGAATAAACAGTAAGTTTGTGTAAATTGCTTCTAAAGGTTGTGATGAAGATTTGGAGGGTAGCTGAGGATTGGTGGATATATTCTTAGACCCAACACAGACTGTTGAAATCTGTGGTGGTGCATCATAGCAAGTAGAAATTAGGGACGACCTGAGTGGGGAAGTACTACTTTTCCACTGTGTATAATCATAATTTATTATTTATGCCCCGCCCATCCCCGGGCGGCTTCCAGCAAAATATTAAAATACATGATGTTGCCACTTCTGCATCTGTATCTTCTCATGAACACTTTGGCTCAAAAGGTTTCATTAGTAAGGTGAATTAGTAAGACTCCAGCAAACTTGGACAAGCCTTCTTCTAATGGACACAGGAGTGTCCATAGTCTATACATAAAGATGGTGAAGAAGGGTGGTGCTAGGATGCTTGTGGTAATCCCTCATGCACTGAGGGGAGAGCAGGAACTTCTGAACAGGGTACAGTTGTGTTCCTGTGACTTTTGGTAAATGTTCTAGTTTGTGGGCCAGCTCTTACTAGGCAGCTGTCCTCCTACAGAGTGGTGCATGGGCTACACTGGGAAAATGTTCCTAGCTCGTTTAAGCAAAGCATCCCTTCCCAGTTATTTGTGTTCCAGAAGGGCTTATTTTCTGAACACAGGGAAGTAGTGAACAGATAGGTATAGCCAGTGCTTTTTTAGGGGTACTCTCATTTTGACTCAAGAAAATCACCATTTTATAGTTCAAATCAGGAAAAATTAAATGCACAAAAGTACAAAGAACATGCATTACTTCATATTACACAGCTTACAGTCACTTCCACATTGGCATGAGGTTGTGTGCACTAACATCTTCCCGATTCCTCTACTAGATTCCAACTCCTACTTCACACATTAAAACACTTGCTTTAGTCTGAAACACTGTGACAAGAAATGAGGCTGCCATCGGGGGTAGCAACGGAACTGACGATTCACCATGTTATTCAATGGAACTGACAATTCACCATGCTAGAGAAGAAACAAAAAATTTTAAAATTTTTGGGTTCTTCCATTAGATTCACAAAATGTTTAGGGGTATGCGTTACCCCAGTGTACCCCCAGAAAAAAAAGCACTGGGTATAGCCATGTGTCCCAAGCAAGTATAAGAGCTATGAATGGCTGCTGTAGTTTGCAATAAATGTTTGCTTGCACAACCTGTTTTAATTCCGAAGATTACAACTCTCACCCTCTTTCCTGTTCTTATAAGGTACTATGAAGCTCTGACCTATCTGGTGTATGCCTATCAGAGCAATCTGACCTTGCGGAGGAAGGGAGCCAACAGAGGTGCCAATGCATCTTTAATTGCTCTGTACAGAAGAAAATGTCTCTTGGTTGGTATTAACCCCTTCTCCCCTCCCCTGCTTTCTCCACCCCTTCACGTATTGCCTTTATAGTATGCTAAGGGATGTGGGTGGCGCTGTAGTCTAAACCACTGAGCCTCTTGGGCTTGCCGATTAGAAGGTCGGCAGTTCGAATCCCCACAATGGGGTGAGCTCCCGTTACTCTGTCCCAGCTCCTGCCAACCTAGCAGTTTGAAAGCACACCAGCGCAAGTAGATAAATAGGTATCGCTGTGGCGGGAAGGTAAACATCGTTTTTGTGCATTCTGGTTTCCATCACGGTGTTCTGTTGCACCAGCAGTGGTTTAGTCCTGCTGGTCACATGACCCGGAACGCTGTCTGTGGACAAATGCCAGCTCCCTCGGCCTGAGATGAGCACCGCAACCCCATAGTTGCCTTTGACTGGACTTAATAGCTTAGGGGTCCTTTACCTTTATAGTGTGCTCTATCTCTTGGTTCCTGAATGGATTAGTGAAAACCTGTCTCAGGTTGGGGCACTTTGCAGGGAGGGGAATATCCGGCAGATGTTTGGGCTCTTTTTTGCCATGGCAATGTAAAAAGTTCTTTTAAGCAGACAAAAACCCCTAAATGTTCAGCTGCACTCTAAAACTTGCCACAGGAAGCATTGTGGAAAGTGACAGACACCAATCTGAGCTGTTGCCAAAGACCCATAAATGTGTTTCTTGTATTGTTTTGCCACAGAAGTTGAACGATGCTGCAGCAGCTCTGTTTGAAAGTAGCAATGAGTTGAGCGTGGATGAAGGTGTGAACATCTTGAATGAGCTGATCATCCCCTGCATGCACCTCCTCATCAGCAGTGATACCTCAAAGGATGACCTGGATGCCGTTGAGGTCATGAGAAATCGTTGGTGTGCTTACCTGGGAAAGGACATGAATGGTAAGAAGGGGGTCCTGGACCTCTTACTCTGTGCTGCTATCATCCTGTCTCTCGCCTAGTATTGCTAGTCTTTGTGTACCTCCTGACTGTTTTTCTAAAGACTGTCAGTAAAATGCCCTTGCACAATTACGATAATCCGCAACATTTGCATTTTGCTTAGCCCTGAAGCCAAGGTGGCAAATGTGGCCCTCCAGATGTCAGCTGGACTACAGCTCCTATCATATCTGGCCATTGGCCATGCTGGCTGAGGCTGATGGGAGTTGGAGTTCAACAGCATCTGCTGGGCTACAGCATCTAAAATTTACTGGAGAGACTGCCTTCTTGAATTACTAGATCTTTGTGTTCAAAATACGGGATTTGATTCTTTCATTTCCCCTCTTGTTCCCAAGTAGAAGTAACACCTGCCTCTCAACAGTCATACTTGTATGGGGCGTTCCAGTTATAGCAGCTTGCTGTGTAAGCCAAGCAGCTTTCTCCTGGGGTGAGGAATGATAGAAAATGTTTTGTTGCTGCCAGAAATTACTTGTACATGTTGCATCTGTACCTGGCACATCCTGTGATCAGAGGGACACACTGATCAGAAAACTTACTTTTAAATCTTCATGTGGCATGTCAGTCTTTACCCCAGAGATTCTGGGGCAGGGGGCAGAATATTACTGAACATATCATGAATTAAAATAAGCACACATGACCTGGAAGTTAATCTGTTGTGCATTTTTCTTTGCTAGATTTTAATAAATTTGTTAAACTTGGTTCACTTCAGCCAGCAGGGGGTGTCAGGAAGAAGTATTGGCCCTAAAATACTATTTCAAAATAGACAAAAGCTCTGGTTTCTGCAGTTGAGTTTGCTTGTGTTCTGCTTTCATGAACAAGCTTTTTCACATCTGCAATTCAGACTTGCAGATAGTTGCTTACGGTGAGAAATATTTCCTTTTAGACAAGTGGCTTATCTAACCAGTACCACCTTGTAAAATGCCGGTGGTTGTGAATTGGGTACAACTTAAAAGGTATCTCTTACTGTGCACTGAGAATGAGGTGCTGTTGTAAGTGTTTGGAAGTTGGGTTTGTAGACATCTGTGATGTCTGCAACACTGTCTTCACGAGTGTTTATGGGAAGTGCTTGGTGAAGTTGTGAATAAGTTCCCTATTTTAACTTGTAAGTGCCATTATGTTGCTTTGAAGGAGTGGGAGAAGGGGAAACATGATTGAGGGAGCTTCCAGATTGACATACAGATAAGCATTCCAGAGTTTTTCCTGCATCTTCTTACATTTCACAATCTTAGTTTCAACAAGATTTCAAAGCATTGCTATTGGGTTGTTGTTGTTGTTATTATTTGGTTTTTCTTGTCTTACAGAGGACCTGCAGCTAAAACTGAGTGAATTCCTACCCCGCCTGCTAGATTGTTCCTCCGAGGGCATAGTTCTGAAAGAACCACCCAAGATCCGCCCCAATTCTCCCTACGATCTCTGCAGCCGATTTGCAGCTGTCATGGAATCTATTCACGGGGCCTCGACTGTCACTGTCAAATAAAAACTGCCGACTGTACTGCATTAAGCTCTGGAGACCACAGGCCCACCAGCGTGTGGAATCCAGCTGCCGACCACCTTTTGGAATGGAGCAAGGAAGAGAGATGCTACATTGAGACAATCCACATTCAGACCTAACCAAAACTGTGCTAAGAAAAGGGCTAAATGGGACATGACACTCTCTGGTGTGCACCATATATGGGAAGGCACTAAATTAGAACATGTCTTGAGGTTTCACTGTTTTACGTTGCCTATAACTGCGTTTGCCTTGGCTTCCTACAAGAACATGGTAGGAAGACACTTATTTTTTTAAACGGAAATTTTAAACACAGCATATTGTACATATATACTTCTGTTGTGCTCAATTCTTATGGAGTATACAGTGGTTTGATATGCTCATTGTGAGCATTCCATGCACGCTCTGTTATATTTTGAATGCACTTGCCACACATGCTGGTCTATTCATATGTCATAATGCCAGCAGTATGTTATCAGTGCTGATAGCTTTTGTGCTGTCACTGCATATGACTGGGCCAACACAAGGGAGTGCATTTAAAGCACAATGGGGAGCATGTAACCTGGAGCCTGTTTAAACTGGACCTCATTGACATCGAAGCAGGACTGATTCAGGGAATAAGCCAGACAGTCGTAGGTAATTTTAAGAGCAATAATTCACATTCACCTTTTTCGTGGAAAAACACCTTAAAATGGGAGCCTATCAGTTGAGGCCCTTTCCATCAGATATCTCCTGATGTGGCGGTAACAGAAGAACCTGGTAGCCTGGGTCATAAAAAATACAGGCATTCATGCACACTGCATTTGTGTATGCTAGCAACTCAAAACACAGTTGATGCCATCAGGAGAAATGGTGATGGTGGCAATATTTTACAGTTGCTACAGAATTGCAAAAGTCATTCCAGGACAAGAATAGAGATGCAAAACAAAACCCCTAAGGAAACTGCTTTCTCTGACCTCCCAAAGCATATTTCCTTTATTACCAATCACTGAATTTTCATTATCAGGCTAGTATTGGCAGTGACAAGGGCTCTGAAGTCAGGAATAATAAACCTTTATAAAAAGATACTGCTTAACTGGCAAAGTCTACTGCCAATATTTTTAAGCAATCTTTGTTTTACTGGAATACATTGGCAATCGGGATGTAAATGGAAATACATATTTGAGAAGCCTTTTTCTGTTTTAATTAAATGTGCAATAAAGAATTTTACCCTATTTAAATTTGTAGTGGATTGCTTTGTTTCTTTTGAGTGTATAGACCAGGGGTCAGCAAAGTTTTTCAGCAGGGGGCCGGTCCACTGTCCCTCAGACCTTGTGGGGGGCCAGACTATATGGGGGGGGGGGAGAACAAATTCCTATGTCCCACAAATAACCCAGAGATGCATTTTAAATAAAAGCACACATTTTACTCATGTAAAAACACAGATTCCCAGACCGTCCGCGGGCCGGATTTAGAAGGCGATTGGGCCAGATCCAGGCCTTAGTTTGGCTACCCATGGTCTAGACTTTATCTTTCTCCTTTTCTCAACTGTGTTTGAACACTGGGAGTGTTTGCTATTGGATAATTTTTGCAAAGGTCACCACTGGATTAGCCATATAACATGACTTAGTCTGCATCCTACTTGCTTTGGTGCTAAGAATAGATTAATTGCTCCACTACTTCCAGTTGTGGTGTGCCTCATTATTTAGCCTGTGATGCTGATCCCTGGTCAATCTAAAACATTGACTGGTTAGTTTGGGGTGGACTGCTGTGCACATAGGCTGGGCCCCTATGATTACATAGGTGTAAGGTTCCTGGAAAAGATGTTGGGAAAGATTGAGGGCAGAAGGAGAACGGGACGACAGAAGACGAGATGGTTGGACAATGTTCTCGAAGCTACCAGCATGAGTTTCACCAAACTGCGGGAGGCAGTGGAAGACAGGAGTGCCTGGCGTGCTCTGGTCCATGGGGTCACGAAGAGTCGGACACAACTAAACGACTAAACAACAACAACAAGCCTCCTGGAGAAAATGTTGTTTGCCTTTACTTTTTACATTTTAGATTTGGGCGTTGCCAGGACTAACGAGGAGCCTGACCATGGGCCTCTTAACCATCCAAGTATTCATGCTGTTTTTGCTCTGATTAACTTGTAGAATTCAGAAGAGAGACTTATAAAACTCTTTCCCCCTCCCTGCCCCCAAATGAGAGCATCTGTGTTATCAACAGAATCAGGCTTGCAAGTGATCCAGGCCTACCTAACCTTTCCTTGAAATCTGCCCAAGAAAGGAATTATATGTTGTTGATGAATGCAACTTAAAGGAGCTTCTGCCAAAGTTTCAATCTAGAATTACTTTCTTGAAGTTCAAAATCACTGCCGTGTTCAATGTACTCATCTCACCTGCTACCTGCTTCAGTGCATAGGTAGGTTGAACAGTAAAGAGATCATCTTAATTCAACACCTTAATTCATTCAACACCTACCATATGGATCCTAGGTTGCAAGCCTTTGCCTACTTGCAATGGAGTAAGACCCATTGAGTTCGAGGTGGGGTGGGCTTCTAAGCAGACCAGTATAAGATTGCACCGTTAGTAGGTGAAGTCAGTAGCAGAGACACCACAAATAATGAAACACTAATTCGCAAGGTCTTTTTCTCTATGCTTCATGCTTCTATTTGAGAAGTGTCCTTTTAGCCATTTCCCCCAAAACCCTATTACTGTATTGTCTCAAAAGACAGAGATTTCTGATCCATGTGAAAAGCAAACAAACGGTTCATTATTTTTTTACAGTGCAATTAAGTACTCCTTAAAAGGTTTGACAATGCTTGTTGAATAAAACTTGATACCTTGCTATTGACATTGGATATCATAACTACAGTCAGTCTCCTTGACAAAAATTCTTTCCAGCGAAGGGGTATGTCATTAAACAGCCACTTTCCTGATTGTTTAGACTGAGGAAAAATTAGTCTTGCACAGGAAAGAACTGGGATTCTAATCCTGTATCCATTCCCCCGTCCCCATCTTAATATATTAATAATACTCTTGCGAATTTTGAAGGAAAACAATTTATTTCTATGCATTCATGTTTAAGTTTCCCGCATTGCAGTAATTGAGATGGGTATCCCTGTTGCCACTGAAAATGCCACACAAAATGGTGTGACACATGTAAGTACAGAATGTTTGCTTCCCCAAGCATATTTTTCAAAAAAAAAGTGCTCCATAAAGGATGCTTGGAAGGATCCTAGACAATAACCCAGTTTCCAGCCAGTCAGATATAAGCCATTCTGGCCATCTCAAATGGTTCTCATGAAACCTGTAAAGAGACATTAGTAGGCAGCTCAGATTACAAGGTCTGCATTTTTAGGTGGCAAGTACTGATGATGACTTTGTAACCTGGGATCCTTTCGCACTTCTGGCTTACGGTGGACAGCGAACTGCTTGGACTTTATTTGGGTTTGTAGGAAACAAGTTGAGCAGATCAGAAGAAACCCACCTAGTATGAGGAAAAACCCAGCAAACCAGCCCAGGAACAATGCTTCACCGAATCCCCACCTTGGGACAATCTCTGGCACAGTTTTATCCCAGAATTCTTGCACTACGTTGTAGGCAACCCAGGAGACTGGCACAAGGGTTGCCATTCCGGAAATGCAGAAGAGAATTCCTCCGGCGATTCCGAGGCGTTTTTTCAGTTCCAGGTTTTCTTCCCTTATCTTCAGACAGTTCAACCCCAAAATAGAAATACAGAGGGCAAGGAATCCCAGTCCATTAGAGAGAACCATTACAATCCTAGAGATTCTGAACTCCAAAGGGAGGGTTAAGAGGGAGCCATAGCTTTTGCACTCCATTATGTTTTCATCCTGAATGACGCAGGCATGCCAAAGCCCTGTGTTCCATGTCTCCAGTTCATTCAATTCCAAGTTGAGGTTCTTCCAAAAAGGTATAGAAGTTGTAACACAAGAGGAGACCCAGCCGAAGAGAGAGATAATTAATCCCCCCAATTGGCCTATGGTACTGTAGTGCCAAGCCATATTTAGACTCTCGACCAGCATACAAAACTCTCTGCCTTTGAATGTTCTCTATTCCAGATGAGCTTGATTCTTGCGGCAGAAGTTTTGATAGAGCTACGGTGCCATCAATATGCTGTAGGTTTCAATGGAGCCCATCTGAACTGGTGCTAGTTTTTTAAAAGAGCTGTGGAGGAGGAGCTGAAGAGAATACCACTCATTCCAAGGTGTGGCCAAGCTTTTCACATCTGGTTGGTTTTGCCTTTATCTGGAGGGAAAAAAATACAAATCCTAATTCACCTTAATTCATGTGCAAGGCAGAAATGTCAACGTTAATTGAATTGATGCAATCGACCAAGTCCCTTTCAGCATGCGGACGGGCACAGATGAGGCTGATGGAGCAACTTCTTCAAACAGATTCACCGAAACGTGGCACAAAGATAACTGTAAGCTTTGCAGTTTGAAATCCCACTATGCAGGTGTTCATTTCTACATACCCTTTTGGGTTCAGAAACACTTTGTGCAGTACCGCCTCTGCAGAATTACCATATTACTGGCAGAGCATGTTGATCTTTTCACCAATTAGCCGGGGGATTTTAACTCATATTTTGCTCGTCTCTTCAAGTTAGCTGGGACAGATGGTCTCTGTTACGCTAAATGCTCCATTGTCCAGAAGCTCTGGATAGGAAATAAGGGAGATGACTATAGAAGGAAAGGAAAAACATGGATGGGAGATGAGTTGATCTGGATAATGGGGAAGGAAGGAAGAAACAAACCAGTGTCTCTCTGTCCCGTGCGAAGTTCCAAACCATAGTTGGCAACAGTAGAAGACCAACATCTACCAACGAGCCCTTGGGCTGAGGAAATGTTTCTTTAAAATGAGCTTTGAAAGGTTCTCTTGAGTGGTGCTTGAGCCTTTTTTCCCCATTGCAGAGGGTGGAGTATTTGTCATTTCTCAGATTCCCCCCAAAAAACCTGGCCATTCTCCAGATACTGAGTAAATACACAAAGCTCAGAGAAAACAGCTGTGTATAGATTGCGATTCTACTTAAGGATTCAAGAGACCACTCAGGGGTCAGAGGTGACGGGCCCAGTTTGCTCAAGGAGCAGCTTACGAAGGTCGCTTGCTGGATAACTTTTGCAATCAGTGTAATGCACATGCCACCTGTCTTTTCAAGTAGCTTCTTGGGACCTGTGCACTAGTTAATAAATGGAGAGGTTGTTGGAAACAGTTCATTCAAGGTGGGAGCAATCAACTGCAACCTTCCCTGCTTCTGTGTGGGACTGTGTATGCACACAGTGAACTCCTTTTAAGTTTATAAACTGCTAACTTTTTTTTAATGAGGAGGGAACTAAATATAGAATAATCTTGCTTCCTAGGTTGCAATATCGGTTCTTCTGCATGCTATTAGCCAAATGCTGACAAAACCGCACTGCAATAATCAGTCAACTCATCTCCTAAACCAACCTTCCCTAGCCAGGTCCTCTACACATCTTAGACTGCGTGGAGTGCTGGCTGGGGTTGATGGGAGCTTTTGCTTAATATAGACAGAGCCCTCTAAGGCTGGGGAAGGCTACCCTAACTAAGCACATTCCAGCCTCCAAACATCCTTGGGGGTTCATTCAGCCACCCTATATGATTTCCCCATCTGTTTCTCCACGTGTGGATTTGTCTAGCATTGAGATTTATCGTGTTTATTTGCCCTGTCTCTTCTTACTCGTCTGCCTACTTTATTGTCGAGTAAAGTACAAGCAGTCAACGCTGATAAATTTCCACATCTTCCAAAAGCTTCACTTTGGCCTGGACTTAGCACTGAAACATGGGCTGTGTCTTCAGAGCTCAGCCCTAAGATGTTTATGTACTGTACGTATTAAGAATAAGGAACCTCTAAACATGTAGGAACATCCTTCTTTGTTAAGCAAGGGGTGTGGATTTGATTATCCTCCTGGTTCCTTTCCAACTCTACAATTCTTTGATTCTAGGATGAAGTTACCCACTAACTCCGAGACTGAGGTCTTTCTATTAATCTGCTTTTTACAAATCAAACTATTGCATTTTTTATTATGATGTTTTAATTTGTTGGAAGCTGCCCAGAGTGGCTGGGGGACCCAGTCAGATGGGCGGCATATAAACAAATTGTTATTATTGTTTCAGGTGACAGCCTTGCCTTTCCCCACAAGCTTTCTTGTTTCCTCCTAGTTACAAGACAGAAACACTTGTGTTGTGGTTGCTGCAGAGGTGTAAGTTATTTTAAGCAAAGTATACAGCTGGAGTGATCAGCTAGCAATTCCAGTGAAATCTACTGCAGAGCTCCTCTCCCATTGCAACATATACACACTCTCGTGAATTTAGAAATGGTTCTCAAGAAATTCACAGGAACAAAAATTTTGTTTTACTGAACTGAGATGCAATAGACTGCAAAGTCTGTTTTAAAACATCCAGATCGGATTCCCTGTGGTTGTGCTGTGCTGCCCGGGGCTGATTGGAGTGGTAGTCCAAACAGGTGGAGACCAGTATGTGTGGAAGGCTAACTTGAAAGAACATGGCTTCATCAACTTTATGCCAAGATGCATCTTCAAAGGGGACATACCGTTCCAGTTTTAAAACAAGATAAAATTCATTTTGCTTAAAACAGCCATTGCAAAGTATGCCAACAGGGTAGGCACTTAGCAGATCATTTTGGACTCACAGCTGTCCATGGAGGCACAGGTCAATTCTGTGTCCAGGGCAGCTGTCTACCAGGTCCATCTGGTACACAGGCTGAGACCCTACCTGCCCGCAGACTGTCTTGCCAGAGTGGTGCATGTTCTGGTTATCTCTCGCTTGGACTACTGCAAATACGCTCTATGTGAGGCTACCTTTGAAGGTGACCCAGAAACTACAACTAATCCAGAATGCGGCAGCTAGACTGATGACTGGGAGCGGCCACCAAGACCACATAACACCGGTCTTGAAAGACCTACATTGGCTCCCAGTATGTTTCTGAGTACAATTCAAAGTGTTGGTGCTGACCTTTAAAGCCCTAAACGGCCTCGGTCCAGTATACCTGAAGGAGTGTCTCCACCCCCATCATTCTGCCCAGACACTGAGGTCCAGCTCTGAGGGCCTTCTGGTGGTTCCCTCACTGTGAGAAGCGAAGTTACAGGGAACCAGGCCGAGGGCCTTCTCGGTAGTGGCGCCCACCCTGTGGAACACCCTCCCATCAGATGTCAAGGAAACAAACAACTATCTGACTTTTAGAAGACAGCTGAAGGCAGCCTTGTTTAGGGAAGCTTTTAATGTTTGACACACTATTGTATTTTAATATTTTGTTGGAAGCCTCGCAGAGTGGCTGGGGAAACCCAGCCAGATGGGTGAGGTATAAATAAATTATTATTATTATTATTATTATTATTATTATTATTATCACATCAGCGAGGTCGGGGTGTGTGTGTCTTTTCATCTGGGTAGCACAGGATCTCTATACACACTGCTTAACTTCACACCCAGAGATGCACTCCATTGTCTCTTGAGAATGAAACTAGCAAAGTTTGTTCCCAGACTCTGGAACTCCCTCCCTAGAGAAGTTCAATTGGCTTCCTCCTTGTCGTCCTTCTGATGGCAGATGAAGACTTCCTTGTCCCAACAGGCTTTGTGGAACTGACTGCTTTTAATGAAAGGGCTTGGTGCCAAGCTGTTTTTATTGTAATGTTTTAATCGTTTCTGTGTGTTTCATCCCCTCCCCCCCACTTTTTTGTTACCAAAAACATCTATTCAAAAGTTGGAATACATCTTTGTCCACTGCCATCATTGTATTAAATTATTGATTAAAAAAAATGTTTTTTAAAAGATAATTTTTATCTTTAAGCCACTTTGACTCCCTGTTGGGGGAAAGACAGGGTACAGTGGTACCTCGGGTTAAGTACTTAATTCGTTCCAGAGGTCCGTTCTTAACCTGAATATGTTCTTAACCTGAAGCACCACTTTAGCTAATGGGGCCTCCTGCTGCCACTGCGCCGCCACTGCATGATTTCTGTTCTCACCTGAAGCAAAGTTCTTAACCCGAGGTAATATTTCTGGGTTAGCGGAGGCTGTAACCTGAAGCATATGTAACCTGAAGCGTATGTAATCCAAGGTACCACTGTATAAATAAATATAGAATAATGTTAAGAATGATGCTCTAATGTCAGAAGAGGAGAGCAACATAATGCAAGACCTCAAAGGGAAATATTTGTACAGGAATGAACACCTTAGGACTTTTAGATTAAAGCCAATACTTTGAATTGCACCCAGAAACATACTGAATGGGATACACAAAAGCGGAAATGTTTTAAGTACCAGTGATCTATTTATTGTCAGCATGGTGGGTCCTGGTTTGAGGATCTCCATGACCCTCTCCTTGCATCAATACATGTGCCATGCATGCAGATTAGGAAAAGAGGGAGACTGCATTTATCCCTGAAACCACAAATGCAAATTGCAGTTGAAGCAGATGCCTCTAGACATCGTTTACCTGAACTCTGGCAGTAAGCAACTAAGTGATTAAAACCTTCCATATGTATTAATAATCCTCGAGCCGTTTACAACACTGGCTAAGTAGTTATTTATAACCAACAGGTTAACCATTGCTATTTTTAACCCGCCCCCCTCCCTGTGTGGCTGGAGACAGGTTTAAATGTAGTCTGCAGATTTTCCTGGCTTTTATCCTCTCCCTGTCTCTGGACTTAGAATATTTCATAGACCACAAAGCGACTTACGATTCACTTAGTACCATTGCGGCCTCAGAGCTGGGTTGAGAATTTTTCCGCCCCGGTGCAGTGAAAGGGAGTCCCTGTCAGTCTCTACATAGAAGGCAAGATGGTGTCTTGCAGGAAGAGTTTAGTGTTGTACCATTCTATGCATCACTGCAGGGCTGTGGTGGTCTTAGATGAGATTCTCAAAAACCTTCTCTAGCCACAGAGTTTACACTGGGCAAATGGCACCCTCTCAAAGACTTTCCATGAGGAATGGGATTGTTTTCAGTCTACCAGGCAAGTTTTATTCTGAGGGTGATAACTGCTGTAGGAATAGGAAGGGCGAAACTTACTGGAAAAATAAGAAATCAAGATAACGAACTTTTAATAAAAGAATGGAAATGGTTTATTGAATATTTACAAACAAACTGTAAACAGATAAGAACATTGGCAGGATTGTTGTAATAACCTGCAGTTTTATTAGAGTATACATTTAAAGTAGATGAATAAATGGTTAAGTTAATTTGGAATAAGCAGGAAATATAAAAAATAAATTTAAGGAACTGCAGAAAGAGGCGGAAGGAAGTTGAGTTTCGGAATGTTAAAATGATTGTAAAATTATTGAAATGTATAAAATTGAAAAACATAAAAATTGTTTTTTAAAAAGATAATTCCTACAGGAACTCCACTGATTTTGTGATGCACAGCTCTTTGTTGTTCTGGCATCCTATTGACCAATCTTATTGACCAAAAAGGAGGGTGCCACCCCCTACTCCCCACTTCCCAGGGTATAGTATTCCCTTTCTATGAGATGCTGATAGAGTTGACTG